GGCAGTGAGGAGGGGACCCTGCCCCAAACAGTCACCCCTCAGCAGCCTTGGATCTTGATGCTGTGCATTCCTGCACCCAGCTCTGTCTGTCCCAATATGGGGATGGGCCCTGGGGAGTTATTGGGAAGTTGCAGTCCAAACACTTCAAGTGCTGGGATCAGTGTCACCTGCGGATGACCTCTGTCTCTTTGGGGACCTGTGTGTGTCACGCAGTTGAAACTCCAGGACTCCAGTGGAATTTCCCTTCCCCTTTCACCCTCCTCCCATTCCCAATCCCCCATGCCTGGAGCATCCCATTGTCACCCATCGGTCCCCAGAAGCTTTCAAGCCCCTGCTTTGGTGTTCACCAGTGAGGCTGCTGCTGAGAAGGGACAGAAATGTCACTGTGTGTCATCGCAGTGCCACACATTTCATAAAACACATCAGGAAAAGCACAGCAAGTTACAGGAGTAAATGTGACAATCCCGCTTTCACTCTGAGTGCTTTCTGCTTATTTTTTTTAAAGCAAAAAAATAGGGTGGTCTGGTGGGTGAGGATGATGAAAAATGCTTGTCCTTGGTTCAGAACTGCCAATGGCCTCTGAACACACAACCTAAGTATCACACCCTTTTCACCCACCCACCCACAGCAGTCTCCTCCTCCAGCTCACCAGGCAAGCTCACCTCAGGGCCTTTGCACATGTCGTGCCCTCTGCGTGGTACCAGATTATCTCTGTGGATCTCTCCTCCCTAAGTCTCCATTCCAGGGTCTGCCCAGAAAGGCCTTTCATGACTCTTTATCAAAATGGCTCGTACATCTGTCCCTGACCTGTCACACTGTAGTGACCGTTCTAGCACTAACGCTATCAGACACAGTATATCCCTGTGTTTTATCTTGTCTCCTCCAGCAGAATACAAACTCCACAATGATTTCATGAATAGGACTCTGGGTCTAGAACAGAGCCTGTCACATAGTAGACTCTCAGACTTATTAAGTGAGGGTCAGAATCACATTTAGTTTGGAGTGCTGGCTGAGGACACACTCCAGCAGGCAGGGTGAATGTGTCAGTCAACTTTCTGTGGCTATAACAACATATTTGAGGCAGGCTACTTATGAAGAAGAAAGGTCTATTTATTCACAGTTTTACACACTGAAAGTCCAAACAGCATTGTGCAGGCTGTGGCAAGGCCCTGCTGTCTGTATCACATCTTGGTGACGGAGCTTCTTGTTGGCAGTCCTGAGCTGGTACATGTTACACATTGCAAGAGACTGTGCATGCATGCATGTCTCTCTTTTCTTTGTCTCTCCCTCTTCTCCTGCACCCAAGATTCAGACCTGGCCTGGTGCATGAATACCCTGTGGGGACATTTGGCTCCATCCTGCTCCCAGCCAGCAACAGAAGCACCAGGGAAGGTGGCAGCCCGACCAGCAGTGCCACGAGGGAAACAAACAGAGAAGGAGGGCCTCTGAGGGCTGGACCAGGGTCTGAACTTCTCACCTCAGGAAGACAGAGTCAAGGACAACCATGAGCTTTCCAAAACCCAAGGATTAAGTGGGCATGACCCTCCTCTGGGGATGGCTGGTTGGTGACCAGAGCCCTTCCACCATGGCTGCTCACTCACTGGTCATCCCACTAGTGTCAACAAGGGTGCTGAGCACCCACTGTGCCCAGCTGCTGTGCCAGAAGTCTGGTTGGAAGAGCAGAGGAGCCACAGCTCAAGTTAACAACAAGCAGATAAACCAGGGAAAGCTCAGGACCTGGCCATAGCAGAGGAAGCAGAAACTGCATCCATTATGACACCACTTTTGCTCACTCAGGAGGACCTCCTGAAGGAGGTGACATTATATAAGACCTGAATGGTATGATGGGAAGGAGCCCATCACAGGAAAAGCCAGGCGGGAAGAGGGTTCCAGGCAGAGAAAACAGCAAGTGCAAAGGCCCTGAGATGGAAATGAGGAAGGAGGTTAGAAATGCAGGAGGCAGGTGCTCTCTGTTGGAACCCCAAGGTAGTGACCTCGCACAGGTCACTCAGCTTACTGTCTTCTCAACCAAATCATGGAGCTAACAACCATGTCTTCGCTCAGAGTCACAGTGGGACCTGGTGAGGATCAGTGATTAGAAGGACTCATCAGTGGGACTGTCCTTTGCCATCACCTCTCTCTCACTCGCTCACCAATCCATTCCACCGAAGTCCACGAGGACCGAGGGAGCAAACACCTGCACCAGGAGTGAAGAGTCTCGGGACCATGGCAGAATTCTGCTCACCAAATTCCACAAACAGTGCAGGGACTGTGCCCAATACTGAGTAAGACCACATTAGCACGGCCCATGGGCACCTGTGGCCATCCCCTCATAGAGGACACCTTCCTTCCTACACATCTGCAGCCACCAGGCCTAAAGTGGCTTTCCTTGGCAACAGACATGCCATTTGGACACTGGAGACAAATGGAACTGATGATCAGGGTCCCTAACGACTGAGCCCAACAAGAACCCCTGCCCCGAGGGGCTCAGTGTGTCGTGCAGGAGACAAACAGTGAGCAACTAGCCCATGCAAGGCCCGCCAGGCAGTGGGAAATGCTCGGAAGAAAACTAAATAAGGTCAGGCTAGGCACCCACAGCATGCACCTGTCATCCCAGACACTCAGGAGGTGGAGAACAGGGGGATCAAGGTCTGAAGTCAGTCTGGGCAAAAAGTTAGCCAGACCCCATCTCAGCCAACAAGTCAGTGTGGTGGTGCACACCTCTAATCCCAGCTAAGTGGAAGGATCACCCTGTCCAAGGCCGGCCCCAAGCAAAGCGCAAGAGAAACTATCAGGAAAAATAACAAAAGCAAAAGATGGCTGAAAGTGTGGCTCAAGTGTAGAGCACCTGCCTAGCAAGGATGAGGCCCTTAGTTCCAAAACTACTGCCAATAAGTAAATTAATAAATAATGTCACAATTGTTCCTCCAAAGAAGCCAGGAAGGGGCTTAGCTGACCAGAGGATCAGTTTTCCCTCACAGGCAGGAGCAGAGGTGCAGAGCAAGGCAGGGATGTGGAGCATGGTGGGGAGACTCTAGCTCTAACAGCCCCTTCCTGAACGCCTGCCCCACCCCCATGTCACCCCCCCCCAGGAAGGTCACCAGCATCCAGGGTAGCTCTGGGCTGGGTTGACTGTCCTGATTGCAGAGCCCTTGCAGGACCGCCTAGCCCACAGCACCACCTGGTGGCCACGGCTCCCATGCAGTTGTGGGGGGGGGGCGGGACCAGGGTTGGTTTCCTGGTCACCACCCACAGAACACCTCTGTAGTTTAAAAGGGTCTTTCAAATCTTTCTAGACCCAATTCAAAAAAGGGAGACAAAGCAAAGAAAGAAAATGGAGGGAAAGGGGGAAAATAATATAGAGAGAAATAAAGAAAAATGGAAAAGTATAGAAAGAGAAAAAATATTTATACTGAACCCAATCCAGTAAAGCCTGGTCCCCCTTGTCCTGGCACCCCCAGCCCCTGCCTCTAGGGGGCTCTGTTCCTAGTGTGAGTGCCCAGGAACCAGCCTCTCAGTCAAAGCCCCTGACAAACCCAGCAGGATGTCTATCTCTGGACACTCCACGGTCCCCAGCGCCCCCTGCAGGACAGGCCAAGTACCACACCACACATCTCCTGTACAGTAACCAGGGAGGAACCTCTGGCTACCCCAGCATCATGGCTGGGTGGTGTTGGGTCTCCATTGCTTGTAAGAAACTGAACCTCTCAGAGAGATGGACATCCCAAGAGATGCCACAGAGCAAGTGCAGAAGGCTGCAGGCCCAGGAAACAGGGCCGGGTGTCGATTTCAAAGGTCTCAGGCCAGGCCCCCCCAGCCTTGACAGTCTCACCAGACACAAAGAAACCCAGGCAGCCCAGCACAATGGTTAGAGGTGCAGTAGACAGATGCAGAGATGTTCCTGGTAACCTCTTTCGTTTATCCAGTCATGATGTACTGACACCAAGGCCACAGCACTCAGGACGGTGTGGTCTCTACCGTCTGGGCACTAAACACATAAACAGGTATACTGAGATGAAATTATAAGTCAGTCAACACACTGCCTTGTCCACTTTTGGCTTCCTGAAGGACCCTGACAGTCCATGCCCAGGGATGGCACCTGCATTAGTACCATTTGACAGTTGAAATAGAGGCTCAGAAGGACCCAGAGAGCAGAACACCAAAGTTCTGAGAGTAGTCACCTGCAAGGGTTTGCCTCCAGGTGATAGCCCCTCCCTGGCGCCAGCTGTCCCATAGCCAGGTGGGAAGGTGAACCGTGTGGCCACAGCTCCCAATTTCCCAGAAAAACAAAAACACAGAATTTGAAAGTAAAGTCTGCCAGTTTATGTCAAAATTATAAAAACACTGCATCAGGAAGAGGGGAAAATCCCATATCTATTTCCAAGTTTTGTCCTGGGGGCTGCCAGTTTGAGACCTCTCCTCTCCTGTGAAAGTGTCTGAGAACCCCTCATGCTTCATTCAGTGGGAAAAGCAGGTCCCACTCCCTCTCCCACTTAGTGGATGCAGCTCCAAGTCTGAGGGCATGACTTGCTCAAAGCCACAGAGAACTTGCTTCCACTCTAAATCAGAACCACCCTGGCGACTGCTTCTAGAGAATTCTTTTCTGCAAGTCCCAGGGCAAAACACTTCCTATGTGTGCCTGCCTGAAGGAAGACACTCAATCCTCCATTGACCAAACAGAGTTGACAGCCTGGATCCAGACACTGGCCTCAGGTGATTGCAAACAATGCATCACTGTGCCCCAAAGCCCACCGGGATCCACCCAGATCACAAAACAGTAGCATCAACACACACGGATGCCTCTCTAGGAAGAACGCAATCAGGGTTCGAGAACAGGCCTGGGAGAGGCTGCTTTGGAAGGAAAGGAGATAGAGAAGGGTTCTTCACCTCCTAAGAGATGACTGGGTGTGGGGCAGGGGGCGCTGTGGCTTAGGGGGAGATCCAGGGTGGCCATGACCAATCAGAGAGCCTTCAAGAGGCCACCCTAGAAACTCTCATAGATTTTGGTGTTTTCCAAAGTGTGGGAAATGAAGAGGAAAAAAGAAGGGGAAGAAAGAAAGAAGAGAAGGAGGAAGGGAGGGGTAAAGAGAGGGAGATGCAAGCCAAACAGAGCTCTAGGTCAAATTTAGCCCGGGGTGCAAGATTTTGGCTCAGGCAAGTAAAGAACCCATGCCAGCCTGAAACCCTCAGGGGCCCAGGTGCAGAAATACCAGGACTATTCTGACTGGCCCATTTCTGGACAGCATAGATTCTGATTGCCCAGGACCCAAGCTCCATAGCATGTTTTTTTCTTGTTCTTTTTTTTTTTGGTGGGGGGGAAGGGTGATGGTGGTGGTGGTGGTACTGGGGTTTGAACTTAGGGCCTCATGCTTGCTAGGCAGGTGCTCTACCACTTGAACCACTCCACACAGGATGTTATTTTAAACTCCACTTCTGCTCAGATCCAATGGGCTTTGTAAGTTGCAGCAGGAGGATTACTAGGTTGCATCCCTTGGGTTTACCCTGACACCCTGGCACGTGTAAGACACCCAGGAGGGGGACTGGAACTTCCGGAAAAATAGCAGTTGTTTTTCTACCACTATGGTGAAACAGGAGCTCAGAATCCAAATAAAGCTGAAATATAGGAATAAAAGCCATTATTTGTAATTTATAGTTGGAGTCACAGACCTGCCTACAATCTCAGTGAATCTGGACCCAGACCCCCGTAAGGGGAGCTATGCTGTTCCAATCATCAAGGAGGAAACTGAGGCACAGAGTAGTAACTGCCACTCAGGGATGCTGACAGTGAAATCCAAACCATCCCCCATGGGGCTTTCAGAGCTCCAGCCCACCCGCACCACTCACCACAGCCAACCAGGTCACAGCGCCTTCTTTGTATTATAAACTTTTAATAATAATAAAAAATCTATAATGGTTTTAACAAGAGGAGTCTGTACATTTTAAAGTAAACCACCGCACAATGCGCTGGCCCTCGGGACCTTCTCCGTTCCCCTCAGCAGGGCTGAAGGGTCTCCTTGATTTTCCATCTGTAACAAGATACAGCCGTAAAGTTGCCTCTTGCAATTCTGTACACGTAGCAAGAAGAGTGGCCCTGGGGACTGAGGAGGCCAAGATGCCTCAGCAGGAGCCCCAATCCCATCTCAGCAGCTAGCCAGGGCGGGACAAGCAGCCCCTTCCTTCCTTGTCTGCTGTGACACTTCCCTGCAATGTACAGAAACTGGGAGACAATTTGCTGAGGGTCTTCCTGTGGGTCCCTCTGCCCAGACAGTGGGCAGAGTGACCTCTTGTCCCCTTGGCTGACTGAGAAGTCTCACATGCCCTGCTCTGAGAAGTTAGCATCAAAAAAATAAGTTACATACCCCAAGTGTCCAGTGCCCACCCGGACAGCACAGCTTCTCGGGTGAGTGCTGCAGCTCTCCTGGCTCCCAACCACGGCCGGTCACCTCTCAAACCCTTGTACCCAGTCAAGCAGAGTTCCAACACCAAGCAGGTGCTAGACAGGTGAGGTGGGGGGAGGAACCTGCGGATACCTGTAAGTGACACTCTATAACCCTACTTCTAAAAATCAGGACATACTGGCATTCTAAAATTTTTCAATAATTTAGTTTTTCATCTTTACTTTTTTGGTTTTTTTAGTAGAACTGAGTAACATTGTCAATACTACCTTATACGCTGGTCCCTGTTAGACAATATACTTTTCTTTGAGATTTAAAATGTCAAATATATAATCATACAACCTTAGAAAAAATCTTGACATCAGCAACAAAAAACCCAAAATATAAACCACAGAGATGTCACACCATATAAATAAGGTCAGAACAAATCTGGTGCCAGGGCCGATGGCTCGAGTTCCAATGGCAGCGGGTGACGGGGGAAGCTGGCAGGGCTCTCCCATGTCCGCTGGATACCCCGTCTTTCCTGGCGGAGGCCCAGCGGTCCCGTGTTTTGCCAGTGGGTTAGTACAGGGTTAGGGGTGCATCTGGAAGCTACAGGCAGAGGAGAAAGCATGGTTTCCTGGAATGTGGACCTGGAGAACCCAGGGATTCAAAAGTGCAGGCTACACCACCCCAGCAAGCCAGGTCTGGGGGCCTCCTGCTGTGGGCCTCCTGTGTCTCTCATGTCCAGAACTTCGGGGGCCCATGAGCTCTGCGCACCCCAGCACCCCTCGGGCTCCTGGCAGAAGTGTGGAGAATGTGCAGGCATCGGCCAGTCCTGGGGGAGCACGGGCACCGGCCTATCCTTGAAGGCATCAGTGGGGGGCCTGGGCAGACCCCAGGCAGTGGGGGCAGAAGCCTCAGGCATCTCTGCTGAAGGTGGCCTGGCCCCACTGTGTCCTCCCACATCGAAGCTGTGGAGGACATGGCCAAGTGGGTGTCACATCGGCATTCAGAGGTCTCCATCCACCGGAGGCTGGCAGAGGCGGTAGAGGCTGGTGGGTGGAGGCAGAGGGTGAGGAGGATCCCAGGGACAGGACTTCTTCTGTTACTATTTCCACTTTTTTGGAACAGGCAATTCATGCCCAAACAAAGCTCCATAGGCATAAAACAGTGCAGAGGGAAAACGTGGGTGCGGCCCACACTGTCCCCCCACTGCCCCACCCCTCTCCAGGCTGGTGGAGCCATGGTGAAGATGCATGCTCACGCACACACACGTGTACTCAGACACGGGGGTGGGGGACTGCACTCAGATGCTAACTAGACCTGGGGCTCTCCCTGGGATTTTCCCTCTTGTATCTTGGAGACCTCTGCTTATAGCCCAGGAATGGCTCCCTCATTTCTTGAGGGCCACAGTGGGGAGACCCTGAGCTGCATCACCAGCCAAGGAGTTGGTTTCTGCAGGAGCCATCAGATCTACCATGCGGGGATGATTCTGTAGGCAGGGGACCAAACAGGAGGCCACTGTGGTAAGGGCCAAGCAGAGCCAGAGCTGGGCATTCGGGACGAAGCTGCCTGGGTTCAGAATCCCAGCTCCACCATCTACTAGCTGTGTGATCTTGAACAAGACACTGAACCTCTATGGGCCTCAGTATCCCACTTGCCAATGGGGGATGATACCAGGAACCTGCTCACAGAGTCGTTGTTTGGGTCAAACAGGTGCTTATGGGTAAAGAGACTGGCACAGTGCCCAGAGCGGGTAGACACCTCAACTGTTCTGAAAAGGTATTCAAGCGCATACGAACATCACCCCAGAGGTAACACCCTGCTGTTCACAACAGCACCCGGGCTGCTGTGTGGGGTGGGGAGGAGCTGCCCACAGGCCACATGGGACTCTGTACTATTTCTCCAACTTGGGAGTCAAACTACTTCAAAATAAAAAGCTCTCTGGAACTCGTGGGTGGACGTTGGTAGCGTGGTAGCAAACTGGGCAGGGCAGAAAGAGGAGACTAAGCAGTCGAGGCCCCTTTTTGCCAGCAGGACTAAAATCAGAGGAGCAGGTAGGGTGGCAGGGATGGGAGGCGCCCGTGGGTGTGGGGCCGTGAAGGTGAGGGCATGTGACAGAGTAGCATGGGGGGGGTGGCAAGCCCAACAGGCACCCATGGCTCCCTCAGGGCCTGTCTGTCCTCCCAGCTGTGGCAGGGGCTCCCTGGGAGGTAACAGGTAGAGCCTATGTTCAACTCTCACCACAGCAGCGCTGTGGATGCCCTTGGGAGCCCCGGGGTCTGCCAGGGGTGAGACCAGAATTTAGTGCCAAAGCAAGACCCTGAAGCTGGCCTTCCCACAGGAGCGAGGCCTGAGAGGGAAGGGGAGGGCCACTCACCGTGGCGCACCCTGGGGCATCTGGTCCTTGACGCGGAGGTTTTTGGCCAGGATCTCCACTCTGGGGCCCTAAAAGGAAGAGCCATCAGATCTGGAGCCTCTGCTTGGGGCTCAGTGTACCTGAGGAAGGGAGACCTGGGAGCGGAGGGCCCCACAGCGAGCTCCTCGGCCGAGCCTCACCTGTTTGCGCATGACGTCTGTGGCCTGCATGATGCACTTGGGCAGCAGCCCGTGGCTCCGCGCCAGGATGGCCGCCTGCTCTGCTGACACGCTCAGCGTGCTCCTGTGCCAGGTGAGGACACCCGTGAAACTGGGGGCCACTTCCTGTCCTTCCATGGCCTCAGCCCCTCCCGCTGTCCCCAGTGCCCGATTTCTCTTGGGAAGCCTCCTGACCCACCCTCTTAGTCCCTCCGGGCTTGCTTTCCTTGGCAGCCATCACCACTCAACATTTCACTGCCCGGCCACTTGCACCCCAATAAAGCAGCATCAAGAGGCAGGGGCTCCATGGGGTTCTCTGAGGCTTTAGGGCCTCAGACAGAGAACACAGGGAACATTTGTTGAGTGACTGGAAGGGGGCTCCCTAGAGGTCTCAGGACTTCTCCACGTAGACTGAAGATGAGCAGTACCTCACATCGGCTCTGAGAGACACTAGGAACAGAGTCTGCAGGCAGAGTTCTCGAGTTCCCATCCCATCCCTCCACCTCGGGACACATGAGCTCCTCTCCCCAAGCCTCAGTTTCCCCAACTAGAAGATAGGGACCACACTAGAGTGCTGACACCTGGTTCACACGGAGGGGACTGTCCTGTGCGCTGCAGGTACTCTACGGCACCCCTGACCTGCCTGCCCCCAATGTGACGGCCCTGAGTGCCTCCAGACACTGTCCAATGTCTGCAGGGAGCAAAATTAATCCACTGAGAGGCCCGGGAATGGCCCTTCCTCCCTAAGGAGGAAAGGGTTCACCCAAGCAAACGCTGACAACTGTCAGTGAAGCCACTGTCCAATGTGTGGTCATTGGGTCCCTGCCCTCACACACGTGGCCCTGGTGGGGAGCAGAGGATAACCAGACACCCCAAGGACTGCACTGCATGTGGGGACCAGGGCTCTGAGGAGACAGCAAGGAGGGGAAGTTTCACACAGCAAGGGCAAGGGACAGAAGGTGGGACAGAGCTCAGCAAAGCAGGACAGCCAGTCCCCTGTGAACGTGGGCAGGCACAGCCATTAAACCTGGGTGAAGGTCTCTCTCACTCACACCAACTCCACAGCTACAACCAGGATGGTGATAGCCTCCTGGGCCCACCAACCCCGGCCAGCCGGGCCATTCCACAGACAAGCTGAGACCCAGAGGGAGTCAAAGTCTTGGCTGGGCCCAGGAGGCAACGGCAGGCCCAGGACTGGAGCCCAGCCTTCATGCCTCCTTGCTCTGGGCCCCGCACTGCCCAGACTCAGCCCCTGGCTCACCGCTGCATGCCCGAGCCACACATGACAATCTGGCAGGCCCCCAGGCGATAGCAGAGCTCCAAGGAGATGGGGACAAGGCCAGCACCCAGGTTTCCGCTGGCACCAGGTCTGGGGTGCACGAGGGACTTCATGAGGCGACAGAGCTCATCCAGGGCGTTGATGGGGCGTATCAACTGCAAGGTGTGAGACAGATATCTGTGTGGCTGGGGAAAGTCCCTCAGTTCCCAAGACATCCACTGACCTTCCTCCCCATCATCCTAATACAGCTGTTATGCAGCTGTCCTCCCAGTTCCCCTCTCTGAGGTCTGCAATCTAATTAACCTTCTACAGTCCCTGCTCAAGAACCATCTGTAGTTCTCCATTGCCCCACAAGCTGGCATTCAGTGCTCGCCATGTGTTTTAGATCTAACTGATCTTCCACCTTAGTCTCTTCACCTGCCCAGGTGTGTCTCTATCTAAGGTTGAACAGGAAGCCCTCTCTCATATCCTCTTCAAATACAGCCTCTGCCCTGGACAAGTCTTCCCTCTATCCCCCTTTCTTGACCTCCAGGTGGAAGCACAAATCACTAGCTCCTTCTGTGCTGTGGTGACACTGCCAGCTAGACTTCAGAGCTCTGAATGACTAAGGCCACCCTCCCCAGACTCCAAGTCCCAAGGCCAGCACCCCGAAACCAGGCTCAAATTCAAGGCCTGCCTGAGCCTTGGGAACCTGGAGGACAAGAAAGTCACACTGTGGGTGAGGGGCACAAGCCAGTGGGAGGCACCTCGATGCACAGCCTACTCTCAGATCTTTCTAGTCCTCATGAAAGCTGGAGCCTCCATTTTCATAGGGAAAGCTCTGGGGATAGTTTTTGTTTGGGGTTTTTTTGGTTTTGTTTTTGGTAGTACTGGGGGGTTGACCTCAGGGCCTCATGCTTGCTAGGCAGGCACAATACCACCTGAGCCACACTACCAGCCCTTTTTGCTTTATTTTAGAGGCCGGGTCTTGCCCTTTTTGCCTGGGCTGGCCTCAAACCTTGATCCTCCTACCTCTGTCTCCCATATGACAAGGATTACAGACATGAGCCACTGCACTCAGCTCATGTGGAAATCTTTGATTTCTGAATGTTGGCAATAGATTTGAAACAAAGGGAACACTGAGTGAGCACCCCTGGCATAGGGTCCCAGAAAATAAACCACCAAAGGAATCCTCCAGGGAGAGGGAAATAGCCCAGAGCCTTCCTGGAGGAGACACTGCAGTGGCCACAAGGGCTTCTGGGCCAGGATTCTGGCTGGAAGTGAGGCCTGACTCAAGAGCCCCACATGCCCCCACTTCCGGGGGCGGGGGACACACCTGGTCAATCTTCACCACTGTGGTGCTGGCATCCGTGGGCAGGTTGGACCGTTCCAGGTAAAATGCCCTGAGACAGAAAGGCAGAGCTGAGGGTGGGACTACCTCACCAGGACTGCCCCTGTCCTGCACCCAGTGACTGCAGCCATGACCCTGCACTCTCCTCCCAAGAGCCATGGTCACTCCCCAAGGCCCCAAGGTCCCCAGGCCCGGCTCAGCTCCTGCCCCCATGCAGGGAGGAACTGGCAGCTGGGTTCAGCAGAAAGAACCCACTTTAAAGCCAAAGAGACTGGCCTCCAAGCTCAGCCAGTTAGGCTGTGTGACTTGGGCAGGCAGTGTGTGCTCGCTGGGCCTCCATTTCCTCATCTGTCAAGTGGGATAAAATGGCCTACTGTGCAGGCAAGAGTCTGCTGCAGACTCTTGCGCAGGCAAATGACCTGGCACACACTAGGTGCCTCAGGTGCCATGTCCACTCCCCACAGCGGTCTCCTGACTCCTGTCCTGCCCAGGTCTCAGCAGATACCTGAGCTTGCGGTAATACTGCTGCACCTTCTCCAGCGACTGGGCATTGATCTCCTGCTGCAAGTCTTCTGTTGCCTGGCTGTCTGGAGGAGATGGCCCCTCCACATTTTCCAGAGCTGTAAAGGAAGAGCAGGGAGGGCAGGTGACGGGGTCCTGTGATCCCTGAGGCCCCCAACCACCCGCGGCTCACCTTTCGTGAAGAGCACAGTGTGCAGCCTGAGGCTGGCCCCGCTCTCCAGGCGGGAGGGCAGCTTGGAGAAGTGGTAGCTGTCGAGGTAGAAGACCACCTTCAGTGCCTGTCGGCTGCCCTCGATGTGGTAGAAGACGTTGTTGTCTGTGGAGGGCAAGACGGGCAGGGCAGCTCACCCCAAGGCCGGAGGGCAGTCCTGGCCCAGCTGCACTGGTGCAGCTCAACCTGCCTGCCCCAGGTGCCAGCGCTCTGTCCTGTCCATCAGTCCAGAGGCCCAGCCTCGGGCCCTCTTGTCTTCCTCAGGGTGGCACCCTGGGACTTCCGCGTCTACTCACCCCAGAGGGATCCTGGGACTTCTCTGTTCCCTCTATCCCAGAGGCATAGCCTCTGACCTCCCACCCCCTGGGGCAGCCTCAGGCAGCACCTACTCTGAAGAACTACCTCTGACCTTGCTCTCCTGGTTAAACAGGCCCTGGTTCCACCACTCCATCCTTGGCCCTGACACTGACTCTTCCAGGTTGGGGGAGACAATGGCCATGTCTTTAGGGCCCCACCAGTGCTCTTCTGGCTCCTTGCTTGGTGAGTTCAGAGTCCCTGCCCTAGAGGGGCCTGCAGCTCCTTTGCACCCATGAAAAGGAGCCTATGGCAGGGCTGGCAGGCCGTGGCACCCAGGCCCTGTCCACCCTGCGGGCACCACTAATTGAGCAGGAGTCTCACTGAGCCCAACTCGGCCTCCAGATAGGTGGCCCTTGCCAGCCAACTCAAAAGGGTACCAAAAACACTTAAACAGCCCTCTAGTCCCTCCAGGCTGTGGTCTGTAAAATCTCAACAAGGTGATGATGACACACCAAGGAAGTGAAAGTGGGACTGTTTTGGGGGCGGGGGGCTTGCTCTTTTTTTGTGGAAAGCACATGTGCAGTCCCCGCACGTAAACAGACACACCATCTCTCAGGAGGCACAAACTGACTAAAGGGCTTTTTTGCGACGTGAACGGAAATGAAGCTGAAGACACGGGATGCAGGAGCTGAGTCCCCTGAAGAGCTATGGACACACAGATGCCCAGCCTCTACCTCACAGCTCCCAACACAAATCTGGGACAAGTTCTCAAAACTGGCCTTTCCAGCAAGTCCCTGGTGTTACTGGCCCAGGCAGCACCATGCTGGGAAACCCAGAGGTTCTTAGTCCTGGCTACACAGGCCGCCTGGACAGCTTCCCAGGGACCTCGTGCCAGGCCCACCCTACTGAGTCAGAGAGGCCAGGATGGGGCCTCAGCGTCTCTCAACAGTTACCAGACAATCTGGGGACCCCCAAAATTACTGGGCTAGCCTGGGAACTCTGTGGGTAGAGGCGGGTAGGACTCACAGACAGACAGACCACCACTATCCACCATGGCCCAGAACTTAAGACTGCCTGACATACATCATGTGCTCACTGTCATGGTCCTGTGAGCCCATGGTTTGGGTGTCCCAGAGGACACTTGGATGGCTGGGTGGAAGGGTGTGAGAAAGGACTTTAATAACCTTAATTACGGCATAAGCCATTAAAAACCTCAAGTCTTCACCCAAAGGAGGGTGCCTCTAGGCAGGTACTCAGGAAGACTGGCTGTGGTTCTTTCACAAGCTGGGTTTGTGTGAAAAGAAGGCCCTCTTTATGGACATGTGCCCCAAAGATCGGTGTTGAGACTGATATTGGAACATGAGGCTGGACTGCACTGGTTACCACATCAACTTTGGGCAGCTGGCCTGGTAGTGACAGAAGGACAGGGTGGCCCTGGAGCAACGCTCAGGGCCTGGCTCTCATGGCAGGGGTGGGAGAGGTCACTCACTGGCCACACAGTTCTCATCCATCTGCTTAAAGGAGAAGGTGACGTTGTCCAGCTCTGACAGCGTCACCCAGAGGTCTTCCAGCATGGTCCGCTCCTCCTTCTGCAGGGAGAGATACGGTGGGGGACCTCAGGTGCCACCCCACCCTGGGCTTTCACTTCGAGATCCAAATTAGATGACCCATTTGCCTGAGGGCCTGCCAGACACAGGTCCCAAGGGTAGCTCTGCATGCGACATGGCGGTTTGCCACAGCTGGTCCTGTGCCTACCAGAGGCCAACACTGCCCTGGTTTGGTGACCCCAGTGACATCCGATCTCCCTTATCTGGACCAACCTACCAAGTTCACCATGCAAAACTCTACCCACAACCTCCCCACCCCCGGCCAAATAAATGCCTCCACCTACTCCCGTGGGCCCTTAGGCCCGTCCCAGCTCCCCAAGCACCCAAGTGCCCACCCTTCAAGGCCCTCCACGTTCCACTCCCCTCATTCCAAAAAAACCATGACCACAGCCAACATGCTGACCACCAAAACATACTCCAGACCCCGCCTCCCTCCAGCTTCCCAGCCACTCAAGTTCATGGCACATGGTCTCCCACCAGGACCACCCTAGGTATCTCCTTCTCCATCCTTTCCCAGAAATATCTGTCACCTTTTAAAACTCAGCACAGGTCTCATTTCTCACCTGCTCCAAGGCCTCCAAGCCATCCCTGCCCAGAAAAAACTCCTGGCTCTGCAGATCCAGCCCCACCCTTCCCATCTCCTGCCCCTGCCTGCTCCCTTCTGGCCGCACTGGCCTCTGCTCCAGGCCTTTTTGGTGCCGTTCCCTCTGCCCTCACACTCTTCCTCAGACCATTTTCCTGGCTGGCAGAGGTGTCTGGTCAAACGTCATCTCCTCAGAAAGGCCCCTCTGTCCACCAGCTCCAGAAAAAACACAGCTGCCTGACTTTTCTGCATCACCTTCCCGCTCCTTCCTCCAGCCTTCTCCACCATCAAGGAGACTCCACTTCTTCCCCAGCTAGAAGTGAGCTGCAGACCAGTGGCCAGCACAGTGAGGAAACTGGGCCCAGTGTCTCTCTGGAAAGATGATGGCAAGGGCCAATGTCCCCTACCACCTTTCTGGGGTACCTTCATATTTTCCAGGAGCCACTGGAAGCTGATCTCGGCCAGGCAAGTGCCTGTGCCAGCAGCAGCCAGCAGAGGGCGCACCAAGGCCACGCTGCCCTTCAGCAGCTGGCTTTGACCACCAGGCACTAGACATTTGCGCTGGGCACACTGGGGGACACTGATCTGAGCTGTATCCCAAGGCTCCACACTCCACATGCCAGCCTTGCTCCTTCCCCTCCCCTGCTCCGTCATCACAACCAGAACATGTCAAGTGTCCTGGAGATCAAAGTGCCCGTGGCTGGGAACCCTGATCTATAGAGTTTACTTGTTTGTCTTCCCTTGCTCCCACCGGGACACGAGACCCCTGACTACAAAGACTCTTCTGTTCACCCATGGGCCCCATCCCCGAACAGCAGGTGCTCAACAAATTCATCACTGCTGTGTGAAAGGTAAGGCGAGTGGGACATCCCAGTGAGGCCAGAGACACAAGTGGGCAGCAGGGGGGTAGCACCCCCTCCAACTCACCACGGCAGCGGGCGCCAACAGGGACTGACAGTGCAGCAGGGCTCCGGTGGCCGCCACCTGCTCAAGCCACTTGCGGCTGGCGTCACGACTGCTCTCCTCATACTCGCCATTATTGTTGTAGCGGTAGCTAAGGGCCGCCAGCAGCTGCTCAGAGAAGGTGCACACGGCGGCCACCAGGGCCTGGCAGAAGATGGCGTCCCGGCGCAGCTGCAGCTCAGTGTCTGGTGGAGGGCAAGGGGCCTATGGGTGGAGGTCCTGGGCCAGCAGTGGCCTCACAACCCCACAGACCCCACCAGGGAAAACTGGTCCAAATTAATTACAAGGGGACAGTCCACCCACTGAAAGCCAGCTCCCCCCAAGTCAGTTCTCCAAAAGTAGCCAGTGTGCCCCAAACCTCACCCTCTCACTGCACAGCCATCTACCTACCTAGAAAATAAGCTGGCACCCTCCCTCTGGCTGTCCCCAATCCTCACCCAGCTGCTTCCCTGGTGTCATGGGACTTCTGGCCTAGGGCAGCTGATTGCCACAATGTCAAGATCCACGTTTAAGATGTGTCACTTGCCACCTTCTCCACTCCCAAGAGCTGTGCCTTCTTCCTGCCCCACCTTGCCTGGCTCTTGCCCTGACTTTGACATGCTTTGAAAAACTGGCCATTTTCAGGCAACTGGTCACACAGGGTCCCAATGTTCTGAAAGGAAGATTTTCAATGACCAGCTTCTAGACAGCTGGCTCTGTGACGTGTGCTCTGTGACCTGCGCTAACCTAGGTCCTGGCGCAGCTTTCCCCACCCTCGCCGAGTGTCTGGAAAGAAGGGACGGACAGAGAATGGCTTAAGACCCAGCCTCCTGCAGCCTGGCCCCACTCTCTGTGGGCTCCACCACCATCCTTGGTCCTCTGTCCTGTGTCACTGTCAACACTTACTGGGCCTAGCAGGTGTCACAGGATAGGATGCCTGGCTCCAGGGCCCTGAGACCTGTCCCCTTGGACCCAAGAAGAAGGAGTGAGATCTAACAGCTATTGCTGGGGTTGGTGGCCAAAATGTCACCTCCCCAGTTCAGGTCCTGAAGGACCATGGCAAAGCCAACCTTAGGTAGTGGAAGAGGACTCCCCAGGCTGTGGTCATGGGTGCCCAGGGTCAAGGACCCGTGCTGGGGACCTCTGGCTCAGTCGCTTCTGCAGAGCCCCTCACCTGTGCACTTCAGCAAGGCCAGGAGCAGCTGGTTCTTCCCATCTGTGAGGAGGAGAGGGGAAAGGAGGTAACTGAGCGGGGCTTGCAGATGGGACAGTCCCCGGCTCCATAGCCATGCACTCTGGCCCTCACGGGAGCATTCAGTGCTCAGGCTGAGCTCAGCTCATAAATCCTACAACCCCTGGATATCTGAGGGTGGAACCCCCTGTGCCAGCTTTATCCGTCCCCATCAGTGACTAAAGTCACTGCTTTATCTCTGGAGTCTGAGCCCCTGCTATACTTTATGCACTTTGTGGGTTGCGTGTGCAGGCATTCACAGACACATCCACTCCCACATCTGCGAATGTGCACACACACATATCCCACCCAGCCCTGCCGTGTAGCAAAGGCACACCCCTTCTTGACTGAGGCTTAGCGCCAGCCTCTTTCCTTCACAGAGATGCTCCCAGGCCCAGAAAAGCCTTCAAGAACAATCTGAACAGTCTCCAGATTCAGCCTCGAGATACTTTCTTCCCCAGGGAGACCCTTGCCCGTGTGCAGGACGGCAGGCTCAGGTTCAGGGCCTTTCACCAAGGCCACACCTCATGCCAAGCAGTGTCCTGAGTGCCTCGTTTGTACTGACCCATTTTTCCTCACAGCAACATGCAAGGAAGGAAGTGCTGTGAGCCCACTGCACATACGAGAGAAAGACGGCCCAGAGAAGTCAAGGAATGGGACGTGGTCACACAGCCAAAGGTAGGTGAGTGGGGATTCAGGTCCTGGCAGTGGAATCACAGAGTCCATGCCCTCAACTAATTGCAACTCAGGATCGACACACTTCTAACTCCACGGTGGCTGCGCCCTTGGGGGATGGGCTGAGTCCTTGTACCTCCTGCTGTCCTACTAGAGGGCTCCCTGGCCTGGGTCCTTCTGCCCCAGGGGTCCCTGATCATATGCCGGCAAGGACAAGGCAGGCATCATGAGATGTGTGGAGACTCCAGCCACAGGGAGTCATGAACCAGAACAGCTCTCCTTGTCCATGCCACCCCAGCAGAGTGTGGAAACCAGCCAGCTGCCAGGCATCACCAGGGCTGGGTGCTTAAGCAGCTGGAAATCAAATATTTTGGTGAGATCTCTGCTGTGTAAGTGGACAATGGGTTCATGTCTTGATGCCGTACTATCAAATTCTGTGGGACCCAGTCTAGCCAGCTGTGACCTCGATAATAAAATGAAACAAATGAATGCCAGTTCTGGAAGGTAAAAAGGAACCGGTCCTGCCTGCCCACCTCCAGACTACAAGGAAGCTTCGGGAGAAATGCCCCCAAATCAGCAACTCCTTGTCCAGTATCAACAGACCCAGGCCCTACCCAGTGCAGGATGCTCAGACCTGCTCCTCTTGATGTTCTCTGGGCATGGAGACGGGTAAACGGATGGGCCCATTCCAAATCCTGTGCTAGTCCTCATTCAGAACCACAGGCCACCACGGCCGTGTGGCGGCCCTCCCCGCCTGTGTGCTGACCTTCCACGTATCTCTGGATGTTATCCACCAGGGTCTTGATGGAGCTGGGCAGGTTCCAGGGGTCCTCCTGGATGCTAATCTGGATCAAGCTCCGGCCACGGATCGTGCACTCTTCCTTCTGCTTGAACTCTGGGACACGAGGGCCAAGAGAGGGGTCTTTGGAGAATGGTGGCACAAAGGCCTGTGACCTGTCACCCGATTCCAAAGCTCACAACCCTAGATCAAGGCCGCTGGTGAGAGTCACGTCCGCGGGGAGCAAGTGCGTGCTAACTGTGCTACCGTCCTAGGGCCACACTCCCTGCAGGCATCGCTAATTGATCTCAGCTCTCCTAGATGCTTGCCTGAGGCTGTGACTCCCCACAGCTACAACCGATCAGTGCAGACATCAAAATCAATCACAGCCTTCTTTTCTCCTAGGGTTGGATGCTTTGGTGCTCAGATACTGTCTGCTTATAGCCACAACCAACCAAGCTGGCACATGAGCACCTCGTTTAACAACTTTCCTACACAGAAGAGGCAGCCCAGGCACAGAGTAGGAAAGTGATTTCCCTAAAGTCACACAGCTGGGTGGTCACAGCTAGGCCTTCAATCTGGCCTCAGCAGGACAATTCAAAGGCCAGGCCCTACTTGGTTTTCCTCTTCCCAGATTTCTGACATATCTGTGGGGTTCGTCCCTCCCTGTCATTTCAGCCTTCTGAGGTCTATCCCTGGAGAGGTGATTCTGAGACAGAAGAGGGGCAGCCAATGAGGGTGCTCCCAACTCCTCACCACTTCCTACTCTACTTAGTCTGCATCCTGTCTCCCACATACAATGGGAGCCCCTGAGGTCAGGGCGGGGTACAGCTCATCTTGGGGTCACCAGCACCCAGTTCGGGCCTGGCAGGTCAGTAGGTGGTGAGTAGATGGATTGTTGGATGGATGGGTGGGTGGATGGGTTTGGGGCAGGTACGATTGGTAGGCAAATGGGATGAAAGGTAAGGGGAGGACGTAAGAAATTTCTCCTCTTTGCTCTAAATCATTTCGGAAGGTGTCTGGGTTTGGTGCAGGTGAGGCCTTACTTCTTTCACTCATAAATCCATTTCTCGAATAAGAACAAAGAGCCCTGAGCAGGCCCCAGACCTAACAGCAGCAAAGGATGTTCTGCTGTTGTTTCCTTTTTATTATGGCTTGACTGTAATTTATGGCTTGACTGTAATTTATGGCGTGTTATACTGGTTTTTCACAGAGAGGAAGTTTAATAAGGTTCTTTCAAAACATTTCTAAGAGATAGCTGCTTTTTTTTTTTTTTTTTTAATTATGTCAATGATAAAAGAGGCAGCAAACGAACACAGTGAATGTAAGAGGCTGGGTGGGCTCTGTGAGATAGCCCAGTGCTGAGTCTGAGGTCTGCAAATGAGCCTCACGCCACTCCTCCCCTCCCCTCCCCTCCCCTCCCCTCCCCTCCCCTCGCCTCACCTCCTGTCACAACCAGGCAGACCCAGGAAGTCCAGGGACAAGCACAGGGCCACTATGTCAGGCTTTGCCTCTATCACACATACTTTGTTTTGTTCTGACAACACTTTAAAAATGAAAAATTTATTCTCAGCTCAGAGTCTGAACAAAAGAGGTCAGGAGCTGGATCTGGCCAGAGGCCAGAATCTGTCAACCTTGGACTCGCCCAGAGGCACTGCGCAGGTGCGGCTGGCCCCTCACCTTGCAAGCTGTGCTCCATGGGGAAATGTTTGGTCTCCTCAAACGCCCTGCTCATGACTGGTCCCTTGAGTAGCGCGTTGATGGAGTCCACCTGGTGGCAGGAAGCTCTGGGTGAGTGTGGCCCCCGGTCCTCTGCACTGTGGGACCTGGCACCCACAGCCTAGCCCCAGGGTGATGAACTCTGCTGCGATGGCTGCAGGCACCCAAGACCACACCTGGTTGAAGAGATGCTCCAGGCAGCCGTGAAGCTTGTCCTGCTTGTCCGACGGGATGCGCATGTCACAGGGCAGCTCGTCCCCTGGAAGAAGGAAGAACCGCAGCCATGAGCTGCACTGCTCCACCTCACCCTGCCCCAACTTCTTTCTCAAGCTGGCAGTGCCAACACAGACTCCAAATCCCAGCAGAGGAAGCGCCTCACAGACCCAGGTCCTAGCTGAGTCACTGGGCAAATCACATCGGCCTCAGTTTCTTCATCTACAAAATGGGTGACGGCCAAATACGGAAAGATTGGGAGGCACTGGCTGTCATGATTTCCAGACTGCAAACAAGGAGACTGAAAGCAGAGAGAAGGAAGGGGACCCTGGCCTCCTGACTATCACCCAGCCGTTCACACTAAATCAGTGGCCACACGTGAGCACCATTCCCAACCTCCCCAGGGACAATGTCCATTTTCCTTACACTTCCTTTTCTTCTGTTACATTCACACATAGTTAAGAGTAACTCTTTTTGGGTGGTACTGGGATTCAAACTCGGGGCTTCACACTTGCTAGGCAGGTGCTCTACCACTTGAGCCATGTGTCCAGCCCTAAAATTACATTTTTATGCACAGATTTCTCCAGAAGGACACGAGACAACAGTGGTGACACTGGCCACAGTAGTGACAGTCGAGGACCAGGAGGCTGGGGTGTGGGGTGGTGGACATGTTTATCATCTTTCAGCCCTCTCGTGACTTTTAAATAACGAACTGCATGGAAGTATGACCTTGTCCAAAATTGTCACTCTGAAGTAAACAAGACTAAAATCTAAAAGCAAGAGTCAGGCTTTTAGTGGAAGCTTCAGCACAGGATTGTCTAGTTTAGAAAATATCACCGTCTGTCCCTCCATCTGCCCACTCCTGTGTCCAGCTGCACAGGTGCACGTTCACCAATGGCCTCTAAAGGCAGAGGCGGCTCTGATTCAAGCTCACGCTCCTGTGCTTCTGTGACCTTTCCGTGTCCTCTGGGTTTTGATTTGAGCACCTGTCATTTTCACAGCCCTCGGCTCCTGTGGCTGGTGGCGTCAGAGCTCACATGACAGCCACACATCACACCTGGCCACACAGTTGCGCGGCGCTGCATGTGCTCACACGTCCTGACACACTCAAGGGCCTTCTCTGCTTTGGCTGCTGTGTTCCCAGAACAGCATGCGACAGGTGCTCGGTGAGCACCTGCTGAGTGAGTGGACGCCAGGAGCCCGCGCCATTTGGTGCGAGCGATACTGCCCCGCCAGAGTCCCCACCGCCCCTCCCCAAGCCAGCCCACACTCACCTGAGCCCATCTCATCGCTGCCCAGGTACGAACTGTTGCTCCTCACACTGGTGTACGACAGGACCGAGTCCCGGTTGCTGTTACACTCACTGCAACGGGAGAGACCAGCTGAGCTACCGCCAGCCCTGAACCCACTTCCTGGAGTGCAGAAGACTCCTAGCCCTAGGGGAATCCCAGCCAGAGGCAGGGACACTGGGCTGGCTCGGGTCCTAGTGCAGGCCAGCACAGAAATGCACAAGGAGAGGACCGTGACTTTTCTTCACTACAGTCCCCATCTCTGCACTTGGTATCACCACAGCTCAATCCCTTACTCAGTGTCACCGCTGTCCAGTGTTCTCACACTTGGGCATCACCATGTCCAGTGTGTCCTGCACATGAATGTCACCACTGTTCAGTGTCCCCAGGGCTTCCAAAGCACTTCACTCCTCTGTGGGGCAACCCTGCCCCACACACCTGCCTACACCACACTTGGCCTAAAGGGAACCAGAAACCACAATCCCGAAATTCTTCCTTGAGTTTCTGACAACAAAGGGGAAAATCAGAGGACCCAAAGGTGCCACAGAGAAAACCCAGAGCTGGAGAGTCCCTGGGCTCCGGATGCGAGGCTCCAAGGACACAAAGCGGGATGTCACTGTCCAGATATCCCTCTGTACAGACGCCGCAAAGGTGGACATGGGGACCAGGTGGTCAGAAAGAGAACTGACCAGGGCGGGTTGGTCCCAGTCCAAGCCTGGGTTCACTTGCACAGAACTGAAGCAGCCGCTAAGGTCTCCTCTGAGACCAATGGTCAAATATGTCCTGACCTTGTGCCAGGGACCAGTGTGCGGTACCTGTGGCACAGAGGCCACTGCAGGCCTCCAGACGGGAAACAGGCTTAGCCTCCCACTTCTACTTGAAACCCCACTGGTCTCAAAGTGAATTTAACCAGAGAAACCCAGTCCTGGCCCTCAGCATCGGGAGAACAGGATGTCACTCCCTGGACCAAGTGAAGGTGGTATGAGCCCAGGAGGCAGGTGTCTTACACTGCCTGTGACAACCCACAGGATGCCCACCTCCTCTTTCAGTCAGCATGGACAGTGTCACAGGATGGACAGTGTCCCTGAGGGCTGGCATGGGATCAGCGAGTGTAAGTGAGTGGCTGGGCAGTGCTGTGAGGAACTCAGAGAACCCCAGAAACGCTGCTAACACCAGAACCCGGATCCTACTGCATGCTGGGAAGTGTCCCGTGATCCTTGCTTTCCAATAGGTCAACAGCCTTGACTGTCCTGCCGGCCATCCTATCAGGCCCGGGCCTTGTGTGCTGTACACACCTGTAGGAATCACGGTAGCTCATGGTGTCGTGGCCCGAGTCCTCCTGGTCGTCCTCGGACACCTTGAAGCACACTTTCTTGCTGCCCCCATGGTCGGTCCTGTCAGCCTCACTCTCCTCGCTGACCAGAGGGGAGGATGAGGAGGAGGACTCCTCAGCCAAGGGGGGACCACAGGGCCCTGCCGAGGTGGGCTCTGTAATGGTGGACAGCAGCCTGTGGGAAAGAAGACCTTGAGGGTGATGACAGGCCCACAGGGTCTCCCACCACATGGGGACCTACCAGGGCCTTTGCCCCGAGGCCTTGGTCCCACCTCTGACCCCACACAGATGGCTTCCTAGTGCCTTGTGACCACTCCACAGGGCCCCTGCTGCCCCTTCAAGGTGTGCAGTCAGGGCTCCATTCCTCAGCCAGGCTAACAGGGCCCCACAACACTGCACATGGGCTGGGAACCCGGCAGGTCCCAAAGGGCAAACCTTCCCTTTGCATACCGCCTGGCCTCAGTGACAGCCAGCTGGCTCCATCCCTGCAGCCTGAGAGCCCCGTCAACAGCGTGTCAGCAGATAGCACAGCCATGTCACAATAAAACTTTATTAACAACCAAGCGGGCAGTAGGTCAGATTTAGCCCATGGGCCACAGCCGCACAGTATAATGGTTAGCCCCCACCTGGACCCGCCAATTCCTGGCTTAGAGGCCTCAAGCAAGCTATTTAGCCAAGACCCAGTTTCCTCATCTCTAAAATGGGATAATAACAGGAAAGTATCAGGACCTGCACCCAAGGCTGCTGCGAAGACTCCACGAGTGACCCTCGAGCACCCCGCGCTGGCCTGGTGGCCTCACCTGTTGATTTGAGTGACATATTGCCTCATCTCCCTGAGGGCCACGTCCAGCTTTGTGAAGAGCTGCAGATAGGCGTCCTGGGTCTCCCGGTCCTCCTGCTTCAGCAGAAAGCTCAGTCCTCGGTCCTCCAGGCTGCCAGATCCACTGGCCATCCCGAAGCTGCTGTCACTGTGCCCCTGGCTTTGGGAGTCCCCATCAGCCGCAGGCGAGCACTTCCAGGACGGGGCGGCCATGGTGGTGATGCAGTGCTGGGTATAGGACATGGGGTTCAGATGGCCTATAGCAGAGGAAGGGAGCACACACTCGGGAAACAGCCCCAGACACATGCCCTCTGGCAGAGGGCCACAAACGCACTTCAAGGGTTCCAATGAGCGAGAACATTTTCCCCTTCCAATATTCTTCGTCCACTAGGTTAGCTCATGAAGAAAGTTTCAGTTTGGGCTAATGGGCTTTTAGCCACTGTGCTCTTTTTCCTGCCTGGAATGTAGACATGATGGCTGGTAATCCAGCAGCCATGCTCTACCATGAGGTATTCTAAAAGTTGGAAGCCCCATCTAGACATGATGGCGCAGAAAGACAAAAGGAGCCTGGATCCCTGGTGACTATGGAGCCCCCATTCCAGCTCTGAGCCGTGGGCCTTCAGACATATGTCTCTTTCGTACCATTTGCAGCGTGGGGGCTAAGCATGATTTCTAGCAGACAACACAGGTACCTTGCTCGGGGTCAAGGCTGATGAGGGAGGGTTTGCGCCCGAAGCGGATGCTGAAAGATCTGCCGACCGAGGGGGTGGTCTTAGGGTACGACACCTCCATGAGGTTCACGTGGCAGTTGGTGGGGCAGAAGTCCAGGCCACACAGTGGATGGGGCTCAGGGGATGCCTGCTTGAAGTGGGGGCTGACCCTGTTCTTCAGCTGGGCTGCAAACTGAGAAAGGTGGGGGTGCAGGTCGTAAGGTGGGGGCTACCTCTGGAGCCCACTTTATCCTGGCCTAGGCCAGATACCCCTAAATTGGACAAGACACTAGCACTCCAAATGCAAAAGGAGGTCCCTGTGGTGTCCCTCACTGGGTACCAGCGTCACAGACAGCCTGGCACAACCTGAGGCCACTAAGACCTGACCTGTGTTCCCTCCTCCACCTGAGCTGCTGCACCTGAGCCATCCTGGGGAGCCACCCCTCACACCCCCCAGATTTCCCCATTCCTTCAGTGACTAAGGCAGGGTCGGCGCCTAAGCCAAGCCAGTAAATAAGCGCCTGTGAGTTGATTCTTTTGGGTCTGCTAAAGTCCGAGCTAGGATCTTCTGGTCACACAGGAGAAGAGGCTGGCAGAGAGTGAAGCGAACACAAGAAACAGTCAAGAAATAGACAGAGTCCACATTCTGGTGAAAACCGCTTAAGCACCCTGCATACAGCCCTGTCTGAAGTCCATCTCTGCAGTTTTCAATGACACAAACCAAGAGTCCCATTTGTTTAAGCCAGGTTGGACTGGGGCTTGACATTTACAATCGTGACATCCCAGGCCGAGATCCCACAGTGGACAGGCACCTCCTGGTAGCAGGCAATCCTCTGGCCGATGCTCTCCAACTTGGTGTCACAGATGTGGCGGAACTCGTAGTGGGGCATGGTGACGATGGCACTGCCCATGGCCATGAGCCGCCCGCAGTTCTGAACGAAGTCACTGTCAGCAGCAGCCAGGGCCTCGAGGATCTGCAGGACACAGGCGGCTATGAGCATGCTGCCTGAGTGCCATGGGGTGTCGTGAGCGATCACCTGTGGTGGCTCCTGTCTGGCTCACGACACCCGTGAGGTCGAGTCTGCTGCTGGCCCATTCTGCAGATGGGTAAACTGAGGCTGGGGGACAGTGAACTGCTCTCCTCAGTCCCCCCGGCCACCAAGTGACGGGTCAGGATGAGAATTCGGGGCTCTGGGCTGACGGGAACCAGGAACCCAGGCAGGGCGGGGCGGGGCACGGACCTTGGCAGTGAGGCGGAAGCAGCCGCGTGGCTCCACGATCTTTTCCAGCACGTGGCACCGGACGCCAGCCGTGCTCATGTACTCATACACCACGCCGTGCTCCAGGTGCACATTGTCCACCGTCAGGCTGACCATGGGGCCGTCCTCACGCAGGCTCAGTTGGGAGTCCAGGGCCAGCAGGGGCAGGGCTAGAAGCCAAGGGCAGACGGCACTGAGCAGGGGACACTGGGGACACTACAGCCTGTCCCCCAGCCCCTTGTGTTCTCACTAGCTATCGTCCACCCATCCTGAAGACACCCTGTATTCTCAGCCTACGTGGTCGGAGAGGCAGCCTACCACCCCCTTTCCTAGCACTGGACCACCAGGGGTCAGGACTTCTGTTGCATTTACCAAGGGAAGGGGACACGCTCTTTCTTAAATGGACCCCACACTGCTGCAGCCACCATGTAAGAGGCAGGCCAACACAGAAGCTGAGCACTGCACAGAAACAGATGCCTCCTGGTGCTGTAAGAGGCACTGGATCAAGCCAGACCTGAAGCTTGTAAACCCACTTGGACTTCAGTCTGCTGAGCCCATGTTTTTACATAATCCAGCTTCAGAAAGAGCCATTTGCTTGGAGCACACAGGGTGGCCTCTGAGGAGGCGCTACTTGAGCAAAAAGCTGAATGAGGGAGAAACAGGAAAAAAAAAAAAAAAGGAAAATGGTTGCAGGTTGACTCACTACTGATAAAGGTGGTGAGAAGTGGACTGTGGACACAGAAGGCCAAGTTGACAGGTGCACTGCTGCCAGAATCAGGGTGGGAGGGAGGGAGAAAGAAAAGAGGCGGGAGGACTCAAAGGGCTGTGGCCCATGAGACTGGAAGGCTGAAGACGGGGCGAAGAGCAGTGGGCAGCCGGGCGGCCGCGTCTAATTCTGCCTATACAGAGTCCGTCAGTCGGCCAGGGAGCTGACCTGGGGCTGGGGGACATGACCAGGCTGGAGCTCAGGGCTTGAAAGTGGCTGCAGAGTTGGCAGGGAACGGTGTTCACAGCCATGGGCACACCGTGTCACATGGCTCGGGAGGACACAGGCTGCGGGTAGAAGTTGGGCTGCTGAGTCTCAGCGAGTGGACAGCAAGTAGGGGACCAAGCTAGCCTTGAGGGTCTTTAACTGGGAGGATGGAAGCTGAGGACGGCAGAGGGAGGGGGCTCCAGCCAACAATGCTGGGCCCTCAGTTGGCCCTAGGGCCATGAGCCAAGGAAGCTTTCAGAAGCTGAGGCAGACAAGGAAACAGATGTTGCTCTAGAGCCCCAGAAAGGGGCACAACCATGGAACACCTTGACTTTAGCCCAGAGACTCATTTCCAGAACTGCAGGATGGTGCATGAGTGTGGGGTAAGCACCGGGTCTGTGGTGCTTTGTGACAGCCACCATGGGAGGCTGATGGACTCAGGAGGACCAGCTGCCCTGGGACTCTGCCCTCTGGAAGCTCTCTCACACTCCCACCTTGCCTTACCTGAGTCAGGCTGGTGTTCCTCACCAGGGGCCTCCTGGCTGGCCCGTGCCTGCTGAGCATCCTCGTGAGTGTGGTAGATCCACTGGTACAGGCCCTGAAAGAAGCCACCATGAGAGGGACAGCCATGACGCTCTCAGGGTCAGGGAGGAAGGGACAGGCAAGGGACAGAACATCCATACTCCCAAGCTTGGGCTTTGAGCCTGTCCATGACACCACCTCTGGAAAGGCCTCCAGGATGTCACTCTGGACCATTCTTGAGGAACAGCTAGTCAAGGAGCCCTCTATAAACAATCTGTGCCTCCATGCAGAAGCCAGGAAGGGCAGCCTTTGAAAACGTCAGTCAAGGCCAGGCCTGGCAGATCCACCCCATCATCCCAGCTACTCAAAAGGCAGAGATCCAGAGGATCTAGGTTCAAGGCCAGTCCATGCAAAAAGTTAATGAAACCCCCCCCTCAACTCAACTAATAAGCAAAGCATGGTGGGGCACGCCTGTCATCTCAGCTACACAGCAGGCATGAATAGGAGGACCATGGTCCGAGGCCTGCTGCAGGCAAAAAGTGTGAGACCTTATCTGAAAAAAAACTAGAAAGCAAAAAGGACTGGGAGCCATGGCTCAAGGGGTAGAGCACCTTATCTAGCAAGTACGAGACCCTGAATTCAAACCTCAGCACCACAAAAAAGTCAGAGCCACAGGACACACTTTGTCCTGTGTCCCCAAGGCCGAGAAATATACCTGGTGCTAATAAACAGTTGCTGAGAGCCAAGGGACAAATCAGATATCACCCTCCACCCTTCTCTGAACCCTGGCCCCAACCCAACACTGACAGCTGCTGCCACCAACACCACTATGTGCCCTGTTGCATATGTCATGTCATATTCTATGGCTACAGTGTGCCCGGTGGTAAGAAGAGAGGGTCTCATCACACTGGTCCGTCTCACAGCGATGGACACTGAGGCTAGGAGCAATCATGGCTGGCTCAGCCCTGCCAGACCGGCAGCCCCCACGGTGCCTCTGAGCTCCTCCCCCGGAAGACAGTGTCCTCGTCCACTGCCCCGGCTACCAGCTCACCAGGGCTTCTTCCCGCCGGCTGCGGAAGGCCTGAAAGTGCTCCAGGGCCTCAAGGGCGCCGTCCTTCATCACATTGTTGCCGTTCACTTTCAGGATGCACTGGCCAGCACACAGCCCAGCGGCTGCCGCCTGGGAACCTGGGGACAGGAGCTCGTGAGGCTGGGCCAGGAAGGAGGCCAGTGCAGCAGAGGCACTGATGGGCATTGTCCCCCCTCCTTGAACATACACCAGGGCCTGCGCTTCCACCCGCCCACTTTGGAGCCACCTGCTGCCCCCACAGAGGGCAAGATGCAGAAGGGGAAACTGAGGCTGGAAGCAGGGACAGCTATGGCAGAGAGAGCTGGGTTCAAATTCAGACACATCCCATCTCCTTCAGAGTCCTGCCCAACCTCAGGGACCTGGACCAGGTCAGCAGAGGCAACAGAGGCTCAGAGGCAAAGTGACTGTCAAGAACACCCAGCAGGGGAGCTAGGGTCCATCAGATACCACGAGTGTGCATTTCCAACTGCACCCGACTCCCACCTGTGTGTCTCGGCCTAGTTTTGGGCCTGGAGATGCCAACAAGAGTCACTGCACATGGACAGCCTCAGGCCTATGTGACCGCCAGCACAGGGCACAGCGTGGCTTCTAAGCCTGCCATGCAACCTTCTGTATCTACTGGGTCTCAACTCCTCATCTGTGCAGTGAAGACCCTAATGACACTTGCCCCTGGGGTCCTCAGGAGTCGCATGGGGTGAAGGCCTGGAACGCTGAGCACAGCCTGGCACGCAGCAAGCACTGAAGAAAGGCGGCTGCCTTGTGCATGGCAGCTTCCCCTACTGCTAAGGTGTGCACCTGGAATGCCCCCCAGAGGCCCAGGTGGGTAAAGGCCCAGCGTGGTGCTACTGGGAGATGGAGGAAACTGTAAAGATGAGGGGGAGGTCTTAGGTCACTTGGGGTATGGTTCTGAAGGACAGTGGGACCCCAGCCCCTTCCTCTTCCACATCCTTGCCAGCCAGTGAATGGCTTTGCTTCACTGCACACTCCCACCACACTGCGCCCACTCGCCACAGGTCTGAAGCAAGTGAGCTCTCCAAAACTGTGAGTCAAGATGAACCTTCCTCTTTCTAACTTGGTTGTCTCAGGCATTTTGTTGCAGTAATGGAAGCCAAATGACACCTGTGCACACTGGCTCTGACTGATTACCAGCCTGGCAGCCATTCCAGGCAGGTGCTGTACTAGGCAGCACAACACCTGGGGTGAAGAACCTGTGGGTATGTGGAACCATCCGTCCTGGGTACTACAGGACACCAGCAGCATCCTGGTCAGCCTGCTAGATGCTAATAGCACACTCTCCCCAGTTGTGACAACCAAAAACATCTCCAACCTTGCCAGGTATCCCCAGGAGAGGGGCAGATTACCACAGCTGAGAACTACTGTTTAGGGGTTATTAAAATACAAACCCATTGAAAAATACTACCAATCCTCAGTAACCTTCAGCATGGTATGAATTTTCCTACAGACCCGGCCACAAATGCAAGTTAATGCTTAAACTTTACAAGGGGGCCCCTGGATGGGAAAAGTTTGGGGAGCCCAGGATCGCAACCTTGGTCTCCAGGACAAACTGACACCTTCAACAGCAAGCAACAAAAGGCTGTGCAGAACACAGAGGTCTCAGACTAGCAGCTATGGGCTCCCAAAATTCACATTTCTGGCTCCTAACAAGTCCATTAGGAGTGGACTCGCCTTCCTGCCAAGCTGAAGACAACCCTCTCCTCTGGATGAAGATGGATTCTTCTTCCCTGCACCGGTCCTCACCGCTCCCTTCAGTCTTGCATTCAGGTCCCTCTGCCCGACTATGACTTGTGTCTGTAAGCCTTGGCTTAGAGCAAGGAAAACAAGGCCGATGGTGCACGAGCAGGTGGAGGAGTGTCAGTGGTTTGCAGGACTCTGAGCTCCTACCACACAGATGGCCCCTGCCCCGAGGCTCCCACTCACCTCTGCCCACAGCGTAGACACACGGCGGGGCAGCTCCTCGGATCTGGAAGCTCAGAGCCTCTGGGTGGTCAGGGACTTTGATCGTCCTGAGGTGACAGAAGTGCAGGGAGAGGGCGTGAGGAACAGCAGCACAGCCCCCAGTAACCTGGGGCTACCTGGGGGCCCCCACCACGGAGACTAACGGAGTCTAGCCCAAAAGAGGAGCACACCGGGCCCCCAGAGGTAAAGAGAGGTGCAGATTCAACAGAGCCCATGCATCCACCCTATCAAAGCTCACAATGGGGGGGAGGTGGCCCAAACAATGTATACCCACATAAGTAAACGTAAAAACGATTTAAAAAACTCACAATGATTCCACATTACCCTCCTGTTCCATCTTTCTCACTCTCCTGTCCCAAGGGCCCCTCATGACCAGACCCACACCTCGGCCATTGCTATTTTACTCAGTGATGGCCGATGGGAGGTGGGGAGGTGGTGCTGTCCCTACGAAGACACTGGCATGGGCCCCCTAGAGGACACAGCGGGAAACGCAAGTTTTGACCATTCTCTAGGCAGAGGGGTGGCATGCGACAGGGAGCACAGGGCATTCCTTTACCTTGCCCACCTTTGTGCCACAGGGGTATCCCCCACACTGGGGGTAAAGCCCACCTACCAGGTAAAGCCATCCCAGGAGCCTGTCCCACTGTCCTGGAACCTTAAGCAGGTATGTTCCAGCTCAGTGACTTCTGCCTCGACAAAGCAATCAAACCATCCATCACACCTTCCCTAAATCCACTTGCCTTTTTACTGAAACAACCGTGTGTCAAACTTTCCATTGCATATTCACCTCAAATGAAATGAAGCCAGGAGCACCAAATGCCCAGTTTGACACAGAAACACCTGTCCAGTGCCCGTATCCACAATCAAGCACCAGCCTCACCGCCTGCTTCTGCTTCTGGCCCTGAATGTCTGGCTCCATCTGCAGCCGGAAGGCTTCTGTCAGAACCTTCCACTTCCTCCACCTGGTACCCCATTCCTCGAGAAATCCCCTTAATTCCTCTGTCCCCTCCATAAGGTTGTCATCCCAATTCTCAATAACATCTCCCTGACAACCACTCTCCACACACCCTGGCTTCTCTCCCAGCTTTATGTATCAAACTGCACCTCTCTTACCACCACTGGCTCAAGTTTCTATCTGGTTATCTGTGCCCTGCTCCATCCTCCAACCAAGCCTGAGGTCAATGGACGGCAGGAACTGGATCTACCCCAACAGGGATGCACCCCCAGAGACAAGGCACCCCTTGGCACAGGTACACTCAGTTCTGCCCACAAGGAACCAGGATGACCCAGCCCCCCACCTCCCAGCACTGAGGAGCATCAGGCTGGCCCATGGGGACACTCACTCTTTGGCCTTGGTGGCCACAAGGAGGCGTACTGGGCGGCGGGAGCAGAAGGACTGGTTGAGGATGGTCTCCACCTCTGTGAAGGGCCGCAGGAAGACCAGGTCCTCATTGATGGAGTAGATCTTCCTCCCCGCCTGAAGGCCAGCCATCTTGGGGGCAGGAGGGGGGACAGGCACATGGTTATTGACCCCCTTCCTCCTCACCAAAGAACCTGGAATGTTCTAGAAGCCCGGCACAGTCCCAAAAATCCAGCAGGCCAGGAAGCCCGTGAGGGTGCTGCTCCCTCTGGAGTGAGGGGTCCTGAGCCCTCGCTCTGGATGGCCAGCTGCAAAAGCAGGCACAGAAGGTACTCTCCCCAGAGCTACAGCTCCAGGCACCACACTGGGGCAGCCACCTGCTGGGTGACCACGAGGATTTGGCCTAGATGGAAACAGGTACACAGACCTGAACCAAGGCTCCAGCCACCTCCTGCCAGCCTCTTGCAGCATTTAGAAAAAGCCCTCTGCTCCCGCCATGAAAGAGAGAGGCTCTCACAGCCCTGGGCTCCCCAAAGTTGCACTAGGTGTGCGAGCCCTGAAGAAGCAGGTCTGCCACAGGCTCACTCCCAGGCTGTCCTTGGATGCTGTGGCCATCAGGAAGCCACAGGTTCAGCCCACTAGAGCCCAGATGCTTGGCTTTTCCCACCATCTTGATTCCGAAACCTCCTGCTTTTCCTGCACCTCCCCACAGGACCCAGGAGGGGCGCTGGTAGAACACGCCAAGATGGTCCTGAGCGGCTGGCCCAGCTCAGCCCAGCTCAGCGCCCCCAGCACCTGAAGGCAGGGGTTCTAACTCAGACTCCCCCAGAGGTAATGAAAGAGAAGGAACAGGTGTCCCAGGCCTGCCACGCTGAACCTGCCTCAAGGGACACAGGCACCGGCTCGCCACTTGCATGCTGCCCCACCCTAGGCCTCACCTCGGCCAGCGAGCCCCTCTGCACTGACTTCACTACCACGGCCTTGTTCTTCTCCTCGATGTCAAAGCCATAGTCCTCCTCCTGGGGCAGGATCTGAGGACCAGAGAAGGAAGAGACCCGTCAGGCAGGGGGGCTGAAGGCGGCCCCACCTTCACCCCCACAGGACTGTGTTCCCGTGACTCCCTGCATCCCAGGTCTACCAGGTGGGGTGAGGATGGCAGTCTGCAGGGCAGCAGCCTCAACCAGACCAGCAAGGTGGAGTAAAACCCGAGCACTGCCTGGCACGAAGTAGGTGTGCAGTGCCCAGCTACTGGATGAGGACACATGCTCAGTCCCCACAGTCTGCTGCAGATCACACGTCTGTTTACTTCTCACTGCCTGATCCCTCTCTCCTGCCAGGTAAGGAAGCATGTCCCTCTCATCACAGTGTCTTGTCACAGTCTACTTGCATACTGTGAGTGCTCAATAAATGTTCACTGACCTAGTGAACAAAACAGACCCCAAGCTGTCCAACCACCAAAAATCTGAGGGAGGAAAGAAACTTGAGATGCTGCAGCCCCTTATAGGGCAGGATGGCAGGGGTGCTGGAGGAAGGCTTGGGGCTCCAAGGGAGAAGGACAGAGTGTGCGTATTCATTCAACAAATATTCCAAGAGTTCCTTCCTCCCTGGTACTTGTGCCAGGTCTCCACTGGGTGCTGGAAATGCTGTTGAAGAAGATCCCTAACCCCTACAACTGCCCATTTAGTGGAGGAGACAGACTAGAAACACCCAGTGTGGTGCAGAGAGCATATGCAGCTTGGATTAAAACAAAGTACTTAAGGGCACAGGGCATGGGGTGGCAGAGGCAGGGGGAGATGATGCCTGAGCTGACAGCCGAATGAAGGGAGTGGGGGAATGTACTCCAGCAAGGAGGCACAGCGTGTGCAAAGGCCCTGAGGCTGGCCCCAAGAATAAGAAGGTAAGGAAAAATACTAGGGTAGCTGGGGTGGAGAGAGGAAGTGGGCAGAGAATATATGTAGGAAATAAAGCTGGAGAGACAGGCACAGCTGCAGAGACCGTACTGAGAGTTTATATTTTATCCTGAGTGTGATGAGAAGTCTGGCCTTAGAGTGAGACAGGTGGCGCCGAGGGAACAGAATTCCCAAAGCACTGCAGGGGAGAAGCTAAATTGGGCAGATTCACACTGGACTTCATGACCTCAGCTCTCTTAGCCCATCTAGATCGCCTGCTGTGAGGAGCTGCTGCTCTCCAGTGGGCAGAGAAAGCAGACTGGGTGGGCGAGGCTGGCACAGAGTCTGAGCAGGGTGGTAAACACTGTTCCTGAATTACATGGACACTGACAGTAACTGAAGTGGCCAGGTCAGCATTCAAGGCTGAGGCCCTGCTCTGCCACTATCGGAAGGTTGCCCAGCTCTGGGAATGAAGGCGCCAGCCCTGCTCTGCTCCTACCAGCAACCGCTTGGCTAGGAGGTTCTCCACCAGCTTGAAATCGTTGCGAAGCTGTTTGTTCTTGCTGCTGGTCCCCTCCATCTCCTCGTCAGCATGGAAGCGGAAGTACTGGGACTCATCCTTGAACTCACTCTTCTCCAGCACTGAAACGCAGACACAGAAGCTTTAGCAGTCTTTGTTAACTGGCGGCCGCAGGCTGGAACCGGTCCCTGGACAAGGCTGCTTTAGCCAACCTGGTGTTTTATTCAAGTAGAATCACGTGCCACCAGTGACACCTTAGCATGCTTCACGTAGAGAGGTGGCTTTCTGAATCCTTGAAAAATCTGAACTTGGCCCACCTGCTATAAAGCTATATTACAAAGCCACAGGAACCAAAACAGTGTGGAACCAGCACGGGAAAGGATCAATAACCAGAGTGAGGTAAGAGGTCACCCCAGAGGCCTATGTGTTGATGGGAATCTGGTATAAGAGGGGTGATAAATGATAGCATGGAATATTCCAAACATGGAGCTGGGAAAACTGGCTCATTTAAGGAAAAAAAAAAAGAAAATCAGATTCCTACCTCACACCATACATAACAATGAAGCCTGGTGGATTAAAGACCTTACATCTGAACAATAAAACTAAAGCTAATGTAGAAGCCAAACAAAACGCACATCTCTGTACTAGAGCAGAGAAGGACTACACTAAAATTAAGGTCCTCTGTTTAGTAACAACCACACAGACAAACCACCGTGCGGTGCTTCTGGCTAGGGATCAGCAAACTAAAGCTCTGTGGCCAACTACGTCTCACTACATGTCCTTATGAATAAAGTTTTATTGGTAACAGCCACGTTGACTTGTTTACACATTGTCTATGGCCACAGTGCCAGAACTGGATCATTTTATGGGCTGTGCAGCCCACAAAGTATAACTTTCTAGATCTGACCCTTTGCCAAGAAAACGTGCTCTCCCTAGTTCTAGGACAAGCCGGGGAGATGAGCATAAATAACCAGTGCGAGATCTGATCCCTGCAGCTCACCAGTTCTTTAAGCTCTACGGGAGTAGGCACGCGGTTGTCAAAGGTTTATGGGAGTTCCTTCTTGGACAAGGAAGGGTTTTCTTTTTTTTTGGGTGGTACTGACATTTGAACTCAGGGTCTCAGGCTTGCTAGACAAGTGCTCCACCACTTGAGCCATTAGCCAGCTCTAAGGAAGGATTTTCTGTATCCCTTTTCATGGATGGGGAGACTGAGAGCCAGAAAGGCTAAATAAACCACCCAAGGTCAGAGCCAGCAGGCAGCAGGATGACTCTCATCCCTCATCCAGTCCCTCCCTTCCCACCTGCCTGGCACCTGAGGGGACACGAAGGCTCAGTGAGGTTCAGGAAACTGTCTCAGGCCAGTGGAGCCTCACAACAAGGACAACCAGCTCCCTTTGCCAAGACATCCTGAGGTTGCTGAACACTGCAGCTGTGTCCTCACTTGGTGGCTAAGTGAAAAGTCACTGGTCTTTCTTCTTCCAGTCTCAGGACATCTCCTGGGGGCTCTACCTGTTTGTGAGCAGAGTTCTTGGGCCCCCATTACCACTCTGGAGAAAACAGACTTGCAAACTGCTAGTTTCCCCAGAGCTAGGGAGTCAGGCTCCAGGGGCCAGTGGCTTGACCTCTGCTGTAAACATCAAGTTAGAAGATTCCAGAGTGGAAGTCCCATCGTTGGTCTCAGCCGAAACATTTAGGGAAAGAGCGTGGAGCCCCTGGGGTTGCCAGCTCAGGTGAGGAGGCCCAGGTTCTGTCTCTTGCAGCCAAGGCTTTGTATAGTATGCACCGACCTGGGTTCGAATCCCTCCTCTGCCCCCTACTTACTTTGTGCCCTTTGGCTTCTCAGAGCCTCGGGCTCCTCACCTATGGGGATAACAGAAGACCAACCTGCCAAGGTGGCTGCAAGGGTGACATAGCAAGAGGCATGAATGCCAAGGTACAACAAAAAGCAGAGACAGGGAACAGAAATGGCCTCCACTTCCCTGTATTTGCCTAAGTGAAGCTGGACCACTAGCATCTCGGGCCCTCCCTGGGGACCCCTTAGGGCTGGCAGGCTCAGTTCAAACACGGCCAAGGTGCCACGGAGGCCCCACCCCTCCTCCACTCACTGCCGACCCTCCACTTGGCCACGGCCACAACCCAAGGCTCTGGTCCGTTCCTATTTTAGCCTGTTTTTGAGTTCCAGGCAGGGAAACAGCCGCACCCTGCGATTGCCCCAAGAGGCCCCAAGGGTGTCAAGGTTGCCCGATGGAGAGTCACGCCCCATGGATGTCCTCAGACAGCAGCCTTCCCGGAACGGCAGCGGGGTGGACCCTAATTATCCTCCCACAAATGAGAGGTTCGGCCAGCTGACAGGCGGAGGGCAGCGTTCAGAGGGCTCCACGTGGCTTCTGGGAATGAAGGGTTTGGTGAGATGTGCTGATGACGAGCCGGGCCCGCCCACCTCAGCTGGGGACACAGGCGGTGAGAGTGAGTCCTGACCCCACAGAACCAGGGACTTGCGGAGTTCAAGGGCAGAGGACAGCCAGGACTTCAGGAAAAGGTGGGGAAAGAGGCCTGAAGGGGAGCACGGCCCAGCGGGAACAGCCAAGACTGAAACACTATGGCCCCGCCTGTTTTTCTAAATAAAGTTTTATTGGCACAAGGCCACGCCCATTTGTTGCCTGGTGGCCTTGTAACCTGCTCTGTGCTGCCAGGTAGAGGGGGCAGTGGTGACAGGCTGCACAACCCTTCACAGACGGAGTTTAGTGACCTGAGCTAGGATGGAACAGCAGAGGCCAGGAGGAGAAACAGCTGAGGGACCCTCCCGGGTGTCTCCCAAAGACAACCACCTCTCACCCCTCTACAGGCAGCACTGGGGCCTGCAATGTCACCATCCTCTCCTCCCAGCCCCTCTGACACCCTTCCCACTGTTCTCCAAGGCAGCCAGAGGCAGTTAGTAAAAACCACAGTCAGCCAAGTCCCCCTGTACAGAACCTTCTAGACTCTGCCTTGCTTGCTAGAAGCCAACGTTGCTCTGAGTTTCTTCAACACCCCAGAAGATGCACTCACTTACCTTTTGTTTGGTCCACAGACACACATACACACACACACACACACACACGCATACGCACGCAAGCATGCAGGCTGTGAGGTCCCAACAGAGCTGGGATTGTCCTGTTCACTACTGTCCCATGGTCAAGCACCATGCCTAGCACAAAGTGGGTACTGCCCCAGGGAACATCGGACAGAACGTCCGTCCAGGAGGCAGGCACAGCCCCGATGGTTCAGCGGCACTGGGAATAAGGGACAGCAGGGGCTGTTAAAGCTGGGGTGCTGGGGAGGCTGCATCAGAAATCATCAACAAACAAAAGCACTGAAGGACACAAAAGAGAGGCAGGAGGGAAACTACCAGGGCGAAGGCCCCGAGGAATGTTCCAGCCTGGGGATTACCATGGTGCATGAAGCCGTTGTTACACAGGCCCACGCCGAGAGTCACGGCCTCCTCCCGAGTCTGGCAGTCCCCCTGCAATGAACAGAAGGGGACAGCGTTAGGTGGGCCAGCGTCTGAGCAGCTGAGGGTGGCTGAGAAAAAGCAAACAACCACAACCACGCAGGGACGTGGGCTCCAAGGGCAGGATGTCTGCTGGTTTTGTTTACTGTGGTTCCCCAAGAACATGCCTGTGATTAGACCACTTTGTTGTTTAGTGATAAATGACACAAAGGAAAAGAGTGCACGTGTGCATGCGTGTATGTACGTGTGTGCGTGCGTGCATTATTAGGGAAGAACTCGGTACGCGCTAGGCCAGGGCTCTACACTGAGCTACTTCCTCAGCCCTTTTTTTTGTTTTGCAATATAGCCCAGGTTGGCCTTGAACTGACAATCTCCTGCCTCAGCCTTCCAAGTGATGGGATTACAGTGTGCACTGCCGCACTCAACAGAAGTAGAGCTTTTAAGTGCCAGATACTTTGGTTGCCTCCCAACAATCCTTTACAGATTCCTCCTTAGTAACAAAACTCTCACCCATTTCCCAGCCTCCCCGCAGGTGAAGGTAACCAATGAAATGAAAGTAGATACCACCAGTAAGGCATTTTGGCAAAACCTCTTTGTTCATAGCCCATTCTCTCTCTTCCCCCTCCCTGGAACAAAGACGTAATGGCTGAGGCTCTGCAAATCATTCTAGACCACAATGTGACTCAAGGATGGAACCTGCTATGGATGACCTAGTAAAAAGGCACACAGAATGTGGTCCCCAAAGCTCTTGTGTGACTGGCCTAGCCACACTGGGTGCCTCTGGGCTTCTCTCACACAAAAGAGCCACAAAACCTAATTTGTTTTGGTTTCTGTAGCTATGTGTCCATAGTGCTAGAAGTCTGCTCCACCCCAAGCGGGCCTGGCTGCCACTGATGAGCCACCCCAGGAAGCCTGTGCACACTTCGGAGACACCTTCCTTCCTGAGGACACGAAACAGTGCCACACCGCCCTGCCAGGGACAAAGTCACAACCCTGGGGCTCTGGCGGCTGCCCTGTGACGAGACGGTAGATGCTCCAAATGCCAAGGACGCAGAGTGATGGACAGCAGGTTCTCAGTTGTCTTAGCTGAGGACCCCGTGACCGTGCACCCCAAGGCCAGCTTCCCCGCCAGCACAATAGGGACATCAGCTGTCCTGTTCCCAAGCTTTCTCAGGATGAGGTACTGAGCAGAGCAGAACCAACACGAAGCCTCACCTGTCCATCCAAGGGCTGAGCAAACCTTACCCTCAGACAAGAAAGAACTTGGCTGTGCAGGCAGCAGGAGCCCCTCCCACAGCATTTAGGGACAGGTCCTGAGGGGTCCTGAGCCACTCTAGCAATCCAAGTTCTCTTCCCCAGAGTTAGGGGTAAAAGTGGAACCTATATGGCCAATGATACTTAAGGGGAAAACCACTGTGAGGGGCACAGTGGGAAGTTCCTTCTCTTAACACAAGAAATGAAAAGCACTCTCCAACTGTCCCTGCTGCCTACTTTTTTGCAGATGTGATGCCTGGAGCTGTGGCCACCATCTTGTGAATGTAAAGCAACCAGCCGGAGGATAAGCTAGCAAAAGAGAAAAGTAAAAGAAGGCTGGGTGCAAACAGCATTGTGGAGCTCTCTAGTGGTTGAACTCTGTGACAGAAAAACATCTTTACTGTGCAAGTCAGGTTTCCTATTATTTGCAGGCAAAAGCATTCCCAACTGATCCAGTAGGCACTCAATTGATATGCTGCCTCAAGGAACAGAAGGACCTGGAGTCAGAAATGATGACCTGTCCTCAAAGGGAAAACCTTCCTGTGTGACACGATTCTTTGTCCTACCTGCTGAGGCAGGTGGGGTGAGTCCTGGAGTCAAGACTCACTGCAGCCAGCCTTCCAAGCCACATTCGTGTTCCAGCTCCACTCCACACACTTCTCCATCCGCCCCACCCCAGCCCACGCCTGCAACTCACCCCTCAAGCAACCCTACTCTATGCTCTGAGGCCAACAGGGAGCCCAGAGCCCTGGAGAAGCGGGAAATGAGGCCACCGAGCACCCACAACAGAGGCCCGGCCATCTCAGGGTCCTGGAAGCAGGCGCCTACCCCTTGAGGGCATCACGCCTCCCTGCGGATGGTGGACACTGGGCAGTCCCCCCACACACTGCCTTCCTGCCCTCAAATCCCTCTGCCACCTCTTTAGCCTTCGACGCTTTGTGATTTGGAGCCTCTGTAAAGTGGATGGGGAAAGGTGGTGAAAGACAGATTCCTTTCAGGCACTGCACACACAATGAACTTATCAAGTTCTCAAAGCAAGCTAAAGGGGAAGGTGTTGACAACAATTGGGCGGGGAGTGGGTGCGGGCGCCTGGTGATTTTTTTTGGCTTCACTTGATAGATGGGGAAACTGAGGCACGCAGCAATTAAGTGACTCGTCCAAGGTCACTCAGCTAGGAAGTGGCTGAGCTGGGATATGAACTCAGGTCAGACTGACACAGGCTCTGGGCCAACTGCACACGAACCTGGTGGGGCAGGGCACAGTGGCTAGGAGTTCCACACTTCATCAACTCTAGATTCAAATCCAGGGCCTTTCAAGACCTCTTAGGTCTTGGGGGGGTCCCATATCACAGCCACCAAACCACACCCACCTCTTTCATGAAATATGTTCTTCCAGTTTGAGGTTTTTTTCCCCCAAGGATTTTCCTAAATTCCCCCAAGGATTTTTGAAGTTAGTTAACGCCCTAAAAAATTTACTTCACAGATTGGCTGTGATTTCTCAGCAATTGTCAGTGATCTGTGCAACGTGAGAGACTCCAGGCAGCGAACTGCTTTCAGATGAGCCGGAGCTGCTCGGCTGCTCAGCTGCTCAGCTTGAGGATCACGTGGGGCTTAGCTCTGTAGATGAATTAAACATGGGTCCTTTCTGACTTCCCAGGAGTCCCCTGTCTTTGGGAACCAATATGATCTTCTCACAGACAGCCAATGGGTGTTCTGCGGGCTTTCTGGAGACTCCCAGACTCAGGCAGAGTTCTGGGGCCCTGCTGCCACAAAGCTGTGCACTCCTGGGCGCCCCGCCTCTCTAGGCCCCAGACCCCAACTGTCATGGGTGTGAAGACTAAGTAAGTAACGTGTAAGGTGCAGTCGCGGCCTGGCGAGAGAAAAGGCCACATCAGTGGGGCCATAAGGGAGGAGAGGCAGGCAGCTACTTTGTAATGGGGCCTCAGGGAGCAAACGCCTTCGAAAGTCATGCCAAAACTGATGGACAGACTGCCCATGCCTCCGGCCAGCCCTGGATCCACTGCTTCTGGAAGGAAATCTGCAGCAAGCTCCATCACACAGAGGCCCCAGTCTGGAGCCAGGATGAGACCAACCGGTCCTGGGTTTAAAACTGAGAATCCCAACACAGAAGCATCCCGGTGTCTACCTGGCAGAGCAGGGATAAGACATGGTCTCCAGCTACTGCCATGGTTGGAGGTAAGCGGGGGACAAGACACAGTCCACGCCTACTGCTGAGGCTTAAATGTTTGTGTCCCTCATAGTTCACGTTAAACGTGGTCCTCCAAGACAACAGCTTGAAGAAATACAGGCTTTAAGAAGCAATGGAGCTGGGTGCTGGTCCTCACACCTGTAATACTTGCTAATCTGGAAGCAGAGATCAGGAGCCAGCCCTGGGCAAATGGTTCACGAGACCCTGTCTCAAAAAACCCATCACAAAAAGGTTGGCGGAGTGGCTCAATTGGTAGAGGGCCCACCTAACAAGTTTGAGACCCTGACCTCAAACCCCAGTACTGTCAATAAAAAAAAAAAGAAACAATGGAGTCACAGAGAATAGATGTCTTATGAAAGAGTGTGGAAGAGAAAAGTTGTCCCCTCCCCCTCCTCAAAGGACAGTGCAGCCACAAGGTACCGTCTTGGACGCAGAGGTGGGCCTGCCAGCACCTAGACGCCAGCTGTGAGAAAGGCATTCTTCACAGACTCAGCTCCGTTTGTGTTAGTGCCGCACAAATGGACTGAGGACGTGCTGTGGGATTCAACCTTAATGACTGGGACTTCTCACACCTGCCATGACACCTGCTAGGTTATACACTTGGAGTCACTGTGCTTAGTGAAAGGAGCCCTCAGGACAAGGACAGGTGCTGCAGAGGGCACTTCTGCAGAGCCAGGCCCAGAGGGCAGCAGGGCGGGGGCAGGGGGACGCAGAGTCTGTCGATGGGGGCAGCCACGCACTTAGCTGCGTTCACAAAGCATGAAGATGGCAAATGGGTATGTGTACTTTGCCACAATGAAAAACAATAGAAAAAAATTAAAAACCGTAAGCCAGCCAGGCATAGTAGTGGATGCCTGTAATCCAAGCATTCAGGAGCCAGTGGCAGGGGATCATGAGTTTGAGGCCAGCCTGAGCTACATATTGAGATCCTATCTAAAAAACCAAGCAAACCAAAACAAAACCTCACAAATTCGTGCCCCAGGAAGCACCTCCGCCCAAGCAGAGCATACCACCAGACTGGGCCACCATGTCCTCACCTGTGCCAGCAACCAGTCCACCAGCTTGCTCCCAGGCAGCACTGACTTATAGGTCTTCAGGTGGTGGTCTCGATCCCTGGGGGAGGCAACAGGTGAGTGAGAGCTCAGTGGAGGGGGCTGCCCTGGGTCCTGAGACCGGCCCATGAGTGGAGGAGGCTCAGGGGAGCGGGGCAGGGACCAAGTGGCAACCAGACCTCCTCTGACTTTCTCTGTGGCTGGAGAAAGGGACATTCCACATGGTGGCGGGGGGCGGGGGGGGGGTGCTTTGCACAGAGCAGGCCAGAGGGACAGCCTTGGGTTCTAAAATTTCTCTCTAGCCCAGGGGCCTCACTGGAGCTGCGGTGCCCCCTGGGGAGCCTTGGCTGGGTCATGACCTGGGGCTGGGTGCTCTGAGCAACCCACGGTGCCCGGAGGCCCTAACCCAAGGATGCATCCTGGGCAAATGTGAATAGCGCGCAAGCCGAGGAGCCCCATGTCCCTAAGGGAGAGGCCGCCAGCAAAGCACCCAGACCCCACTGGCCTTTTCCCTTCTGAGTTGGTGCTGACGCTCCTGTGTCCAAAGGCGCCCAACTAAGCCAACACAGAGGCTCTCTTGGGGCCAGGGTGACCGTGAGGACCCAGCAGAGAGCAGGCAGGTAGGGGGTCCTAGGTTCTCTGTGAGCGCTCCTCCCGCCCAACCTGGGTAGGACAGGTGCAGGGACCACCACACCAATGCTCCCAGCCTCTGTGGCCACAATGCATGAGGTCCATGGCTGCACGAGAAGACGGATGGAGTCTGGTGGGGATGTACTCGGGCTTAGGAAGGGGGAGCCAAGAAGATGAGGTACACAGGCAAGGACGGCCCCCTCCGTGGGGCCAGCACAGTGCAGCAGGTAGCAGAGGAGGCAGAGCTGGGAATGTGGGGGTCCCAGGGCCTGACTTCTGAGGGCAGCAAATGCAGGACAGGTCCTCCCCCTTGGCCTCTGAGAGAGACAACAACCTCTGGACAGGGCAAAGGGAGCTGCAGCTGGGTGAGGTCACCTCTCTGTCCTTCACCCACAACTCTAAGCTTCGTAGTAAAGAGAATGACCAACAGCTGCCATGTACAGTGCTGAGGGCTATTCACAGCCCCTCCCCTGACTTTAATCTTGAAACAGCCCAAGAGGTGGGAGCTACTGCTGTGCCCATTTCACAGATACAGGGAAATCACCATTCAACAGTCACTTGACAAACACTTGCCCAGTGTAACCTTGCCCTAGGCCAGCACTCCCCAATATGTGGCCATTTTAATTTAAATTCAATCAATAAACTCAAATTTAAAATAACATGAAAGCAAAATAGAAGTCACATCCCTCAGCCTGGAGTGCTTGAAAGCCACAGTGGTTCCTGCATGGGACTACACAGAACCCAAGCACGTGGAGCAAGTCAGTTCCTTCTGCCAGCTCTGCTGACCAGTGCTGCACCAAAATGAAGTGAGGGAGGATGGAGAGCACAGGTGAAGAAGGTCGGGGTAGAGCATTCCATAGGAACAGCAGTGCAAGGGCCCGGAGGCGCAGCATCGCCTCATCCCCAATCACAGAGGACAGCTGGGACAAGGTCACCACCAGGCTGACTCAAACTCCGTCTGCCTGCTTCCAGAACTGACATCTTCACTGCCACCGCAGAGCCCCCCAGAAACACTCACTTCCTCCTGTGACACGCCCATAGGGCAGACACTGCTAAGCTCCAGGAGATGGAGGAGGCTAGGGCTCAGAGAGGTTAGGATGCAGTGGGAATGCAGAGATGGAGGGGACTTACTTGATAACTGGAGTGTAGAGGCTGTGAAGACGGCAGTAGAGCCTGACACCCTGAAAGGAGAAGGGGTGTCAAGGATCAGAAAGACCCCAGGCTGCTGGAGAGACAGTGCTCAGAATGGGGGGAGGGGGACACCCTACCTGGGACAGGGTGTCAGGTTCATGGGACTGGAGAGACATCCCTACCTTGTACAAGACATCAGAGTGCTGGGGTCAGAGGGACATCTCTACATTGGACAGGACATCAGGGTCGCGGGGTTGGCCTACCTTGGACAGGGTGTCAGGATTGTGGTGGAGCGGATGTTCCTACCTTGGACATGACATCCTCTAGCTCGCTGCGGGCCTTGTAGGTGCCATCGTCGTAGCGGAAGCGGTACATCACCTGCTCATTCTTGAACTGGTGCTTGTCAGAAACTGGAAGGATTGGGGTGCAGTGAGGCGGGGCATCCCCCTCCATCCAGCCTGGCCCATGCTCTGAGGCACCAGCTGCCACTGCCTCCCAGTCCTGCAGGGGGGACCCAGGGTCTCTGGCATTCTCAAGGCCAGCTGAGCTCTGTGGCTTGGCCAGGGATCTAGAGGGGATAAGGCCCAGAAACGCAGAAATGTCTGATCGGGCTCATCCTGTCCCTGGGATCTGTGGGGACCAAGTCCTCTGGACTCTGAGACCACATTGCTGGGCTCTCACATGGCCACCTCACGGGGTCCTGGACGGTCAGATCCACTAACAAATCCCATGAAGCCTCCAAAGCCCGGAGACAGCAATTCCCACCTTGCACCCTGAGCAGAGCCACCACCACAGCCTTGAGGCCCCTGCTGTCCCCACCACCCCCCTGCCCCAGGACCCAGTAAGCTCTGCACAGCAGCCAGCAGGGCCCTTTGTAATGCATGAGCAGGTTCTTCCTCTGACTACCCTTGCCTCCTAGACCCCAGTAGGCCCCGTGCTCTCTGACCTCAACCCTTAGGCCTCTGGGGCCCTCGCCTCCTCACGTGCCCCTGCTCTCTGGGAGGCAGCCTGCTGGCCTCCTTGTCATTCCCTGGAGAATCCTCTTAGAGTCCTCTTGGGCCACTGCACCAAAGAAGTCTTGCCTGGAACCACAACGCCCACCTGGTTCCCCCTCTCCTCAGGCACTGGCTCACATATCACCTTCAGAACAGGCCCCACACTGACACTGTTCTCCTCCTCCCTGCCCTCTCCCCACCTACCACACCTGCACAGATGCCTTTCATTACCTTCTTCCTATCATCCCCCCAACTACAAGGTCAGCTTCACGGCCACGGGAATTTTCATTTGTCCTGACGTCACTGTTAACACTGTGTCAGTATAGCAAGCACTCAACAGATATTTGCTGAATGACCAAAACTTAAAAAGCATGTTCTTTGCTGTTTCAAAAAATGAGGCAGAAAATTCTGTTCCCATCCCTAACTTTTCTGACACCCTAGGTGATCTCCTACACCAGGGTGTCTAATATTCTGAGACCAGCACTGTACCATGGAAGCCTCTGGGTCAGGGGAATTGCAGCTCCACTGGAGTCTGACTTGCTCCCCCACCCCAGCCAGACTACTCTCCCACTCACCATGGTGAATAATACCATTCTCCAACAGGGCTTGGCCCAAATTGACCCCTTCTTCTGTCTTGCTGATTTCACCAATTTCCAGGAGCCAGGCAACAAACTCACTGCCAAAAACAGAAGATGCAGTTGAGAGATCTTGCCAATTCCTGGGACCAGCACCAAGCTGGTCTGGCCCCATCCCCCTGGGGGAACAACAGCTAGACCTTCCTACAAGCAAGCAAAGCGCGAGACCCCATAGCCCATGGGGCTCTCCTGAGGCCCTGAGCCTTTCCTCATGATGGGTGGGAGGATGAGTGGAAAGGTAAATGAGCAGATAGGTGGATGAATAGATGGATAAGTGGATGCATGGGTTGTTGGCTGCATGGATAGATGAGCTGATATGAATGGGTAGATGAGTGGATGGGTAGATGTATGGATGGATGGATGTACAGATGGATCAATGGATGGATGGATCGATGGTGAGTAGAGGAAGGAAAGGCAGGATGGGAAGGGTAGGTAGATGAGTAGATGGGTAAATGGCTCGATGCAGATAAATGAATGAGTGGACAGAGACATGAATGCATGAATTGCTGGAGGGTAGATGGGTGGATCAGTGATGAGTGGGTAGACAGACGAATATAAGGAGATAAACAAACAGAAAAAAGTGGCCAGAAAGATAACTGGGGGGAGTCAGGAGAGCCAAAGGTGTTGAAATTATGTCATTTCCATACATGAAACACTTGACTAGGCTACCCCCTTACTCAGAATACAAATTCTGCTGGAATGATGAAGCCCTGCACATCTGTCTCCACCATCCCTGTACTTATCTCCTACACCTCCCATCTACTGTGCTTTAGCCCCACCCAGCATCTGCCCCTTCTTAAAAAATTCCAGACTCCTCTCTGCCTCGGGGCTTTCCACTGGCTGTTCCCGCTGACTGGAAATGCTCTTCCCCCACTAGTCATATGACCATTCCTTTTCATCCTTGAGGCCTCAGCACCAATGTCACCTCCTCAGAGGGCATTTCCTGACTTATATAATCAAAAGTAGGCCTTACCCTGACACAATCCACCCATCTCTGGCTGTACTTCCTTTCCTATACTTGTCACTTCTAGAGTTACTTCATTTACAGATTTACTCATGTGTTTGCCTGTCGCCTCCCCCGGCCAGAAGGTCTCCATGTGGACAGGAAGCTGCGTTTATCTTATTGCTGTGTTCCAGCTCCTGGAAGAGGGCCTGACCCACAACAGGGCTCAAAAAACATTCAGAGACCCAGTGGAGAAACAAACCATTGAGCAAGAAGGGTGTTTGGGGTCAGCAGGAAGGTTTGAGGGGCAGAGGTGCTCCCAGGCCAGGGGAAGGCAGGCAGCTTTTCTGACCCCATGGGTTAGAGGCTCTGCCAGGCCCCCATGCCCCGGTTCTTGTGGGCCCACTCACATGGAGCCAGGCCACCTCTCTGTGCACAATGAACACAGGGCTTATCAAAACCAGCTGTCCCGCCTCCAATTACAGGGGGATCTATTTTTAGAAGGCCCTGCCTGTGAGTAGGTAGCACACACTGAAGCATTCAGAAAGCTCCCCTGGAGGCCAAGGGAGGGAGCAAAAGGAAATGGATTTGTTTTGTGCAGCCAGAGCCCAGGTGGGAAAGTTCATTCTGGGCTTGTCACCCCAGTTCCATTATCCAAGCCCCCAAACTCAGGGACAGGGAACAAGCTGCAGTTCCAGGAGAACAGATGTCTACGTGACCACTCTTGGGAGCCAGAGACTATGTCCGGCTGCTGACCAGCTGTCCAATTGGGGGCCACTTCTGGCACTGACTAGTGCCCTGTGGCCAGGGTGGGGTAGGAGACAGGAAGTGTCCCACACAGCTTCTGGGGCCGAACACAGCCAGAGGACAGCCATCCGAGCTGTGACTCTGCCCAGGCTGGGCCTTGCCACCTCCTTGGGGATCAAACTGGGCTCACAGTTTGCCCGGCACATTGGGACCCTTCAACAGGGTCCATCTGCCAAGTGGCTTACTCTAAGGCCTCACGGATTTAGTAAGTAGACTTTTTAATCATACAGAATCCTAAGCTGGGATCCAGTATGCAAAATCAGCTCAAATTCATCTCTGATGCATGGACTTCAGACTCCAGTGAACAGGCAAAGCAGGCCAGTTAGAGCCCATGCTGAGCCAGCAAGCACCTGTTTTGCCTAAAGTAGCAGCCAGTGCTTGGTGTGGCTCACCACACCACCGCCCCTCAGGAAGACTAACGTGTGGAACGACTTTCAAGAGCGGGTGGAAATCCGGCACTTCCTATGAAATCTCCTCACTGTTAAATGCTGATTTTTCGGATACCACCACGTGGGCCAAAGAAACACACCTTCCAACTTCACTGGGTCAGTGGGATGCTGGAGTGCAGGGAAAGGTGCCTCAGGCGAGGCTCAGCATCCACAGGGCCGTGAGGGAGAAGCGTGGTTAGGAAGCCTGCAATCTGCCAGCTGACGGGCTGGGGAGCAAAGGGCAGAGAGGCCCAGGCTTCCAGAGAGACAAGGTAGAGAGATGCCAGGAGGTCACCCAGCGTGAGCAGGCTGAGACTCAGGCCATGGAGAGATGGCCTGACTTTCATCCCACCTTCCCTCCTGACCCTAGGGCAGGCCCAGTCAAGGCTGGGCCCAAGGACATCACTGTACCCTAGAAAACTACCTGCTCTGAAACCCAGTGTGCCACTCACTCACTAGCACAGCACCCCTTTCCTGCCTGTCTCCTGGGTGCTGGGGGGTCATATTATCACCTGTGACCCCCTCTGCTCAGAGATGCTCCCTGATGTGCCTACCCCAATACCTGCAAGTAACTGCTGGTCAGCAATTACACAACCCTGCACCTGCACTTGTAGGGCCTGGCTGGCCAGGCCCACCTGGGAGCTTCCAGTCTGCCAATGTCCACAACTGGATGACATCTAACCAGTCAAGGGTGGAACCAAAGGACTCTCTCCCCAGGAAGCCTTCCCTGATTGCCCCCTGACAGAAACACCTTGTCCCTCATGCTCCCCTGAGCTCTGATAACTCCAATGGTGCCCCTGTTCAAGGCCATGTGACAATTTCCATTCTTACCTCACTCTCTCCACAAGTTTCTTCCCAGAGCACCTAGAATAAAACCTGACCTGGTACCCAGGGCCTGATCTGGCCCACTCTAACTGCTGGCCCTTGTTCTCCACCCCCCTGGCCACTCATGACTCCTGCCATGTCGGCCTCCTCACTATTCCTCCCTTACTCACAGCTCAGTTCAGTCACAGGACTTTTGTACCTGCTGTTCCCTTGGCCAGGAACGGTGTTCTCCAGGTCTTCTCAAGGCTGGCTCTTGCTTGTCACTCCAAACTTAGTTTAAATGTCACTTCCCCAGAGAGGCCACCCTGCCCACCCCAGTTGAGTCAGCCCCCATTTCCTCTCTGCCTTATGTCACCTACTTGTTCCCTACAGCATTCATCTACTCATGGATCCATCCACTCATGGATTCTTCTTCTGTATTTTTCGACTTGTTTACTGTCTGATTCCTCCACAGGATGGTACCTCCCTGAAACAGGGATTTTTGTCTGTGTGACTTTGTGCTGAACATTTTCCCTCTCTGAGCTTCAGTTTCCTCTCACCCTTAAAATGGGGACAGTGGCAGTGGCCCGGCTGCCAGCACTGCCTGAGTTAAAAGACGTGGCAGAACCAGTGAGTGGGAGCAGAGAAAGGAAGGGCTAGATACCCCTGTCTCCACAGCCACCAATTCCATTTATCAAAGGGACCAAGGACTCTGGGAGGAGAACACTCAGGGGCTGCACCCTGGTGAGGACAAGGCACAGGCAGGTGGACAGGGAAGCCATGTGGGGAGAAGGGTGTTCTCAGAACATCTCCCACAGGAAGTCTGGTCCTTTGCAGCCCATGGTTATAAAACTGGTTTCAAAGCTGGCCAAGATCCAACTGCGGAGTGAGAACCCACCCTAATCCTTCCTGAAGAGGCTGAACTATAATCACAGGTAGGTTCACCCCATCTGATCTGCTGCTAGGCAGGCAGCCAGAAGGTACCCCCCAAAGAAAAGCCACCTCTCCTTTCCGCTCAGGATTAGGGATTAGCGAATGGAGCCAAGCCAGCACCCTCCCCCTCACAGCTAGGTTGGCTCCGGACTCCTGGGGCCCAACTCTGCCTTCCATAGACCCTCAGGAACCCAGAGCTAAAGTTGCTGAGCCCTGAAGCAACAGGTGGCTGGGTTCCAGGTCATCCCCAAAGCCGGCCCAGCACCCATCCAGCTCCAGGCCTCAGGCCAACCCTGGCTCCCTTCCTACTCCACATCAGCTCTGTGCCCATCTCACCCCAACCCCCCATCCATGTGACATGGGGCGTGCAGCAGACTCTTCAACCTCAACACAGCCCAAGCCAGCTTCTACATCCCAAAGCTGTTCCCCCATCCTCCTTCCCCTGCCACATCCCGGTTCTCCACCTGGCCTCGGGGTAGCCCCCCTCCCTGTGGTTCCACCTCTCTGCCCCAGATTCCTCAGTCCCTTCCAATGCAGGCCCAGGCTCCTCTCTGCACATGACCCCTTTCAGGTCTGTTCAGCCTTGTGGCCCAAGGCCAACTAAATACCATCTCCCCAAGGAGTTTCCCAATTCAGACTTTTCTCCCTAAGTCAAGATTTTACTTCCATCCAACAGTCAACGGCACTGCCATTCAAACTGTGCTGAGGACTCAGCACTGCCTGTCGCTGTCCTCCTCCTCCGTTCTGATCACAGCTGCAGCCCCCCGGGGCTCCTAGCCAGGCCCGAGAGAACAGGGGCAGAGATGTGCACACAGTGGGCCAGAGAAGACCTTGGCTCCAGCATGCATTGGGACTGCTGATGCCAGGTCACAGAAGTGGTGGTTTGTGGCAAAGTTGTTTGGAAGGCCTGCCACGGGGACCCCGCCAGCCTCTTCAGACTCTGAGAGCTGCTCCCCATGGGCTGGAGGTGCTTTGGTAGTAAGGGCTGGGCAGGACCCCGGAGCCAAGGGCGAGGGATGGGGCGGGCCACTCACTTGCCAAGGAAGCACTTGGGCACGGTGCTCAGCTTTCTCCGGCGGTCCTTGATCAGGTTCCCCTTCCTGCTCATCATGTGATATAGCTTCTCCCCCTTCTCCGCGACCATGACGTAGGCATCACGCTCCATGCCCAGCTTCAGGCCTGTGCAGGGCACAGTCAGCACCAGAAAGGGTGCCATACCCAGGGGACAGGGAGACAGCCAGCCCCACCTGCCCACCCCCCACCAGGGTTCCCCAGGCAGTACCTCAGACCCCTGCTACAGACCCTCAAAAGAACCCCTTCACAGCTGGGATGGTGGAGACCCAGAGAGGGTCAGTCCTGAAAGAACAGACCCACAGCCTCCCCCCGAGCCAAGCCCCAGAACTGCATCCCTCCCCCTTCTTCCCCAACCTGAGGGGCATCTCCTAACACAGAGGCCAGAGGACCTACTGGCAGCTTCATCAAGTCAGGGTGGGAAGTCTGCTGTCCCACCAGACAGAACCCTGGCCCTAATCTGTGCCTATTTTTCTGCATGGACCCCATGTAGTCCTGACAGTAACTAATCACAGGAAATGCTTTCACAGCACCCACTGCCTGCCCTGTACTCCTCATCAGAAGCCTGTCAGAATAGGTACCAGGGCTATCCCCACAGGGAGGCTCAAGAGAAGCCAGGCTCTCTGTCTGAGGATGTCCAGCCAGAGGTGCCAGAACCAGGATTTAGGCCCAGCATGTTGAGATCCAGGTCTGGGCCCTGGACCAGTCCCTGCTCCACCCATCACCCCTGTGCACCCAGCCCTGGTGTTAGGGTTTGGGCAACACCCAATTCTAACGACAGGTCCTCACAAGGCCACACCCCACTCACAATCACATATGCCCAGCCCTGATCACAGGCCTAGGCTCTACCCACAAAGATACTGATGAGCCCCACCCAGCCAGGCCTGCTCTTGAGCCCCACCCCACCCTAACTACATCCAGCCCTGAGTAATTTCAGAGGTCACAACTTTGCCCAAGCAGGTGCCAAATTCAGTTTATTTGGCCTGATGCCATCTCAACGCAACATTTAGCACCAGGAAGCACCACTGAAGAGCCAGGTGTCTAGCTTCTCTGCAAAAGTATCCACAGGGGTAGCCATCTGGGCAAATGCTCCTGTAGGGGAGGGAGGAGTGATTTACACTTGATGGGAGGAGGGGGAGGAGGGAAGCAGGTGGACTTGGCCTGTATTTGGAAGGCAGAATTGCAGGACCTTGCTGATCTACATAAGTTGGGGGGTAGGGAGGGAAGGAGGGGTTCAGGGATGGCACCAAGACTTCCACTCTGAGCTCTAAGCAGATGGAGGTCCCTTCCATTGTCACACGGTGGGGGGGGGTGTCGAGAGATGAGCAGGGGTAGAGCAAAGAACAGGGTGGGAATGGTGAGTTCTGACTGAGCCATGAGCACATGTGAAGGGTCTGTGACACAAACAAGCAGGCAGGACAAGCACAGGAGGAAACAGAGGCCTGTTCTTCCTCTGTCAGACTGGGAGGTAAGGAAAGTTTTAGGACCACAAGTCAGATTTCCAAGTATGGTCAATTCCAAGGCTTCAGCCCTCTGCATCAGGGAGTTCTGTCGCCATCCACCACATGTGATCGCTGTGGCCTGGGGAGCTAACGTAACTCCTGAACACACCAAGGCTCCCGCTTCCCAGCCTGGTGGTCTCTGCACAATAGTTCAGGGCCCAGACACAGTTCAGAGCCCACTCCTAACCCCCACCTGCCACCTTCAGCCCCTCACTCCCTTCTGTGAACTGCCTCTGGGTGCCTGGCCCGGACAGGGCCCCCATGTTTAATGGAAGCTCCACAGGTCCCTTCACCCAAACTTTGATTTGGTGACCAGCAAACAGAAAACCTGAGGCAATAAAGAGCATGTCATCTCCCAGCACACCTAGGTGCAGACCTGGGCAAGTGACCACCACCTGCCATCCTTAGGTACCAATTCCCAACACAATCCCAGAGCTCCCACCTGGTAACCTGCTTCCTGCAGCTCCGGCCCTTCTGGAAAGGACCCTCTGCCCCTTCCCCAGGTGCAGCCCTCAGTCTACAGAAGCTGTGCAAAGCCCAGGGGGCCCAGGAATGTCCCCAAGCCTCCCATCTCCAGGGAGCCCAGAAGGGCCAGGCCACTCACTCTCACGCTGCTCCCGCTCACGGATGATGGCATCCAGCCACTTCTGTTTCTCCTCAGCGGTCTTGGCCATGCAGACAAACCACTTGTTCTTGGCCGTGTTGTGGATCTTCCAACCATTGGTGACAGTGTAGCCGTTGCTGTGGTAATCAGCTGGTGGGGCAGGAAGTGAAGAGGGGGTCAGCAGGCTCAACCACAAGACCCCCAACAGTGGCAGGCCCAGCCGGACCAGCCCTTCTGCTCCAGATGGAGGAGGAGGGCCAACACCATGGTCAGGATTTGGCAGTTGAACTTTCAGTCCTTCAAAGGCTCCCTCTCCTGACTGATCTCCCATAAGCAAGGACAACCTTTTACAAAGACCCCTCCACAAATTCAGGAATGGCACAAAGAGACACCTGCCCAGAGCCCAGGAAGGCCTCCTGGCTCCTTCCTGTTGCCTGAGGTTATTTAAGTCCCCAGTGCAACTTGACAATGCCAAGCCAGGGGCAGGGCCCTCTTGTTTCATGGCTGGGCAGGAGATAGTGGTCCTCTCTGAAAACACAATGCTACTATCTAGGCAAGTGGGAGGAGGCCACACGCTGCTATGAGGAGGGGCACACAGGTGTCATGGACTGAAAAGGTCTGTCCCTCAGAACCAGGTAAGAGCCTTCCCTACACAAGCCCAAGGACACAGACACCGGGAGCTGCATCAACCAACAGTGAGAGGCAGAACACCCGAGTACATAGTCAAAGAACGAGTAAAGCGTGCACCCCTCAAGCGACAGACAGACGCCATGCAGCCTGGAAGCAGGCACACTGCAGCAGCACCAGTACGTCACTCCACCAGGGCTGAAAGGAAGGAGCAAGATCCGAAGGAATGGAGACAGTTTTATGGCCATCTAAATTCACATTCATGAAAACACTACATATGCATTTAAAGCCATTGAAACAAATACTCATATTATCTACATGAAGTTCAAAACCAGAGAGATTTAAATTAAAATGTTCAGTAAGGGATACTTAGGAGATAAAACTGTTTAAGCAGAAAGAAAATGGCCAGGCATGGTGGCTCGCACTGTGATCCCAGCTACTAAGGAGGCAGAGACCAGGAAGACTGCAGTTTGAAGCCAGCCCAGGTAAATAGTCCTGCGAGTCCCCATCTCAAAAAAAACCCTTCACAAAAAAGGGCTGGTGGAGTAGCTCAAGGTGTAAGCCCTGAGTTCAAACCCCAGTACCACAGAAAAAGCTGGGTGTAATGGAGTGTGCCTGTCATCCCAGCTACACAAGAGGCCTAGGTGAGAGGATCGTGGTCTCGGGCTGGCTAGGGCAAAAATGCAAGACACTACCTGAAAATAAATGACTAAAGCAAAAAAGGGCTGGGGGCATAATTCCAGTGGCAGAGCATCTGCCTAGCAAGCAAAAGGCCCTGAGTTCAAACCCCAGTAGCACACACACAAAAAAAAAAACCCAGCAAGACAAAGATCATTACAAAATTCAGACAGCAGTCACTTCTGAAACATCTGGGAGGCACTGTTTTATTTCTTAGCTCGGAGGCTAACATCACTTCATGTGTCTATAGCCTAGGCATGTTTCTGTTAGGTAGGTCTCTGCAGATAGATTACATTTCACAATAAAAGGAACAAATGTGAATGACAGTGTGGTGGCAAGAGGGTGGGGCTGGAGTCAGCAGAAGAGGGCAGGGCCTACCTGTCCCATCTTCCACATTCTCCACCTCCATAACTTCAGTGTTGATTCGACCCCTGAAGATGTAGAGGGAGCCATTGATGGATTTGGTCCTTTTGGTAGACTTCTTGCTCCCAGTGACCCTGAAAGACAGTTGGAGGTCAGTGTCCTCCACCAGAGACAGCAATACAGAGGGGAGCGCAGGGACAGAGAAGAGTACTGGGCTGGGGTCAGGAGTGTAGGTGGTTGGCTAGGGGGCAGCAGGTGTTACTTGAGCAAGTCATTTCTCTCCCAGACACAGTTTTCTCACCTGGAAAACAGACTAACACCCTTGCCACCCCCACCAAGCCACTTTTCAGCTAACTGGAGACATGGGAGATCACCAGAAAGCAATAGAAACTATTCTTGACAAGCAAGTGGGAAGAGGCCCACTGACAGATAAGTACTTCCTGAAATAAGGCCAAAATGGAAGGAGAGCTTCAAGGAGACAATTATCTACCACTCATCCATCTACCCATCCATTCACCTACCAGTCCATCTATCTACTCACTCACCTATCCACCACCCACCATCCATCATCCATCCTTCGCTTCACCACCCACCCACACATCCATCCATCCCCCTCCCAATCTATCCATTCATCCATCTCCCCACCCAGTATCCACCTACCCACCACTCATTCATCCCTGTCAAGTCTGAATGGTGTCCCTCCAAGTTCAGGTGTTGAATGCTAAACCCACGCGGTATTCAGAGGCGAGACCTTGGAGAGGTATTTAGTTCATGGGGCAGGGCCTCATGAATGGGATTAGTGCCCATATCAGAGAAGCCTCAGAGAACTGCCTCATCCCCTCCACCATGTGAGGGGACAACACAAAGGCCCCACCTATGAAGCAGAACACATGGAATCAACCAGTGCCTTAATCTTGGGCTCCTCAAAAGAAATTTCTGCTGTTTATAAGATACCTAGTTTATGTTATTTTGTTATAATAACTCAAAAAAACTAAGTCATTCAACAAACATCTGGCCAGCATTTCCTCGAGGGGGGTACCAAGACGGGGACCACGGGGAGTCACTCAGACACACATTCATCAAGCATTTGGAAACAGTTGCTGTATGTTCTCTTCTCGGTGCTGGGCCGTGACAGTGCACGCCACTAAATCTTCAAGAATTAATCTTCCACCGGGGAGCAGTGAGGGACACAGAGACAGACAATGAGTACAGCGAAAGGGTGTCTGCAACCTTTGTAGGAGCAGGCCTTTCTGCTCCACAAGGCAGGCTCATCAACACCCAGAGCCAGTGAGGTTTGTTCCCAAACCTATGTGCCTGAAGTGTATTACTGCAATTGGGTATAAATTAAATTGCATGTGGACGTAGTAAGGTGAGGATGCAGGACTGCAGAAGAGAGCTCACTCTGAAAATTAAGTTGTAAGTGGAGAAGGATGGCTTCTACTGCTGTGATTCGGAGCCGGCAAGGGTGGGAACAGGAGGCCAGGTGGGACTTTGGAGATCAGAGGTTCCCTGCAGCTGTGTGGAGGACGGACTGCAGGTGGGGGCCAGGGAAGCAGAGGCACAACAAGAACGCTACAGCCCCGGGTGAGAGGGGATGGTGGTCTGTACACACATACTAATGTGTTTGCAAACTTTGTGTTAAGGTCTATACAGAAAATGTCCCAAGAAGTACAGGGCTCACTCAACTTTTACAAGGCAAACACACCTGTGACCACATTTTTAGCACCCAGGAGAGCCCCAGCCACAACCCCACACAACAGGGAGACCTCCCTCCTGATGTCTGACCTGGAGATTCGCTTTGCTGTTTCTGAGAGCCACACAACTGCAGTCACAGAGGTGCTTGCACTTCTGGCTTCTTCACTCAACCTCCTGACTGTGAGTCATCTACAGCCTTGGGTGTAGTGACAGTAACAAGGCAAGTGCTTGCTGCCACTTGGGTGCTGCTTCAAATGACTCTGTGCATGTCCCAGGAGGAACAAGTGTGTTCATTTCTCCCAGGGTCAGGACCTGGGAGCTGAATTTCTGAGTTCTGAGCAATGTGTTCGCTCAGCTGTAGTTTGGTTTCCCAGGCCCGGCAGCAGAAGAACATTCTCGTGACTCCACAACCTCTACCTCTGCTCTCTTCTCTCCTGCTGCAGCCATTCTGCTGGGCACACATTTGATGTCTATTTCCCTGGTGAGTAATGAGGCCGAGCACCTCTGGATGGTTTTTGGCTCTCTAGTCTTTTTTTTTTCTTGATTGTCTGTAGCAAGTGTTGGTATGGTTTTTGCTTTTGGTTTTTAACAGGCCCAAATAGTAAACATTTTCAGTTTTGCACGCCATGTGGTCTCTATCACAACTATTCAACTCTTTAGTCCTTCTGGCACCAAAGCAGCCACAAACTATACACAGATGGGTGTGACTGTGAGCCAATAAAACTTTATTTATAGAAGTAGACAAAGGGCCAGGCTTGCCCACAGGATTCTTCATTCATCTTTTCTTTCTTTTTTTTTTTTTTTTTTTTTGGGGGGTGGGTGGCACTGGGGTTTGAACTTAGGGCTTCATGCTTGTTAGGCAGGTGCTCTACCACTTGAGCCTCTCCACCAGCCCTTTCTTGTGTTGGGTATTTTCAAGATAGGGTCTTTGGAACTATTTGCCCACCAGACTGGCCTCAAACCATGATCCTCCTGATCCCTGCCTCCTGAGTAGCTAGGATTATAGGCATGAGCCACCAGCACCTGGCTCTTCATACATTTTTGACATGAGTACTCTGATAATTATATATTTTACCAAGATCTTCTCCCAGTCTCTGGCTTGCTTTCTCACTTTCTTTACAGTATTCACCTATTGATTTTAATGTAGTCTAATAACCAATTTTTCCTTCATAATTACACTTCGTCCTACTTGATTAATCTTTCCTGACCCTGGCTCATTAAGACAGTCTCCTAGGCTTTCTTGCAGACATTTGGTTGTTTTACCTCTTACATTTAAATCTATAGTCATCAGAAGTTGACTTCTTGTTTATGGTGTGAAGCAGGAGTCAACAATCGTTTTTCCCCAAGCACCATTTATTGAAATGCACTGGTACTTTGTTGAAATTCAGGTGACTGTTGCTGTCTGCCTCTAGACGGACTACTAGATTCCATTAATCTACTTGTCTGATTTTACACAAACACCTCGCCATCTGATTACTGCAGCTTTATAGCAATCCTTAGAGTCTGGCATTACAGGGCCTGCAGCTTTGACCTTCCTCACAATTGCCTTGGCCACTTCTGTCTCTGCATTTCTGTGTAAATGTTATAATCAACCAATCATTTATACATACATGCATTCACACAGACAACCCCCTCCTGAAATTCTGATTGAACAAAGGTTGGAGACAGAATAAAAAGTACGTGTTAGTGCAGTGGGCACGGGGCAAGTTCAGTTCCTGATATAAACTTTCTTTCCTGCCTTCAGACTCAAACTAGGACATCAGCTCTTCCTGAGTCTCCAGCCTGCCACTCTTGGGGCTTTCTCTGTCCTCAGCTTGCTGACTATAGATCTGGGCACTTGTGGGCTCCATGATTTCGTGAGTCAACTCTTGATAATGACTCTTTTTCTGTGTCTGCGTCTGTGCGTGCATGCGCGTGCGTCTGTGCGTGCATGCGCGTGTGTGCGGATGGGTGTGTGTATACATACCTACATATACACATGGACTGTAGGATCTGTTTCTCAGAGAACCCTGACTAACACAGATTTTGTGTCATTTCCTGGGAATGAGGAAGAGCTGAAGCGACAAAGACGTGGGACGAAAGTTAAAAGAGAAATGTCCTGTGTTAGACATAATTTAAGTGCAAGACCCCAAAGTGAGGAGCTCCATTCTTACTTCTTCTCCCTCTCACACCATATACCAAGCACCTGACCATTTTACAAGTGAACCCTTTACATGTCTCACTCTATAACACCAATCCCATGAAATGGGGGCCACTTTAGTCCCCACCTAACAGGTAAACAGAGGCATGACGCACTGACATAACTCATCACAGTCCCTGGCCCTTTGAGTGAACTTTTAAAGTCTGACAGTTAAGAAGCCTGTGCTTCTGAATTAGCTCAGAGCACTCTGCACCAGAGACCTCCTCTGACCCAGACCTTAGACAGGTAGCTCCCTGTAGGCCTCAGAGAGAGACTTAGACAGAGTCTCAGACACCTGGCCACTTCAGGCACTTCTGTGACCATGTTGGTCAGCCAGAGCTCCCTCCACCATTGCTCAATCCTGGCCCTCTGGAAGCTCACCTTCTGGCTCTTGGTCCAGAAGCAGCAAGGCTGGCTGCCTGCCATATCCTCTCAGGAGGCAGATGTGTCCTTTCTCTCCAGCCAGCCCTCTCCCTTGTAGAACTGAGGGTGGGATGGCCTTAAAAGAGCTCACAGTGAGCCAGTGGGACAGCTCAAGTGGTAGAATACCTACCTAGTAAGTATGAGGCCCTGAGTTCAAACCCCAGTTTTGGCAAAAAAAAAAAAAAAAGCTCACAGTGGCACCAGGGAGGGCCCAGTATGATGGGAGTCAGCCACCACTCCCCTCCTGAGGTAGGTGAGCCTACAAGAGGAGGAAGGGCCACACTGGAGAAACCGGGGAAGCCAGGGAAGCTGGGGAGGGGCAAATGTAGCCAAAAGTTGGAAGCAGGTCAGAGGCCTGAAAGGACAGTCTGTTTCCTAAGCCTGGTGTTCTGGGAAAAGTGCCTGCTTCAAACCACCAGGATGGGTGGCAGGAAAGGCCAGGGGGAGACACTGGCAATAGCCTGTCCAGATGCAGGGAAGACAGAGGCAGGGAGGACAGAGGCAGGGAGGACAGAGGCAGGGGGGACAGAGGCAGGGAGGACAGGGGCATCAACAGAAGACATCAGCAGTGGGAGGGAGGGAAAAGCAAGTGAGGAAGAGCTGAGCCAGTGGCTGGGAGACAACAAAAGACACCGGCCTGTGACCAGAAGGGACAGGCCTCAGAGCAGGCAAGAAGGGCAAGGCAAGGGGCTGTGGCTCTCACACCTGTAGTGTCTGGTGCTGCGCCCATAGGCAGCACCACACAAGAACCCAAGCTAAGTGCAGGATCAGCGGTTGTGGCTGTATGACTGCTTCATGCACCTACTGCCACCAGGCACCTGGCACACTTAACCTCCTCAGTGACCCTACAATAACCACCGGTTTATCAGATGAGGAAACTGAGGCTCAGAGAGACAAAGTTACAGAGTTCAAGGGTGGCTGAACAGGATAGAGCTGAGGGGCCGAGCTCAAACCCAAGGCTATATAGAGCTTGTTCTTCAGCCTCATCAGCAGAAATAAAGAAACTGAGGCTCACAGTCAATAAGTGGCAAGGCCAGACCACAAAGCAGGATGGAGTTAGTAGAGAAAGTCAGGCCAAGTCTCAGGTCCCAGCCCTTAGCTCAAGCCTTTGCTAGATAAAGAAGCAGGGAAGCCTCTGGAAGACCACTATCTCATCCCTACAACAAAGGAGCAGGAGAGAGAATTTAGAAGGGCTGAGCTGGCCACTGAGACTATCCTCTGCCTGCTGAGTAAGAAAAACACAAAGCAGAATGCCCACCCATCCTCCCACCATTGCCTGACCTCCCTCTCCTCAGTCCACCATCCACACATCTACTCACTCATCCCAAACCTAACCCCTCCTTCCAATCCAGCCAACTACCTCGGCAGCTGTCAACGAACCCTTGCCCACCACCAACGTGACAACGAGTTGGCCTCTATCCCCTAATCTCCGAGCACCCACCTACCCGTTCACCACCCACCACTATCTAAATGCAACTGTGCCAGTCTTAGGAGCCTCTTCTCCTATGGCCCGAACCTCCACACAATCCCCCCACTCTCCATCCAGCCCTCTCCTAACCCTCCAACCATCAGCCATCGTTGATCCACTCACACATCTCTGCACACACTCCTTTCCCTCCCTGCCTCCCATCAGTCCATCTCCCAAGCATACAGCATTCTGCCTGTCCCTCCTCCCACTGGCCCCTGGCCCCGCAGCCCACAACCACCCTCCAATCCCAATCCCACTGCTTCCATCTACTGCTTGTCACCTGTCCACTCTCTCCTGGGCTCCACAGAGCACAAGAAGCTCAGAGAAGACGCAGACACAAAGACAAGCCTTTCTTCCCCCAAAGTCAGCATGAGAGCAGCCCTCCCCTCAAACCTGCACCTTGGCATCTTCAAAGTCACAGGGTGCTGGTGCCTCAGAGAACCTGCCAAAATTCATGACTTCTAGAACTGTATCACCAAAGATGGCATTCTCAGGTCACAAGTAGCTACTGAACACTTAAAATGTGACTGGGACAAATCACAAATGCCTTAGGGTAACATGTACACCAGATCTGAAGACTTGGGATAAGAACATATGTATGTTCTCTTGAATAGGCCAGGGCATGGTAGCACTTGCCTATGATCCCAGCTACCTGGGAGGCAGAAGGAGAAGGACCACAGACTGAGGCTGACCTGGCCTATAATGGGAAACTGTATCTGAAAACTAAACTAAAGCAAAAAGGACTGGGGGTGTGGCTTGAGTGGTAGAGCACCTGCTAGCCAAGGCCCTAAGCTCAAACTCCAGTACTGCCAAAAAAAGAAAAAAACCTCTTTAATAATTTAAAATGTTTTATTACAATTAAATATAATAAAACTACAATTTAATAATATAATATTTGTGGATACATTAGGCTAAATAAAATACACTCTCTAAATCTGCCTCACCTATTTCTTTTTTTTTTTTTTTTTAAGGTGGCCACTAGAAAATTTTAAGCAGTTTCTGTGGCTTGCATCATATGTGGATTTAGAACAAACCCCTCAACTCACAGAAGAGAAAAGAGAGACCGAGAGAGGGAAGTCGCAAGCCTGAGATGTTATCTGAGAGAGAAGCAGGTAAGTGCCAGCCCTGCCTCCTGGCCACCTGGGCAGCCTGGCCCCACCCCAGACAGGTCACCTGGATTTCCGCTTGCAGTAGACGAGAAGGTTGTCGAAGAGGAAGAAGGCTCGCTCCTGGATATTGCCCGCAGAGATTTTCAGCAAGGTCCCCTGAAGGAGCAGCTGGGTGCAGATGTCCGTGAGGTTGGAACCCTGAGAGCAATGGGGGGTGGTGAATGAGCCAGCCACTTGCAGAGAGCACCCGGGAATTTGTCCTTCCCTTCCCCTGGACAGAACCACTGCCACCTCCCTCACACCCCAAAACTCTCTGCCAGCAGACAGAGTATAAGCTATCTGATGGACGGCTGAGCCTGCTGAGCACGCCAGCACCATTCTGGGCCACATGACCCTGTTGCAGAAGACAGACATGGGACACTGACAAGACTGGTCAATTCGCACAACTAATGGCCGGCCTCCTCGGCACCTGGTTGTGCTTTGGTTTGAGTTTTCTTTGGGGTATCTTATTGCCTATAATCCCCCCTTTAATTACATCTCCCTATGAGGATGTCACCTCCATAAGGACAGGGCTCCATGGTCCTCACAAGCAAGGACTCCCTGGTGAATATGCTCCATCAACACCCCTGGGCCAACGTGGGGGGCCCAGCACCCTTCTCCCTGCCTCGCCAAGCTCCTGAGTGGGTGCTCCTGCTTGTATAGTACCTGGTGCCTGGCCCAGCTCCAGGGCCCCAATGTCACCCTAGACCTGAACCCTGCTGCCAAGACCTGGGAGGAGCCAGAACAGATGTTGCCTCTCCAGCCCTGGCCAGGACCACCCTGCTCTCCCGCCCTCACATGCCCGGAACACTGCAGGGATAAGGGGTCCCTCCTCGCAGCCCTGCCAGAAGCCTATGGCCCCTCTGTCCCTAGAGGGCTGGAAACCAGATGCATGGGAAGGAGGCTGAGCACTGAGGAGTAAAGGGTCAGGGCAGAGGCTTCCTTTGGGTACACAGATGCCACCATGCTGAAGCACTCACATTACAGGTGACCAAACCGGCACAGTAACAGCCCATATGAAGGCTGGGATGTACCTCAGACAGAGCACATGCCTGGCATGTTTGGAATCTGGGTTTCATCCTCAGCACCACAAAAAATGAAATAAAATGAAGGCCAATCCACACCCGGGTCTTCCCAAGCACCAGGCACTATCCAAGTAACTTCCATAAAATCGGGGAATCCTCAGAAGTCACTGTCACACAGACAAGGAAACTGAGGCACAAGTGTCTGAGGAACTTGGCCTCTGAGTAAGGGAGCAAGCTGGGTGTGACGGCTCCCCTCCTCACCACTTCTACCCCTGGCTACCTAGTGGATGACCTGGACGTGTTTACTCCCCAAAATGGCAATCATTAGTCCAGGGCAGAGCAGGCCACCCCAAGGGGGAGAGATGGCGTCCCAGGGAGAGGAAGAAAACAGCACAACCAGTAATTTGGAATCCTTTTTCACTGATTTCCTGGCCCCTCACCCTGGTTTCTTCCCTCCTCTCCGAAGTGAGAGATGGTCAAACTCAGAGCCTGCAAGGGAGTGTGCCTATCACCTTTCTCTCTCCCTCATTCATGTGCATTTCCTTTTTATTTCTGTGAGCCTCTGAGGGTCCCTGAAGGCCCTGGGGAGGGCTGTGTCTGGATGTCCTCTGGGGCAGGTCCACTCACAAAGGCAAGCTGCAGGGAGCTTCTGTACCCAGAGTCAGAAGCAGGTCAATGGCTGCCCCGGGCTCCTGGATGTGCACCAAGGTTCCTCCAAGCCAGGCGCATCCTGAGTGCTCCACAGGCATCAATGCCCCCATCCCCAGGCAACCAGGAGGGCTTCCACCACAACTAGGCTTTCCAGGAGGAAACTGAGGCAGAGGAGTCTCCGTGCGTTGGAGGGGGCTGCCCTGTCACGCGTTGGGCAGTAACATGGATTTGTGGATTAACATATCTGGTTTTAACTAATCCAGTCTCATGGCAAAAAAAAAAAAAAAAGACAGTAGCTTGAGGATCAGGCAAACATTATATAAATGACATGAATGGCAGACCCAGATGATGAGTGATGTCACAAGAAGACCCTCGAGTGTCAGCCAGGTCTGTAGGGAGACACCCATCTAGTCAGAGAAGCCAGAGGCACACCAGATATCAGTGTCAAGAGCATCGAAAGTAACAAGGACTCCTTCCTTTGTTAGTTTTCACTCTGCAGCTCGGGCTGGCCTGAAACTCAGGATCACCCTGCCTTGGCCTCCCCAAGCTGGAATTACAGGTGTGGCCTCACCAAGAGCCACAGCCCAAGTCAGAGGTAAGCGTGGCCAGTGTGAGCCGCGCAGTGACTTCCCTCCTTGACACCATTTCTTCAGAGAATGCATTATCTCCACGATGCACCTTGAGGATCAAACCGTGTTTAAAAACCGTTCACATGTCCAAGGAAGTTCCTACTCCACCCCTGACTTCATCCTCAAAATGACACCAGGGGAGACAGATGGCGTGACTCAAAGTAAACAAACAGAGGAAATGCAGCCGCCAGCAGGACACACGGCCTGAGCAGGGCTGCCGGTAAATTACAGGGCTGGGCATCAGAGCCCAGTCCTCGTGCTCAGTTTCCTCATCTGCAGGAAAGGCACAGGAATGGTGCCTTCCTCACAGTGCCAGTTGCATGTGACAGGAGTTGATTAACTGCCAGCAATTCTCGTTCCATGGTGCCTCATTTCCTAAACTGCACCCAGAAGCAGTGCTAGAAATATGGGCCCCAGGGTTCCCAAACTGTAGATTTTCAGAGGCAGAACAGGTTCCAAGGCCCCTCAGATTCTATTTCCCTTAAAAAGGAGGCACTGGAAATTGTTCCTCTGTGGCTACCAAGGGATTTGCGCAACACCTCCCACCCCCACCCCATAGATGCCCATGTGAGGAAATTTCTTTTCCAGCTGCCAGGAAACTCTCTTCCAGAAGAAAGACTGCTCACTTCTTTTTTTGATTATGAGTGTTATGTAACTTGTGTATGTTACTCTTTTCACCTTAGCAGCTAGGAAGCTCAAAGCCCAAACAGATGCTTAAGTGAGCAAATGCTACCTGCTCTTGAAAGAGGCCATGAAGACCACACTGATCAATCAGATGAAGGGGTATTTCCCCAGGGTTTCTAAAAAAGATTTTCCTCCACTGGGGAGCAGAGCTCCCTCTCACTGCCCTGACCATGCCCTTCTCCCCTTGTCCTGAACACACAGGCTTTCATGGGACCATGAGAGACAGGCCAGGGAGATTCCAAGAGGCCACACGGGAGCTAGAAGAGCATGAGGCAGAGATAAAGTCCTCAGAGAACACAAATCTGCGTTGCAGGCAAATTTCCACTGTAAGAAACAGAGCAGGTGTATACCAGGTATGTACCTGAAGCGGGGAAGAATGAGGGGCTTCTCAGAAGGGGTGATGAGCCAGAGCCCAGCCCGGACTCCCAGAAAACAAGAACACTGCAGAAGAGGCCATACGAGCTGCTGCTCATGCACAAAGTGACCTCAGTGCACAAGGGGACCTCAGAACCCGGCCAGCTGAACCCACACTCACAGGGAGCTGCTCAGGAGACATCTGGGCATCCAGTAGCTGCTGCCCAATGGCAGCTGAAAGCCCCATGCGTCTGCCAGGTGCACCCACCAAGAGCGACGCATGCCTGTACCCTGCACCTCTGCACGCAGGGGCTGGCACCGGGTCTCTTTCCTGCTACAGGAAGCCAGACATGACCAAGCCAGCTTTACCCCATGGATGACAAAAGCAGGGCCTTCAACCTGATCTCAGACAAACCCAACACATATCCAAACCCCAGCTTCAAGGGAGTCTGGGAAATGCGGCTCTCTGTCTTCTGTCTTCAGCCAGAGCAGAAGCCCAGGTTGGAAGGGCACAGAACAAAGCAAATGCCAACACAAAGCCCCCTGTCCCTGAACAAGGGCACAGAACAAAGCAAATGCCAACACAAAGCCCCCTGTCCCTGAACACGGCCCCCTCACTCTGCGGCCAGACCTCGACCTCACAGCCACAGACGGGGCAGCACACTTGGGATCCCCAGCCCCAAGAGAAAAACGCTAAATCCCAAACCCAGCCAGGAGATCCCCAGGGCCTCTGGCAGCCGCTCCAGCCAGCCATGCCTGTCTGACAGGGTTTACTCTTTGACAGGCTTTCTGTGTTTTCTCTTTTCCATAGACTCCGAGGGAACGTCTAATACTCTAAGTTTGGCTGGGGTGGGATTTAAGCAGATAAATCACAGACAATCTGAAGAGCTCAATAGTCCTAGTCCCTACTAACAAGGAGGACAGTGGGACAAGTCAAGCCAGCATTCTGGGCAGACACTCACATGCTACCTTTGACCTCCACATCAGAAACTCCACAAATACCTGTGCCCACCTGGCAGGTAGGGGGATGTGTGATGGACAGCAAGTGGGGGGTTACAGGGAGGGTGGAGACGAAGGGAAACTGGGAGCCCAGTGGGTGTTGCCAAATGGGACACAGGGGTCCAGCGGCACCAATTTTTTAGGAGAAACTTAAAATCTGGATCTCTGCATACACTTAATTGGAAAATCATTAGCAACTTTTTTGTGTGTGTGTGTGGTACTGGGGCTTGAACTCAGGGCCTTCACTTCAAGCCAGTCTACCAACCCTTTTTTGTGAAGTTTTTCAACACAGGATCTTGTGAACTATTTGCCCGGGCTGGCTTCAAACCCTCATCCTCCTGAGTAGCTGGGATTACAGGCATGTACCATGGCACCCAGCATGAAGCAAATTTTTAACAAGTGCTATGGGGGCCAAAAAGATACCCTACAGACCAAGCACAGCACCCAGGCTGCAGTCTGCCCTGAGGCAACATGCCCGGCCCTCTCTAGCCCCTCTGCACTCACCTCCCAGCCCTCAATGTGTGACTGCAGCTGCTCTAGGGCCTCCAGCTTCTCCATCTGCCTCTTGGTCTCATTGATGTTCGAGCACACGGTCTTCATGGCCTGCAGGGCACTCTGGACCGCGGGGTGGTCGGGATGCTTGCCAGGAGTCCTCTTGGCCAGCTCCTGGAGTAGAGGTGGGGCAGGAAAGAGACATCAAGCTGTATGCCCCGGGGCTGGGACCCCGCACTCACTCGTCCACTCACTCATTCATCTCATCAGTGTCAGTTCACCCAAGCGCCTCCTTGAAGGCAGGCAGCAATCCAGAGTCTGTAGATAAAGATGTCAACAAACCAACCAAAAATGCCTCACCCGGGGGATATTCCAGAAAAGGAGAGGGGCCGAAATAAAGAAAAGCTAAGTACGTAATACATGATAAGCCATAAGAAGTACTATGAAGAGGAATCAGAATGAAGAGACCAGGAAGTGTTATTTCAAATAAGGAGGTCAGGGGACATCTGAGCAGAGACCCTGGCTGATGCAAGAACAGGAGCCCTGCAAAAATCTGAGAAGGAACAGCAAGTGCAAAGGACCTGGGGTAGGAGCTTATGCAGTACGTGGCAAAGAATAGCAAGAAGACAGTGAGTGTGGGGTGGAGCAAAAAGAGACAAACAGGGAGACAGCAGGTCACAAAGATGGCCATAAGTACATTCCTAGCCCAGTTTTGTTTGTGAGAAGAAAGGCCTCTTGGGACTGGAGATGTAGTCCAGTGGTAGAGCGCTTGTCTAGCAGGCATGAGGCCCTGGGTTCCAACCCCAGCACCACCAAAAAACAAAAAACAAAACAAAGGAAAGAAAAAGGAGGGAGGGAGGAAGCAAGGAAGGAAGGAGCCTCTCCTTCAAGGCCCAGGGCAGGATATGGGACAGGATATGTAAAGCAGCTGGTCAGATCTCACGCCATGAACTGCCCCCCATTTCTCACTCCCAGCTCGCCCCTCATCTTGGGCACAAGCTGGAGCATCCTGAAGACCAGGCTTCGTGCCAAGTGTGAGGAAAGGCTGAGGAGGGAGGGGCTCACTGGCCTGGGGACACCGGGAAGTGTCAGATCACCTGGCCTTCAGTCAGGATGGCACCAGCACAGATGAGGCGGCTCCTGGACCTTCCCATCCAGACACACACCTGGCGGTCCAGGTTCTGACCCTCACCCCCACCCCGACCCCACCCATCTCTGCTCCCTGGAATGTCACAGCAATCATCCCTGAAGACATACGCTCTTGAGAATGGGGTACGAGGGAATCGCTGACCCCACCTGCCAGGTGGGCTCAGGCCTCAGTTCCACCATCTGCAAACCAGCCATGAGGGGAAGGATGACAGCAGTTATTGCATGCTGAGCCCCAGGACCCAGCTGCGGGGCTGTGAGGAGGGAGGGGCCTTGTATCCACCAAAGACCCTGCAGTGAAGCTGGAGGGGCTCCCACAGGAACCTGGAGATCCGACAACTCAACAGGGGAGGAAAGTGTGAGCCCAACGCTGCCTGCTAAGCACCCTGAGAGGCCTATGTGACAAAGACACTCTTGGACCTAGAGGACCTCACAGGGCCAATGTGGGCCGAAGCAGGAGGTGGCTATCTGCTGGAGTTCACCCATCCCTACACCCACTGGAGCTGTGGCTCAAGAAGGTGAGTGCCTTGTATGCTCCAGTACTGAGCTGAGCTGAGCTGAGCACCATCACAGAGGCAATTGTAACACACTCAACCCCTCAGGCTGCATCCTACTCAGTACAGCAGCCTAAACTGGGAAGCACTACGGTCCAAGGCTGAGCATCTCCACATCTCAGCTGTGGCACGAGTGGCCTCCCTCTCTGAGGCTCCATCAAATGCAGTGATGAAAGGAAAGCCTTGGTAGATATAAGAGCACAGCTGTCACCATCAGCAGTAACAACAGCTCACGGTCACCATTACTTCGGCACAGTGAGAATAGCAAGTAAAGTAGTCACAGTGGAGTTCACAGCAGCTAGCATCTATGGAGCACCTTCTGTGTGCTAAGCACTGTTCTCAGTTTAAATGTATCAGTCACATCATCCTCAGGTCGTCCCAGTGAGGGGCTCCCGTTATCCCTACTCAAGATGAGGAAACTGAGGCATAGAGCTACAAAGCCACAGAGGTGGACAATGGACTTGGTGGATGCTAACCAGGTCTACAAGGCCGTCCACAAACCACCACCCCCAAAATGAGGGTCTTAGAACACAGAATGTCTGAGCAGGGCTGGTCCCAAGGTCCCTCAGGAGTCAGAAGGCAGAGAAGGGAGGTGCCCAAGGCTGTCCTACAAGAAGGTAGCTGAAGCCCCTCCTCCAGCCAATCTGGTGACCACTGTAGCATCCGCCCATAGGCCCGTGTGGTTTCTCAAGTGGCCAGGGTAAGGGCTTCCTGGAAGGAAGGATGTCAAGGCCGAGGGCTCGGGCTCTGAAAGGTGCCTCAGCCCGTGTCCCTCCAGCCACATTTACCAAGGAGTCACAGGTACAGCTCTGAGCAGCTCCATCCTGCCCTCATAAGTATGACTCCTGTCACAGCTCAGCATAAAAGGACAGCCTAGGACAAAGGCCTCCAACACCACACCAAACTGGGCAATGCACAAACATGGCCATAGCAAGTGTCCCAGCCTTGCTGGGGTTCAGAAAATGACTGGATTAGCACAAAGGGCCAGGAGGAAGATGAGGAGGGAAGGGGGAGGATGCGCCTCCAGGCCCACTGGTCCCACCTGCCCTCTCCTGGGCCACGAAGTCCCAGAGAGGCTGCTATAGCCCAGCTCCCAGTGTGGAGTCCTGGCCAGCATCTGAGCCTTCCAGGCTCCAGCTCACCAGAAAGAGCCATGGACAGCACTGGACCAGCTGAGCAGAGGTTTCGGCTGCACTGGGATAAAAAGCCTGGGAAGGATGTCCTCTCCCTTCCCTGGGAAGATGAACCTGAGAAGCCACTATGAGAACACAGCCTCCTGAGCAGACAGCTGCCCAGAAGAAAGCAGCCAGACACACAGAGGTTCAGATGACCTCAACAAAGCCCATGGATGCAGCTGTGCCTGAAACCAGCCCTCCCCAGGTCTTGTCTGTTTTCCTTTGTTTTGAACAAGCAAGTTCAAGTTAGGTTTTCAACCTTTGAGTTTTTTTTAAAGGATCATAAAAATGATAAATTGGACAGAGCATAGAAGGAACCGCAAAATCCCAGTGGGAAAACCAAGCTGATGTGCTGCTGGAAGGTGTGTCAGTCCCACTGCCGCCTGTGACCTGGGCAGGCAGACACCCAAAAGGAGACACAGGGGTTGTTCTGTCTACAAGAAGAAAAGGGTGGCCTGTGGGGAGGGCTGTCACCGATGGAGTCTGGATCAAACAGAGCAGCACCACTTTCTGGGGATGTGCTGTGTACATAGATGTCAGGTACCATCTCATGCCAGGTGCAGGGGGTGACTGCCCCATAGCAGGGACACATCCTCTCCAGTCACTCAGTCCTCACCCGCTGCACTGAGTTACCTGCAGTCCCTCACTCATTTCCCATGCCTGCTGCTCCCTGGGTCAGGAGGTTCTGTGATCCTCAGCTCAGACATCCAGGGGCTGCAGGTCCCACCTCCCAAAAGAGGCCTGGGCACAGGCAGTGTGCCAGGCACAGCCTTCCTCCCCACACCAGCACGGCTCCACAGTGACTGTTCCCAGAGGACACAGAAAAACTGAGATGATGGTGGTGCCAATGATGACAGAGTTAATTCCAATTCAGTGGAAGCAAAACAAAAAGATAAACCAAGAGCAATTGAACCCAAAACACCTAAAGCCACTCAAAGGAAAGCTAGAGAAGGGGGGAAGCAGCAAGGAAAAGAGAAGATAAACAGAATCAAAAAGAAAGATGGTGGAAACCTTCCTGTGTTCACGACACACAGTGAACACAAGTGGGCTAAGCTAAGGAGGCAGCATCAGATCGCATTTTAAACTTTCAACTTGATGGGCAGCAGTCAAAGGATGAAACAGTAAGTCAAGAAAACACTGGGCAAGAGAAACCTGACTTAGATAGATTCACGTGGAAGTGAACAGTGGACAAGAAAAATCGCTAATATTTATTGAGAACTCTGAAGTATTTTATAGGCATTCCACTTACTCCTCACAGCCCAAAACTAAGGCACTGGTGACACTGGAGTCACGTCTCAAGAGAGGTGCCAGCAAGAGCTGGGATGGGTAACACAGAAGCCAGGACAACACTGCAGTTGCTAAGTTGGTAACATCCACCTGGCATGGCTGCCTAAGGTGCGGAGTCAGATCATCATAACAAGCCTGGGTAAGCCATCACTGTCCCCATTTTACAGACAGGGAAATGGGTGCACAGACAGGTGCAGCACAGAGAAGTTGCCCTTTGTCACACAGTTCAGAGACAGCAGAGCTGGATTTCTGGATGAGCCCTGCATAGCATGGCAGGAAGCAGAATGCAGGAGGGCAAGCTTGGCAGGCCCCCTGGAGATGGCACAGCTGACCCAGCTTCAAAAGAAGGAGGTGAGAGCAGGCCCCACTGCAGAGGACCCCTGAGGCCCCGCTCACCACACAGGAAGGAGCACAGCACAGGCTGGGCGGGGCAGGTGCTGTGGGTGAGGTGTCAAAGCCCAGCCAGAGGGACAGGATGGGGGGGGTGGGCACTGTGGGCAGGGGGGGGGACACCAGACAGCAGAGCCACAGAGAAAAGGCTTGTGACTTCCTGTGCCATCTCAGTGACATATGACAACACCATATCCCCACAGATGGGACTCACCTGTGACATAAGTCAGACAAGTGTACCACAGAGATGCTCCAAGTGACCAGAATCACAGCAAGAGCTGCGGAAAATCCTTGGGGAAGCTGTGCCGGAGGAAACACTCCCCCTCGCCACCCCTGCCCACGCCATCTTCTGCTGAACTCCAGAGTGGACTATGGCCAGCCTCCCTGCCTCCACCCCACACACTCATAGTCCACTCCTCCCACACACCAGGGGCTTCCTGTTAGAACCCAGGCAGTCCTGTTGCTTCCCTGCCCAGCACCTTCCTGTGGCCCCTGCCTCTCTTAGGTGGGAGATGAAGAACCTACATTGACCCACAAGCCCTGTATGATCTGGCCGTGACCTCCCTGACTCACATCCTACTCTCTCCCTCAGACACACCAATCACATCCTGCCTCAGGGCCTTTGCACTGCTGTTCCTGTCTAGAAGACTCCTCCCCCATACCTGCAAGGTGATGCTCAAATGTGGCCTATCAGTCCAGCCCTATTATCCAGTCCTAACCATATTATCCAGACCTGCAAACCCTGAGTCACTCCTTGACCTCTTTAGCCTGGTAAGTCTTTCCATGGCACCCACTCCAGCCACACAAGCACAGCCCTTCCTGTCCGTGCATCTGAAAATTGCCTCTCCCACAAGAATGTTGGTCCCCTCGGAGAAATTCCTGTTTCTGTTCGCTCTGCATCTCAGGCACAAAATAGTTGCTCAGTAAACAGCCACACATCACTTAACGATGGAGAACGTCCTAAGAAACGCACAACTGAGTGACCTCGCAGTAGTGCGAACACCCTCGTATGCACTTACCATCTCACTAGGTGGTACCATATGGAACTGCAGACATCTGCGCGACTGTGGACCTCACAGTGGACTGGGAGCACCCCTCCCAGGCACTGACCCCAGCCAGTCATGGCCACTCCCACTAGTCATAATGACCAAATTGCAGTCAAACAGCAAAGTCCTCACAGCTCTATCACCACAGACAGGCATGGAAGACACCGCAGACCATGCAAGGACTCAGGCCACACCCCACGCTGCCCACTCTGCACCAATTCCTGACTGCCTGTTGGAGCGGCTGTCACACAGACAGCTCCCAGAATGCACCCTGCTGGGTCCCACAAGGTTGGACAAGGTTTGCACCAAGCTAACATCCAGCCTCAGGAGCGTCCACACACAGCCCCAACGTCCCAATGTCCAGATTCAGAAGCATGTGGGAATACTGTGTGGCATGCCCACACTTGCCGAGCAATGTGGGGACACCTGCCATATGCAAGGCACCATCCAGCACTGAAAAACAGGCCGAGAGCCCTGCCCTATAGAACTGATGGCCTAACGGCGAGATGGAAAATCAGTCAGATCACCACAGGAGCTAATCAGAGATGCCGTGAAGAAGAGGAAAAGCAGCGAGAGTGGACAGAGAATAGCAGAGCAGCTTTTCTGTAGCAGGGAGGTCAGGGTAGGCATCCCTGAGATGGGGACATCTGAGCAGCAGAGGCCTGACAAAAACTAGAGAGTGAGTCTTGGGGTATCTGGGGCAACAGGAAGAGGAAAGAGCAAGTGCAAAAGCCCTGAGGCAGGCGCCTGTGTGCTATGTTCACAGAACCTCAAGGAGGCAAGAGTGGCTGAGTAGGGCCAGGGAGGACAAGCGGAGGAGATGAAGCAAGCCAGGAAACATGGACAACACTCTGTAGGGCCTTGCCAGGGGCAGCAGTAGGAGTCTGGCTTTTATTCTGAGTGCCAGAGGTTTTAGTGGAAGAGGGGAAATGCCCAGATGCAGCAGCGCCAGGCCTCCTTTGGGGTGATGACCACATTCTACTCTTCATTGTGGTAGTGGCTGCGTAATTCTTGAATAGACAAATTTTTTTTAAAGGCCACAGAGTAGGAGGGGCTACCACAGAGCCAAGTCTAGATACAGAAGAAGACCAGGAGGGAGCCAGGGCCACAGACAGCAGAGAGGTCTGGGAGCCAAGGAGCCATCAAAGGACTCTAGCACCCGGCAGCCACAGAGGCAGCAGACAGGGCAGCAGCTACCCCCTCTAGACAGGCTGTGGTCCCCCAACTTCCCAGGACCACAGCCCCCACCCACCAGTCTCACTCCCGCTATCCCCAGGCCTTCACAGAACCCATCCAGGCCTGGCAGCTCAGAGCAGGACCAGGTCTGTCTTGCCCATGGTCATGCCTCTAGAGCTCTGCCAGCACCTGGGTCACAGCAGGTACCACAGCAAGAGCTGTGTACTCTCAGGAAACAATGGGCCAGGGTCCATGAGAACTGGGTCTCCCTCAGGGACCTGCCAGCTGTGCACCAGGGGCATCACCCCAAACCTAACTCATTTCCTTGGAACCGCTTATGGAAAACTCTACCAAGCCTGAAAATACCAGCTGTTGATCCTGGGCCTGGGCTGCAGAGCTCAGAGAGAATGTTCTGGCTATTCTAGGCAACGTTCAATTTCGGCGTTTGGGCAGTACCCAAAGAGGCTTTCTCTCTCACCTCTTCCTCTCCCCCACAGGCTCCCCGACGCTGTGTGGCACCACTGAGAGGTCAGCAGGAGCAAGGGGACATCTGCGTGGGTGCTGGGGCCTGGGAGGTCAAGGGAACTACAGGGGTTTGAGTCAGCCGCCCAGCCTCATGAGATCATCTTTCAAAATGCCCTGGAAAATGTGACAGGGAGGAGGAGCTCACAGGTGTGAAGGCCCCCTCAGTGCCACTGCTCACTGATGCAAACATTCCGGCAGTGGGAGCCAAAGGCCAGGACACTGAGCCGCTGTCAGATGGGGGCATGCATGTCCCACAGCAATCTGGGGCCCGGCTGGCATCTCCAGAACCTCTCACCCCCCCCCCAAAATAAGAGCTGTGGACAAGGAAAAGGAGCAGCACCCACACAGTCAGGCAGCCAGGTGAGCTGGGTGGTCAAGAGGACAAACCCATGGCCTCAGCAGCACCTGTGGGCACTTCCCGCAGAGGTGGTCTGCTGTCCTGTCCTCCTGGGCATCCAGAGCCCAGGAGTCCTGCAGCATCAAGCTACAGTCCATGGGGAGATGGCCAGGCCTCACACTGGGCTTTGCATCCCCCTGTACACATAGTTCTTGCCCCATGGGTTGTCATGGAACCCAATCTGCCACTCGAAAAGCCACTGAGACCCCAGACTTTGCCAAGATCCAGAAATCAAAGGATTCACAGGTTGACTCAACTCTGGGACTGCAGTTGGTAGCTCTTGCCATAAGTCAGATGTTCAAGGTTTTGAACCCAAGAAAGGAGCAGACCAGCCACCAAGCCACATACACAGGGCCCCTCATCTTTTCAGATCAGAGAAAGGCTGCACTCCTGACACCCCAGCACTTCAGCAGCTTGGCCCCCCAAAATGCTTCTCAGCAGGCAGGTAGACATGTGGCTGGAGGTGGAACTCTGGGATGATGCTGGTCACATCGTGGCTCCTACTGCTTTCCTGCCATGTGGTCTTGGGTAGGACACTTCTTTTCAGTTGCCCACCTCCAGAAGACCCATCATGGTGCCAAACTCACTGCGCTATGTAAATGCACGTTTGCTCATCATCACAACACCAGAGGTACTACAGACACACCCATACCTCAAAGAAGAAACTGAGTCATAGGAAGTGATGTGACCTGCTCAAGGTCACACAGCTAGGAAACAGCAGCACCAGAACCCAAAGCAGGCCACCTTTGGTTGCAAAGCCCGGCTATGATCGGGGGCCAGAGGGTGAGCAACACGGGCTTTGCAGGCCATGTCTGCTTCCTGCTGCAGTTTCTTTCCTCTCTGTGCGTTTTGTTTTGTTTTTCTCTGTTTACAATGTCTTTAAAAACACAAGCACATTCTTTGACTTTTGATCATAGGTTGTACAAGACAGGCCACTGGCTGAACTTGGCCATCGAGCCACAGCTTTGCCACTTTGTCCTCTGAACCCCTTATGAACACTAGCAGCTAGTTCAAGTGTGGAGGTGACACAGGCAGGTGCAGTGAGTGACCCCGGAGGGCGGCCTGCCCCCACCGCACTGGGCCCTTCCTCGCAGAACTGCTGCACCCTGGCATTTCCACTGCGTGTGTGGGCATCAGGGCAGAGGTTAAGTATAGTAAGCACGATGGCAGGCCTTGCTTTGAGCACAAACAGCCTCCAGCCAGAGGAGGCTCGGGGAGAGCTGTGCCTTGCCCCCACAGCTGCATACATTGAAGCCTGAGTCCCCAGCAGCACTGATGGCCCCCATGTCTTGTCTAGCTCAGAGGCCCAAGTACACTCACCTGCTCCAGCAGAAAGTGAAGATGGAAATATCCCTAGGCCCCTTCTCCTCCTCTCTCCTTCTAGTTCATGGTACAAGGACATACATGTGGCCCCGATGAGTGGCCCTGAATGAAGCTACCAGCCAAACTAACCCAGCAGCAGGGAGCCAGGAGCTAGCTGTCAGAAACAGGCCTTCAGGACACAGCCAGGGCAGAAACAGCCAAGAGCCGTCATTTGCAAGGGCTGAAAACCCTGGACTGGGAACAGCAGATGGTGGCAAAGACAGCCAGCAGGTCTGTCCAGCTCTGCCCAACCAAGACCAGGCTACGGTGGACGGGCAGAAGGAGACAGCGGACACGTGGACGGCTATGGTGGGCCAAACCCCGCTCTGCCTCCAACTCCCTGCTTCCTGGAGAGAGCCCAGACTCTGGGGAAGGGATTCCATCTGTCCCATTCTTGGAGTTTGTGGGCTGTGGGCTCCACAGCTGGCTCAAGCACATGAACCAAGTCTAAGCTGAGAGTCACTGGTTCAGGAGCACAGCACCTGACACAGATCTCAGCCAATCCGAACCCAGCAAGTAGTAGCGTGCCCGTAAAGCAAGTCCTGAGTTCAAACTCAGTGACTCTACCCTGCCCCAAAATCAAAAAGCACATCATGACCCTGATCACCGTCATGGATCACAGCAGAGTGTAAGGCAATGTCATCAATTAGACCACAGCACTACCCAGCTGGCAGTGGTTGGTTCAGGGTAAAGAAAGGTCTAAGCAGATTGGAAGATGGTGAATGGAGTAAGCAAAGGCTTGTGATTGGTTCGAGTAAAACAGCAGGACTCAGGCCCGAACAATGTGGAAGATGACATTCCCCTGCCACAGGTGGCCACAGCTGGAGTGACTCTCAGGTCTTCCGTCAGAACTACTACAAGAGGCTGGCTTTCTCCTGCTGATTTCAAACCTGACAAGAGTGTGAGGCCAGAGTGACTACAGCCATCTGCTGAGCACTGAAAATAAAGCTGAGCTGTAGAAACGGGAGGGAAGAGGATCTAACCTAGCCCAGAGCCAGAACTTCCACTAGCCATCACAGCCGTAGCTGGGTCTTCTGCCACACACTTCACATGGGGAAGGAGCCAGGCACCCCTCACCTTGAGCAAGAGCGGGTACTTGCAGATGCGCTGGATTGGGGACAGCAGGTAGCCCTCCAGTGGGATATCCGTGGTCTTCCGGCCTCCCAGAAGCATGCAACTCTGCAAAGGGACAGGAGACCTTTGTTAACACTTGCCAAGGATGGCCGGGGAAGTGGCTACCCTCTCATCACCATGGGAAACTCTCTAAGTGCAGATACAGATGAGCACTTGGGAAGCAACTGGGAGGTGAAAAGGGCGTATCACACAGCCCAGCACAAAACCCACTAGGAGGTCAGCAGACTGTGGCCTGTGGCCTGGTCTTGCCCCCTCCCTGCTCTGGTAAAGTCTTACTGCAGCACACCACACAAATCACATACCATCTACAGCTGCTTTCAAGTTATAATGGAAGCCTTGAACAGTTAAAATAGAGACAGACATCAGTGTTTGGAAAGCTCAGTCTTTCACCCCAGAACAAGTGATCCAGAGAGGTGGCTGCCAAGGACCCACAAGGCCAGCCCAGCCACCCCTACGCTCAGTTTCCAAGTCCGATCTGAAGCCCAATGACCCAAACCATTCAGAATATGATGTTCCTCTCCTTTGAAGGGGCTCCAACTCAAGAATCAGGATCAGGAACCATGAGTTATATGTGTCTGGCCCATTGTCCTGGGTCTCCAGGACTCATGAGGTGCCTAGTGTCAGTGCATCAATTAACACACCAAGGCGTGAAAACAGGGTATCTCCAGCAGTGAGGCGGCTCAGCCCGCCTCCTCCTCACCCCTACAGACTGGGAACGAACTTGGACTCCGGGGAGAAGGGATTCCCACCCTATCGTTCACTCCCTTGTTCGTTCTTTCAGTCAAGTGCATACCGTGTACTCACCTTATGCTGGGCACAGATCTAGCTATGGGGACACTGTCAAGAGAACCCGTTCTCTGCTTACATTCAAGTGAAAGGAAAACAGGAGAATCTCACATGTGCCCACCACACCCGGGGCCCTGGCCTCACATGCATGGCAAACTCAGGCTCACAGCTCAGGAACAAGTTTGCACACTGTCGCCTGTTCCCACAGGGAGAGTATGTCAGAGAGCAGTCCCCAGTGTCCGCTCTGCCCCAATGCCCCACAGGGGCTGTAACGAGCGCCTCCGTGGAGAAACAGAGTCCTGCACTCAGATCCCTGCTCTGACTGGGCAGCAGGACTCCCACCCCTGTGCCTGCCCCTGGCACAGATGGGGCTCCAGGCAGCAGCAGCTGGAGAAGCCAGCCCCACACTGCTCACACTCAAGCCTTTGTCCTCCGAGCCAGCGCGCCACAAGCTGCCCTGGTGATGTCAGCTCCGGGCAGAACATGGGGAGCCTGGGGTGCAGGGAGTTTTCCAGAAGCCCCAGGGGCCTGGCAGGAGAAGGGCCAGACTTTTTATCCGAGATCAAGGAGTCTCACAGGACTGTCACAGCCCCCAGCTGCATCCCCCACACACTCTACCTGGTTGTCCTGCTTTGGTTTCATTTAAAAGGCAAAAAGCAAACACTCAGAGTTGACATTCATTACTTGCTTATCCCACCCGGGGTCCTGGGGAAGAAGTTTTGAGAATGGTTTGCTTGGTGTTAAGCTCGCAGCAGAGCTGAGTCCAGGCCCCCTTCCCCCCACCAAGGGCACCAGGCCCTGGTTGCTCAGGCCATCCCATCCACCCACAATGCATCCCTCTTGCTATAAACACTACTCTATGCTAAAATGCCCAGGTTTCTATCTCCAGCCTGGAGCCTTCTCCAGAATTGAGTCTCCTGTAGCCTTGTCACAGGGACTGACACCTCACACACCTGCACTGCTGCTCCCATGCAGCCTTCACCATCTGGGGAAATGCCACTCCACCTGTCTAGTGCTTGGACCCCCAACCTGGAATCACCTTTGAGTCCCTCATTCACTTAAACCCAATGCCCTCCTCGGGGAAATTGTGTCAGTTGGGCCTCAGTATTCTATGAGGACCTGACTGCTGTTCTCACCACTACTTCTGTCCTCAGCCACCATCACCTCTGCCTGAACTGTGGTAGTAACCCTGTGGTGGGCTGAATGGTGTCCCCACAGTGCCAGGCCCACCCCAGCCTCAGACTGACTTTATTTGGAAACAGGATCAGTTAACAGATGTTAGTTAAGATGAAGTTATACTGGACTTGGGGGAGAAACCCTAAATCCAAGAACTCATGTCCCTATAAGAGGAGGATAGGACACAGGGTCATGGAAGAGGAAGGAAGGCAGGGATTAGAGTGATGCAGCCACTAGTCAAGAACACCTGGGGTGACCATAAACTTAAAGAGGGAAGGCAGCCTTTCCTAGACGCTTTGGGGGTTCTGTGATGCTTTGATATCACCCCCTCCAAAACTGTCAGCAACAGAGCACGTGCTTAGCAAATGTGAAGCCTGGAGTTCAAACCTCAGTACCACAAAACAAGAAAGCTTTGCTAAAATTCTGGGACTTTCCAAGGACTAAATGCTCCTGCACTGCTGTCCCCTTTCCATCTCTCTGACCTCATCTCCTCCCCCTTTTCCTCTCAGACGCTTCCCTCCAGCCACCATGGCCTTTCTGCTACTCCTCAAATACAGTCCTACCATGGGCCTTTGCACTGCAGTTCCTCTCCTGGAATGCTTTCCCTCCAGATACCCTGTGCCTCCCTCTCAGCTCTGCCTAGCTGTCACCTGAGACATCGTTTTCCCAAAGGCCACACTAAAATAGCAGCTGCACCCTAACTCCCTCAAAACATCCTGCCATTCTCAATTCGCTTTATTTCCTCCAGAGAACCTAAGGCCACTTGCTCTATCATTTAGGAGTCCCCCACAAGAGTGGCTACCCTGTCAGGACAGGGGCTTTTCTTGCCTTGTTCACTGTTGTATATGGAGGACTTAGACTGATCCCTGCCAGGTAAGTGACAGGAAGCTATTTTCTGAATAAACGACCCCATCCAACAGACAGGAAGGTGCAGTCCTGAGAGTTCACGGTCCTGCCCATCACTGAGCCAGTGCACAGCACATCATGCAGAAAGCCAGAGTCCGTCTGCTCCCAGGGCCTTAACCTCCCACAGCACACTAATGACAGCTCTTTTGCAGGTGGCCAAGAGCTGGGAGACACCAGGAAGGAGGGAGACAGATGGAATGTGTGCTGGGACCCACATGTCGCCCTGTCCAACTGGCCATGGGCCAGCTACTGCTATGAAAACGGCAGCCTGGCCCACCAGAGAGACTGTTGGGGCGGGGGGGGTGGGGGGAGTCGGGCTCTTCCCTTCCCGTTCCCCTGCCCTCGTCTTCCTGGCACCTTCCCGCTTTAGGACCTAGCTGAGGCCAGGAGACACCCTCCAAGGGTGGGCAGTTGGAACTCGGCTGCCTGAAGTCAGCAAGTCGGGGCAGAAAGGTGGCCATCGCTGTCCTCGTGGTCCTGTGCTAATGTGACTTCATCTCTGCATTCTGCCCAGACTATTTTATGAACATGAGTGTTAAAAATGGAAGTGCGTAGGTGCAGAAAGCTGCCGTGAAAGGCGACAGCCACAAAAGCTGCAAACGCTGGAGACAAAATGGACACCAGCTGGCCAACTGGTTGCCTCAGATGCTCACTGGAACCGGGCCGAGCAACGCAAACTCACTCATGAAGGAAACGCAGAACACTGTGAATCAAAATTCTGGAAAGGCTTTGTCAGAGACTGCATCACAGAGAAGTAGTTCGGTTCAGGAACCTGATGGTCCTTATACTACATCAGCTAACTGTCCTTCTTGTTTCTTAATGTGAACTCTGGGGCTGTTGTTGTTTTTGAGTTTTTTTTTTTTTTTTCTGGTGGGACTGGGGTTTGAACTTAGGGCGTCGCGCTTGCAAGCAGGCACTCACTACTTGAGCCACATCTCCAGACTATTTTGCTCTGGTTATTTTGTACATGGGGTCCCATGAACTATTTGCTCAGGCTGACAGTCCTTCTGATTTCAGCCTCCCAAGTAGCTAGGATTACATGTAGGAACCACTAGGCACCCAGCTGAATTCTGTATTCTGGTAGAAAAACAAACAGTACAGGGTAGGGGTGTCTGTGACCTAATGAGAGGAAATTCAGAGGTGAAAGACCAGGATTGGAACTCCTGAGGATCTCAGTCACTTCTCAAGTATGGTCCCTCAGAAAGTCACTTAATATTTTGAAATCCTAAACGTCACCTTTGGCAAAGGTTACAAGGTGTACCCTAATGTACTCTTCTTCCAGAGCCATAGAATTTTTATCTGGGCACAGGGTTAACCAGAATAAAGCCTACATTTCCCAGCCTCCCTTGCAGCTAGGTGTGGGCATATGACTAAGTTTGGCCAATGGGATATGAGCAAAAGCAATTGTACAGCTTGATCTGCTTCCTACCCTCTACATCACACCACCTGGAGTTAGGTTGTGATGGGAGGTCATTTAGACATATCAGTGAGGACCACACCTAAGGTCTTGACCCCTGGCCACCCAGACTGTCTACAACTATGCTGTCAACTTGAAGGAGGAATAAATGTCCACCTTGTTTGAGACACTCTTACTGGGGATTGTCTGCCTTGTATCTCAACCCAAAGGAGGTGACAATCAAGAACCTGTCTCATACACAAGTGAAACTCTTGATAAGTATAAGGAAAGCCGTCATGGGTATCAAGGGTTTTGTCTGACCAATGTCCACTCCAAACAAAACAACTGTGCTTTTAGGGGTTCACTCTACCCTCAGGCCCTGTGGTATGGGTGGACCTCCCCTGTCCTCCATCTCCAGAAGTCACCAATCAGAACATCAGCCAATCCCTCTCTCTATGCTAACTGGTTCAGAGATATGGTTTGGAGCAAACTCAGCAATAAGCCTCACACCCAGGATTTTCACTGTTGCCATGGGGAACAGGAGCCGAGCTCATCCTGAAGTGGCTCAACACAGGAGGCGCTTCCGGAGGCCGTGCTGTCACTACCTAAGGAGAACCTGCTGGGAATGGAGCCAGGCAGAGAGCAGCGGAGCCCAGAGACACAGTTCTGATGACGTGAGTTGAATACCTAGATTCTGCAGGGCCTGAAGCCCTCTCAGGTCTTAAACTTCCCAGAAAAGTGAACAAAACAATTTGCTTTTGTTGTTACTATTACTGTTGCTGTTGTTTTGCTTTCACTTATAAATAACCCTAACGATACTAGTCATCCTACTAATAACGGCAGTAACGGTAACTACGGCTATGCTACCACTCTAGACGGGGAACTGCTCAGTCTAGCCTCATCTAGCCCTCTGTCTTGTTTCTGTAACGTTTTATCGGAACACAGTCATACTCATTCCTTTACATATTACTTACAGCTGCTAAATCTTTACTGCTACAACAGTAGAGATGACTCGTTGTGACCAGTACTGTAGGAGACAAAAAGACCCACTAGTCAGCCCCTTTCAGAAAAGTTGTGCAGACTAGGGGCAGGGCTCAAAGCCTACCTGCCAAGTTTGAGGCCCTGAGTTCAATCCCATGTACTACAAATAAAATTAAAATTCCTCATAGAGAAAAGACCTAACTGGGGTCAATGACCAACTCTGAGCAGGAATTTTGGGGCTGAATGCATGGCTCAAGTGGTAGAATGCCTACCTGGCAAGCATAAGGCCCTGAGTTCAAACCCCAGTGTACAAAGAAAGAAAGGGAGGAAAAGGGGAGGAAGGGGAGGGAGGAAGGGAAGGAGGAAAGCATGCCCTGCCCCATCTGGCTCCAGCGTACTTACCAGGAGGAAGGCGCGTGCAGTGGGGATCTTGTTGAGCTCCACCAGCAGCCTCAGGGCCTTCTCGTGGTTGCTGCAGTACTCCTCATACACACAGAACTTGTCCTTCTGCAAGACAGGGGCAGAGCTGTGGAAGCAGGTGTGGAAGAGGACAGGCACTGAGAGGCAGGCCTGGAAGGACAGGACCCCAGGGCCCCAGAGAGGCTGCAGCATGGACTTGTGAGTAAAGTGGACCCGCTCACTTCAGGTCCTGACTCCATTTGTCCCAGTTCTGCCCAGCAGTCTAAGTGACCTCTCAGAGTAGCACCAGGGCGAGGTAAGGACACACTACAGACTTAGCCAGGTGGCCTGGGCTTGAGCCTCTGCATTTGTAGCTGTGAACTTAGGTGAGCCTCAGTGGTAAGTGGCACTAATAAGGCAGGGGGATGCCTCTGTTGACCACTGGATGCCCCTGAGCCCAAAGGGAACTCTTCCCAGCCTAGAGGTCACCAGGCCCAAATCCATCAGTCATGGCTTCCGGAACTGGAAAGGACAGAGCCCTGTGAACAGGAAGCTCTCACCTAAGCAGCCCTCATTCCACAGGACTCCAGAACCAGCCAAACGCTGGGCAAGGAGCAAGGGTGTCCCAGGGGAAGAAGGATTGCAGGGCTGAACCTGGGGTGGGGTGGGCCAGAGACCCCGAGGAACTAAGGAAGGAAGAGGTGTGTCTGCACAGCAAGCAGCTCGTCCTGTTTCTAAACCCAACGGGACACTACAGGAAGGAGGAAACCGAAGGAGGGAGACCAGGTCACAATTAATGGGCACCAGGTCGCCTGCTTGCTCTGGGTCCACACAGCATCCGGGCAGACGTCTTGAGTAACGAAGCACCAGAGCTGACCGCCACCCAGAGTGGGTGCCAACTGAGGACAGGCCGCACTGCTCTTGGACCCGTGCAGTCCCTTCTCCCAATAACATCCCAGCCATTCGGTCCCAAGTAGGAAAAGCAAGGGAAAGTCACTTGCCCAGGGTCTCACAGCCAGTGACGTGGCAGAACCAGGACAATGCAGACGCCCCACTCAAGGTCCTCCCGTGGACAGGGAGGGCGTGTGCAGGTCAGGTCTCAGCCACACACTGAGCTGAGCAGTATGAAGAGATAAACCCAGCACCAGGAGGAGTGGGTGGCCTGGGGCGAGTTGCTCCACCTGCCTATGCCTCAGTTTCCTCGGCTATAAAGTGGACATACGAACAGATCCCTAATGCTTAGGCTGCTGGTAGATTAAATAACACGCAAAGCGGGTAGGACAGTCCTTGGCACACAGTAAGCCCTAGGTTCCACTTGCAAATACTTTACAAGAATTAGCTACAAATACAATCAGCAAACATGAATCTGCAGAAGAAAGTAGCAACGTGAACAATGTCTCAATTACCCAGTGTGCATATTCGCACATACATCACAGGACGAGCAACACGGATGCACAGTGAGGACCCCCCCTCCCCGCCCCACCCCGTTTCAACCGGGAACCACACCACACAAGTTACATGTGGCAAAAACCACCAGCACCTCCAGCTACACATAGAAACACACTGTCACAAAGTACCACCTCCTCACCCACTCTGTGCAGCACACCAGGATGCCAACATGGAAACACGGGCAGGAGAGGGAAAGAGGGACCCCAGCACCCTCACACTGCCCAGCAGACCTCTTCTGTTGTCATTGCTCTCCAGTGAGCTCAGGCAACCATGAAGGCCCAAGGAGAGGATGAGGAGAAGTCATGATGACAGGAGCTCACCCAGCCACAGAGAGAGCCATGGGGCTTGGGGGAGGGGGTTGTGGGATATACATGGAACCAGGCCTCGGCTGCAGACAGCAGAGGCAGCTGTAGGGGGAGGGAGGGGAACTTTTTTGCATGTGACAGCACTGCCCTGTGTCTGGGGGCTTCTCCTGCAGGCACCTGCTGGGCTGGGGGTGAAGGGGCCTGGGCTCTGAGTGTAGGTATGGAGAAAGGCAGACTTGAGAATGAGGCCGAAGGCCTCACTCCTGTACTGTCCATCTCACCCAAGCCCCTTACACTGGGGGCTCCATGGGGACAGGGTTTGCATCTGCTGAGGGGACAGAAGTGGCTGGCAGACAGCAGACATTGGGACTACTCAATGAATGGAAGCAAGAAACGGAGGAACTGTGAGGGGCCAAATGGGCCCTCCAGTCAGCTCCACATTCTTCCTGGACTGTTCCCGCCCCATTCTTGGGCGCCACAGGTGAGCGTGGACCTGACTCAGGTCAAACCAATCAGAGAGCTCCCTGGCTTGGCAACAGTGGCCATGTGACCCACACTGGGCCCATGCGAACACACCCCCCACAGGACACTCAGTGGGATTCCAGGGAATCTGGAATCCAGCTGGGCTGACGGTATCAGCGCGAAAAGTCAGGTCCTGAAAACAGCATGAGGGCTCCTGGGTCCAGCTATGCCTGAAGCTCACCCACACCCTGAACATTTCTCTTGTATGTGCCCCAAAAAGGTCCCTTTCTTTTAGCCTCACTGAGCTGGTGTTTTTGTTACTTACGGTGGAGACAGTGTTGATCCAGGCACATTCTGAATGGGAGAAGAAAATGAAAAATGGGCCCAAGCCTATCAAAGTGACACTCTGCCCACCAGCATGTGTGCTAGGGCTGGAAAGCAGGGACAAATCTGTCCTTCCCCCATGCCAACCCCAATCAACAGCAGTGATGCTGAAGCCAGCCAATAAGGACTTGATCCCAAGGAGCGGAGGCAGGACGCTGTGGCTGACAGGTGATGTCTGCCACTGATGCACCGAGGTAAGTGAGGGCCTGGACGCCCCTCCCTGCCGCCACAGTCTACAAGGTCACCCTCTCCTTCAGCCTGCGGGAGGACAGGGCCCAGGCTTGAAGCTAAATGAGCAGCTGGATGTAGCGAATGGCGACGTCCCTCGTCCAAAGCCCGGTTCCACCCACCCTGCAGGTGTGGACGTGCTGCCTTTGCCGGCCCGAGCCCAGGAGAACGGACATGAGTTTGCGTGCACACGGATGTGGTGGGCAAGGACCTGTGTGTGAAGGAGGGAAAATGGACAGTCACCAGCAGGAGACCATGGGGGAAATCTAGCTCCGGCCTGGGGAGGGGGGGACACAAGGTTCAGTCAGCAGTGCCCAGCAGGTGGCACTGGCTCCATGGGGACTATTTGTTCCACACCACAGCCAGAAAGAAGAAGAGCTGGAAAAGGAAGAGCTGGGCCACGTCAACATCCCCTCCAGGAGGGAGCAAAGCTGGTGTCTGCAGGTGTCTGCCCAACCTGTCACCATGTAAACATCTTTGGGGCAACTGGGTTCAAATATGAATCTGCCACACTACTCCTCCCCTATGGCTTCCTATGACCCCCCACAACAGAACCCACCATCCAGCCTTGGCCACAAAGCCCCACTGAACCTGGCCCCGTGACCCCCGACTTCTCTCCACCACTCACTCTGCCCCAGCCACAGGTTACAGGTCTCCCTTCTGCCCTTACAGGAACATGCCAAGCTTGCTCCCGGCTCAGGGCTGCCCCTTTTCCTCTCCATCTGGAACACCATGCCCCAAGATCCCCCATTTCACCACCGGAGAGAGGTAAGCATGGACAGACGCCTCACTGAATCCTGACTTCCAACACAAGACAGATAGATGGCTGCCTGGTGTGAGACACACTCTCACTGAAAAAGTTACTTGCCGCTTACCTGAAAGTCCAGTGCTCCTGGTGGCCTGAGTTTTCATTTTCTGAGTCCAGCAGCCCTGACCCCAACCCCAGGATCTGACACAGCCTGAGACAGAGTAGCTTGTGACTCCAGCTCACTTGATATTCAACACAATCTGTACAGCATCTGAAGTGACTTCAACTCACCCTGTGGCCACCAGCCTAACCACAGGAGCAGGTCTGTCCTGCTTGGTGCCACATCCCCAGGCCGTGGCCATGCCCATGCCTCAGAAGTGCTCATTTCAGGAGAAAGTGCAGCATAAGATGGTGAAGAGCAGATTCCAGTGTCTCAGTCCTGATTCCCAGTTCCAACGCCTGCTAGCTGTGCAAACTTGCATGGTCACTTAAGCTTTCTGGGCCTCCGTTTCCTCATCTGTGCAATGGGTACAATTACAGTATGCACCTTTAAAGGCTGCTATTCAGTTTTAATGAGTTGGTACGCACAGAGCTCTTAGAGTAGCACGCAGCACAAGACGGTCACTGGGAGCTAGTCTGTGACAAGCTCGGCAGGCGGCAGTTGGGTTTGGAGTGAGGGCGTGAGTGATTCGCACCATCTGTTGACCATAGTGGTGGCAGGCAACAGCTCTGTGATGACAGGTGATGGCCCCACTCTTCACACAGCATCTGCAGAGCTCCAGGCCCAGGTGCTGCCTCAGGCGGAGCAGGGACAAGGCTGGGTCGGACCACTTTCTTCATGGGCTGGAGTGGATACCAGGCTGTACTGCAGGCCAATCAGGGAGGGACAGGTGCCTGGTCCCCAGGCGCTGGCCATGGTGACTTCCCACCCGCTGGGCCCCCCAGACCTCATGCCCAAGGTCTCTTCATGCATTCTAGGACAGCCCACATCCTGCCTGGGCATGGTGGAGCAAAGGCTGGAGGCCTGGCCCCGGCTTCCACTGTGCACAGCCAGAGGGGTCCCAACTCCCGGGTCCTTCCAGGTGGGCCCGGTGGGGGCCGACGGAACCCCTGCAAGCTCGCCCCCAGTTGCTCCCACAAGGCCACCTGCACAATGCACACCAGCTTCGAGATACCCAGCCTGCCACAGGGCTGCCTTTAAACCCGAGACAAGGTGACTCACAATCCTCTGTGAGCACGGGGCAGAGGGGGCGATGCTTTCACATTTTAAATTAAAAATGTGATTTTAAATTAAAAACACTGACTCACACTGAGAAAGCCAGCTCCTTTCCAATCGCGCCAGTTAGCTCAGGGGGGTGCCGGTGAGGAGCTGTGGGAACTCGGAGCTGTCCTATACCTGGGACCTGGGATCTTCCTCCCGAGGAGACCCTAGCAGCCTCAGGTTGCAGCGGGTGGGCGAGAGTACAGAACAGAGCACAGTGACCCCGCTGGCTCCGTGCACTTGTTCTTAGGGGACCTGGGTTACAGCTGGAGGGCTCTGTTCTGTTTCCAGGGCTGACATGAATTTCCCTTGCTAAATAGTTTATCCAAGGCCTTTAAGCAACTCCATTTCTGAATGATTAAACAAAGAACACGAGGGTACAACAGAGCAAAAAGTACACACTTAACATGGAAGTCAACGACCTGAAGAACTCTGGCTTAGCCACTGAAGATGCTACTTGTGCAGCTGTGACCTTGGGCTTGACCTTCCTCAGTTTGCTGGCCTGTAGAGGGGGCAGGCGAGCTTAGGCTCACTCCATTTCTGATGGAGGGACAAACAATGAGCACAATGAATACCTGCCCTCCTGTCACTAATACTCTCGAGGAAGTAAACCATGGGCTGAGCCAAAGGCCATGAGAGAAAAGCCACATGGGCAGGAGATGAAGGGCACATGGGGAGAAGGTGCCCTAGATGGGAGGTAAAGTCCCAGGAAGGGACAGGCCTGCAGGGGTGTGGGGATTTGATTTTGGGGAGGAGGGAGCCCTAGAAGATTCTAGGAAAGCAGTGAAGAGGCCAAGTTTATGATTAGAAGAGAACTATCTCCTAAACCTTCATTTATCAAAGTCCTGGACATCTGTCTTGGGCCTGGGGCTCACAGCAGCTTTGTGAGGCAGGATAGGGCCCCACTGACGTCCAGGGTGGCTACTAAATTATCCAGAGCCTGGAATGGGGCCAAGCAGGCCAGACATGGGATCTGCCTGCACCAGGTGTGGCCCAGAGACCCTCAGGCAGTGGCAGAACACCAGACACAGGAGACAACCCACACAGGACAGAGCTGAGTAAACCTTAACAGAGCTCTTAGGACACATTGAGCACTACTGCCTTTACCCAGTCTCTCAGCCACCACCCGTCACAGACGAGAAAATGGGTACACAGGGGCAGGTCACTCCATGGAGCCCAGCTGGGCAGCAGCAGGCAGGATGAAAAGGCAGGCAGGCAGCAGGGCTGTTGTGTGCAGGAGGTGTGCTGGATTCTCCAGTGCCAAAAGGGCCCCCTGGCCAGAATGACTTCCCAAAAATATACCATGACTCTGGTGGTCAGAACAGTTCCCATCCAGCACCTGATATGCTGAGGGGCCTAAGCAGAGCAGGACAGGGTGCAGGAAGAGGCTGCCTGGCCTAGGGCTTAGGTTCCCACTCCCCCACCCATGTCCTTCTGTCTCCCTTGGGAATCCTGCAGAAGAACAAAGGCAGGACAGTCCACACAGGCACTTTGCGGACCAGTGAGTTCAGCCCACTGACCTGCAGCCTCAGGGCTCAAGCAGAGAAGCAGGGGACCCAGGGCTGCAATGTTATTGGCACCTGGAGGACCCAGTTCCTCTGGGGCCAGAGTAGGGCTATTGCAGCCAAGCCTGGTGTGGTTCATGGCCAACCCTGACAGTAGCACCTCTGAAAGCAGGTCCTGATGCCCATGCCAAAGCTACTCTCAGATCAACTCATCCTCACCACAGTCCTGGACTCCCGGCACTATGGCCACCCCACTTTTACAGAGTTGGAGATTGAGGCCCAAGGCGAAGTGGAGTGGACAAGTCACCTGGCCAATCAACAGGGAGGGGAGGAGGGAGGAGGGGAAGGGAGGGACATTTATTGGACCTCTGTGCCATTCAGTCCTCCTCCCCACCTTATGTCACCATGCTGGTCTAAGGCACCCCCATGACCTCTTGGCTGGCCTCCCTGCCTCCTGCCCCTCCCCAGTCTGCATCTCTGCCTATGGCTCTCCAGGGCTGACCTCGCTACCCCTACCACCAAAGCCACCCTCCATCGCACTCTCATCTGTCTTGTTTCAAACACAGCCCACTACATAAACAGAAAGCCAACAGCAGACAGGAGTGGTTCTAAACATCTCCTTGTATTCCTCACACACGCTGAGTTCATATCCATTTTACAGGCAAGGACACTGAGGCACAGGCTCATTAGAAAAACTTGCTGAGAGTAACACAGCAAGTGAACAGCTTGGCAGCCTGGCCAGGAGTAGTGTCCCCCTGGCCACCAAATGAAACTGCCACCTCCTCTAGATGCCAAGGCCTAAGGGCAGTGCTAGCCAAGCCTTGCACCCTCAACTCTGGCCACCAGCTGTGACCTGCAGAAGTAAATGAGGGGTGGGGTGAGGGTGGAAGCCAGCACATCACACACTCAACACACACACACGCACACGCACGCACGCACGCACGCGCACAGCTGGGATGGGAATCACAGCTCCACGCTGAGAGCCTTTTCTTTCCCCGAGTCTCTCCATCAACCCAGGAGGCAGCACCAGTCTCCCTCCATCTGGGTCAGGAGGAGGCCGAGGTTAAGAGAGGCACAGCGGTGTACGAGCAAGACCTGTGCGTGAGGTAGGAGGCTTCTTGTGTGAGGAGGACGGGGTGTCAAGAATGGCCGCCCTGGGTCCCAGGGAGTGAGGGCCCTGCAGGAGCAGAGCCTAAGGCAGTGAGCAGCAGCTGCTCTGAGCGTCCAGCAGTCCAAAGGGGCGCCAAGCCTCAGAGTCCTTGTGGCCAGGAGTGGCCGAGCCTGACTCAAACCAGGCTGCCTGACACTGAGAGCATCCTCTCAGCCACTGCTGCCTCTGGTGGCACTGTGCCACTAAGGAGCCCCTCTAGACTCAGGAGTCGCGGGACCCCAGGACACAGTCACTCAGTACGAGGCCATGTGAACGAGACAGAAAGGACAGATCTGCTGCAGGGCCAGGCCTCTTCCTGGGGAGCAGGCTGGGCCCATGGAGGAGGTGGCTGCAGAGCCATCAGGGCCCGGGGTGCCATACTCACAAATTTGAGGAAAACGTTTCCAAGTTCGTGCTGGGACTGCGGCTCAGGGTGCAGGCAGAACTCCAGGGCGGCCAGGAAGTCCTTGTGCACCTCCAGGATGTCCTCGATGTTGGAGAAGAGGATCTGGGGGAGGCGAGGCCCAAGGACACGTTAATCCAGGCTGGCAAGGATGCAGAACCGAGCATGACAATATGGCCTCTCCAGCCCGGGCCAGGTGACCACGTGAAAGATGGTGCTGACAGAAAGGCCACCACCGCCCACTGACCAGGGCCGGGCCTGTGTGTAGGCCCTCACATATGCAGTCCACAAGGTAAAAAGCATTCCTGTCCCCAATCATCCACGAGAAATGAAGGCTCCGAGAAAAAAGCCCACCCTAAGTCCCGCTCAGGGGGCAGGGAGGGCTGGAGGCTGGAGCCCATCCCTAGGGGACCAGAGGCCTCTTCCTCCTTGGCCACCATGGTGACACTGTCATCTGACATGCATGTGTGACCCGCCTGCTGGGCTGTTTTCCTCTCTTGTTTCAAGCAATGATCAAGGCTGCATCTGCTGTCAGGCCCCTTACTTCAAGGAAGGGCCACAAACTTACCTGTCTCCTGAGCGTAAGTGCAAAAGAAATGAGAATCGTCCACCCAAAGACATGCACAAAAATGATCCTAACAGCCCAAAGCTGCAAATAACTCAAATATCCACCCACAGGAGAATGGACATGTGAACTGTGGTCCATACCCCCGTCCCCATGGAAGTGAAGTACTACAGAGCAATGAAAAGGCATGGGCTGAGGCTGCACACAGCAATGTGGGTAAATCCCAAGATGTGTGGAGATCAAGACAGTGGGCATGGAAGAGCTACCTTGACACAAAGTTCAAGAACGGGTGAGAGCAATCCGTGGCACTGGGAGCCTGGGATGGCTTAGGGAGGGAGGAGCCTGGGAGAGGCCCGGTAAGCCTCCTAAGGCCAGAAACACTGCTGCCTTCACCTGGGTGGTGGAAGCCCAGGTGTGGTCATGCGTGAAACGCATTACACCTGGTTCTTAGGGTTTTCGGTCTCACGGTGAGGGAGATGCACCTCGTAAAGAAGGTAATTCCTTCAGAATGATAGCGAGTTGCAACTTAAAACTATGACAAGTAAGTACCAAGCTGTAACAATGTGATGAGTGAAACAGTCAGCCGCAGATGCTCAGTGAGCACCTGCTGAGTGAGCGAGTGAGCACGTGAGCGAGTGTCACGTGAAAAGCTTGAATCCTATGCACACACATAACCCGCCACCCCCTCTCTGGGAGCAGCTGCACAGTAAACCCCTCCAGCAGGGTCGTTTACCCTGAGCCTCAGTTTGTCTATGCAAAGAAGTGAGCTTAGAAGAATCAGCAGTCAAGGTCACAGTCCGGATGACCCAGGACCTTGTAGGGGGGGCAGGGTGTCTCCCCTGACCACGTGAGCCACAAATGCTGGGCACCTCAGGTACATGTGTCCCCTCAACTTTCCACCTCCCTTGGACCAGGCCCTCTAGAGCCCAAGGTCTGAAAGGCAGCTTCCCAGAGAGCAAGGTCACACAGCCAGCCAGGCCGGGCCGAGGGCCTCAGCGGAGCACACAGAGAGCCATTGATGTCCTCCCAGACTTTCCCAGAGCCACGGCCAAGGCCAAGCCGGGCCCAATTACTCATGAGCCCCATGGTGGCGCCCAGGGCCCAGCACAGGGGTGGGAGGGCAGCTGGAGGTGCCAGGCTCCCAGGCCGCTTGGGAAGGGACTTCCCACCAGCTCCAGGCCTGGGGGGCCAGACATGAGGAGGCGGGAAGACAGGAGCCCAGGTTGAGCTAGGAGAAAAGTCTGGCGATGGGGAGCAGGGCCTGGGGCGGGTGTGCTGCAATGCAGAGAGGTGGCTCCCATGGCTCCCAGGACAGAGGGCTGCGGGCTGGGCTGCAAGGGGCAGGCAGGAGCAGGCATGGCAGGACCAGGAGCCAGCATGGCAGGACCAGGAGCCAGCACAGACACCGTAGCAAGGACTGTCAAAAGGGGCCCTGAGTGACCCCACCTTGACATTCTCCTCCGTGAGGCCCTTCTCCACTGAGTCGGCCACGTTCTGCCGGATGCGGTGCAGGAATGCCTGTGGAGAGAAAAGGCAGAGGTGAGCACCGCACTCTGGGTCCACACAAGACACAAAGGTCTAAATGCTGGCGGGGAAGGGACCTGCGAGGTCAGGGATACGGCAAAGACCAAGGAGGAACTCACTCTGCTGATCTGTGAAATTTGCTGGGTCTCCTCATGCCACCTGGACACCAGGTGTTTACTGAGCACCCACCACCCAGACCCTGCGCGGGCCTGAAGATACCGCAGAGTCCCTGCCTTAGAGAGGCTCAGCCCCCATCACCTCGGTCCCTTGCAGAATACACCTTTATGCCCCCTTTACACATTTTTAACAATTTAACTTTTAACTTTAACACACTCACATGGCTGAAGTCAAAAACATCAAAAGTTATGAAAAACCTCTCTCCTATACCCCAACACCACAAAGTCCCTGATCACCCCACCCCCACCGTGGGAGCCACACCTTCTAGCTTCCTGGTGTCCAGGTACACGAGTGTGTGAATATTCACCTACACATCTGTTCTTGTTTTGTTGACTTTTTGAACACCAAAAGAGAGCAGCAAAGCCAGGTGTGGCGGTATACACCTGTAATCTCAGCTATTCAGGAGGCAGAGGTAGCAGGATCTTGGTCCAAGACTGGCTTGAGCAAAGTTAGTAAGACCCTGTCTTATCAGAAAAACAGCTAAAAGCAAAAGGGTTGGAGGCATGGCTCAACTGGTAGAGTGCCTGCCTAGAAGTGTGAGGCCCGGAGTTCAAACCCCAGTACTGCCACGGGAAAAAAAAAAGAGCCGGAGGGTGACAGCGTGGGTGATGAGGCTTATTATCAGAGGGCAGGGCACTAGGGGCTCAGCATAAGGTAGGGGGACCAGAATGGAGGGGTGGTTGTGTTCAGAGGCGCAACGGGGGTAGCCTGGACCTTGTGGTATGGGTGGAGCAGAGTGAGTGAGAAGGAGCTGCTGAGGTCACAGGATAGATGGGCATGGGCTAGACATGGGGAGGGAGGATCAGAGTCAGCACCTAAGGGAAACTGAGGCAGCCGCTCACAGCAGCCCCTGGCTCACCGGGCTTAGGATGAGCTGGGTTGACCTACTAATGGCCCCTGGAGACCCTGGGGAAAGGAACCCAAGGGCTGTCACAGCCACAGGGCAGCAGTAAGCAGTCATGCCAAGAGTGGTTACAGCCTAGGGACCGGGGAGGCTACCTTCCTGTCACAGGTTAATCCAGAGCCTGACACATCCCATTATGCTTGTCTGGGGAGCGCTCCATGTGCCTGCCAAGGAGACAGTGGGGACAGCACTAGGAACAGCGAAGCAAAGGCAGGGGGCGGAGGGGAGGCCAGCCCCACACAGTCAGCTGTCAAATCCAGACACCCTGAGTGATGTCGGTGGCAGCCACCACCAGCCCAGCCACACCCAGCCTCAGGCCTGTTGGGAGGAGATGTGCCATCAGTCCACAAGGGGTCACAGAGGGGACCACAAAGGGAAGGAAGTCCACGATGGCCTCTGCCCACACTCAACACAGGAACCACAGTGGCCTTGGGCTCTGAATTCCAGCTTTGCTGACCACCTGAACTGATTCCCAGCCCGAGGCTCCCAGGGCGCAGACTCATCTCCCATGGGGGTCCTGGGGGCTCCCCCATCTGGACCTCCCCAAAACCTAATCCCTGTGGCACCCTTGCTGTCCCCACCTGGCTCTGGATTCCTATGCCTGTGGGGCCCCAGTTGAGGGTCCCCACATGTCGTCAGCCCCGGGCTCTCTGTCACCACATCCAATCTACCAACAAATGCCATCAGCTTCATCAGAAAATCAAACCAGCCACTTCTCCAACGCACATGGTCAAGCCACCACCCTCTACTGCCTGGACAACACTGTCACCTCCTTCCCCACCCCATCACCTCCCAAAGGTTTCTTCTCCACACATAGCCAAAGGGGTCCTTTTAAATAAGTAAATCAGACACTGTTAATACCACAGCTTAAAACTCCCCATCACTTCCCAGAGCACTGAAAAAAAATCCAAATTCTTCCATGACTTGAAGGCCTCCATGACCTTGTCCTTGTTAAACACTCCGACCTCACTTTCCATCCTTCCATCCTTCCATCCTCATACACTTCAGTGATCCTCAGCCACACTCTCCTAGATTCCTTCAGCTACTAAATCCACTCCTGCCCCAGGACCTTTGCATGTGCCGCTCCTGCTAGCAGGACATTCTTTCCTAGCTCTGCCCTGAGCAGACTCCTTATCCATCAGGCCTTAGCTCAGATGTCACCTCCTCCAAGAGACATTCCCTGTCTTCATGCATTCACTACCTTCCCATCGTCTATAACAAGCCCATGTGAAAGGTGAGGTTAAACAATTGATACTAGTCCTAAAAGGATAGGCCAAAATAAGAAGGGCACGTGGCTGGGTTAAAAAGCCTTAACCCCTAGTCCAACTGCAGAGGTCAGATTTGGAAACTGATAGGTTTGGGTTTAAACCACAGATCTCTCTTCTTGCTGTGTGATCTCAGGAAAGTGAACCAGCTTCTCTGTATCTTCGTTTACTCTCCCCAAAGACAGGGATCACGGCAACACCCTGCCTCCCATTCACATGGAAGAAGACCGCGTGAACAGAGCTCCAAGGAGGAGGGATCCGGACTCTCTCGTTCACAGTGATCTCGGGGCCCACGGTGGTGCCTGGCACACAGTAGGCACTCAAAACTCAAAGGAAGATGTGGAGTGTGCCTGGCACTCGGCCTGGCACAGGCGGATCCTCAACCCAGCCCTGAAAGCCTGCTGGGATGCAGACCGGGAAGCCATCTCCAGCCCCAGACAGAGGGAGGGGAGGCAGGAAGCAGGAGTGCCATCAGCTGACCTAGATGGGCTTCCTGTCCTGGTTTCTTCCCACGAGCCTGGCCACCACCATTGTGCTAGGACAATGGGCGACTCGGGCCACCCAGGGAGGAACTGCAAACAAGCCGGCATGATGAGCACCGAAATCTGAGTGGCTCGTGACCTGGAAAGGATGGGCCTCTGTGCCCGCCCGGCACCACAGAGACAGTGCTTCCAGGCACCACTGCTGGTGGGGAAGGGACTCTGGGGTGACGCTCTGTCCTAAAGCACTCAGATCACCTGCTGCACCTCAGAACCTGCCTCAGGTATGCAGAAGAAACGCCTTCCAGCCCCAGAAGTCTGCCCCGCCTAGCCACGCACCACTGCCCAGGCTGCTCTGGTGACAGTGACACAGGGGGTCAAGGACAGAAAAGGTAAAGGAACACTACAAACGCTCCGTCTTAACTCTGTGCAGCATACCTAAAACCACTGGAAAGATAATTCACCAAAGCACACAGCCAGCCAAGTAATGGGACCAACCCATAGCCAGGTCTGAGGCGTGGCGGCACGGGTGACTGAGTGCCAAGTGTGCAAGTGTCGAGCCAGCGTGCCTACATCAGTGTGCACTCAAGACCAACCCACATTTTTTTTTATGGTGGTACTGGGGTTTGAACTCAGGGCTTCACACTTACAAAGCAGGCACTCTACCACTTGAGCCACACCTCCAGTCCATTTTGCTCTGCTTATTTTGGAGATGGGGGGTCTCAAGAACTATTTGCCTGGGCTGACCTAGAACCATAATCCTCCCAAGTAGCTGGGATTACAGGTGTGAGCCACCAGCATTCAGCAGCCCACATTTTATTTAATTTTTTTGGCAGTCCTGGGGGTGAAACTAGGGCCTCACACATGCTAGGCAGGCTCTGCCACCAAGCCAGGCCCCAGCCCTGCTGTTTCTATTCTGTTCCTGAGGCAGGGTCTCACTACCTTTGCCTGGGCTGCCCTTGAACTTACAAGGAGCTGGAATTACCACGTGACCACCACACCAGCTAAGATCTGTCCACTTGAGCTCTGATACAGAAAAGGAGAAAAAAGCAACAGAGAAGTAGCTTGGCAGCTCACCACCCCATAGTGATGAGGCCTGCTTCATGCACGCAGTCACACCCTCACAGTGACCACTGGGTCCCCATGGACCCAGCTGAAAAGGCTGGGAATCAGTGGAGGGCACCGGTGCCCACAGACAGACTGCCACGAGGCTCGCTGCAGGCCTTGCTCACTGCGCCTTTCCCCCACAGCTCCTGGAGGGTGAGGCTGGCACTGTGCCCACTTTCCAGGCTAGGGAACTGAGGCCCCATATATCCAAGAGCTCACCCAAGGCCACAACGAGCCTTGTACCCAGGCAGTCTGGTTGAAGAGGAGTCTCCTGCCCTGACACATGTTACCAGTGAGTTACTGGGGACCTCAAGGACCTCGACCACACCCACCTTCCAAACAGGCAGCAGCTGCCCTGGGGAGCTCCAGGGAGCAGCCATCTGTCTGGAACCCCTGGCCCCAGCTCTGGGAGGCTAAATTTCTCCCTGGAGAAAACCAAAGCAGAAGAGGCCTTGGAGTCGCTCTCACAGTGACCCCGGCAACCTGATCTGCCAGGGATGGGGCCTGGCTGCTCCCAAGGATGCCCTGCCTCAGCTGGGGTGACTCACTAGCCATATGGTGAAACCCGAGAGGGACAGGGGACAGGCGTGAGGGAGGAGGGGGCACCCCAAGACTATAGCACAAAGAAGTAAGGTGCCTAGACTGAGGACCCCACCCCCCAGTGGGTCCCATGGCCAAGGGTCCAGGAAGCAGAGGGTCCTGGGACAGCTACTCAGTGCCACCCTATGAAGCCCAGATTTGGGAAGACCCCCCCCAAGTGCTCAATGGTCCCCAAAGGCCCACATCCTATGCTCCATCCATCCAAGACCTTGGCAATTATCCTCCAGGGGAAGAAATCTGTATGGCAGGAAGGCTGAATGTCCACATCTGATTTGCACATCACCCGCTAGGAGCAGCTAAATTCACTGTCCCCACACCGGCAAGGACAAGGATGGTCATTCTGCAGTGGCTTAAGGGCTCCTTCCAAGAAACGGGAAAAGCTATCCATGCATCCTCAGCCAGGAAGAAAGGCAGGTTTCCAGGGGACTCACCTTGGGATCAATAAGTTGTCTCTTTATAGAC